AAGTGAAAGCTCTACTACATGTCAGAGGTAAGGTTACGGGTACTTACCTCACAGGTACTGTAGAGTGTAGACTTTGTCACGTCTGGCCTTGCGATGGGATGCAGGTTCTAGAGCAAGAAGAGAATCATGATTTGAATAAGTATAAGTATCAGGGCGCCTACATTCTACTGCTTACCCCGACTTGTGCAGGAGCTGCCGTGTCTGGTATCCAGTCTGGAGTCACACCTCGGTCAAGGGCAGCCTTAGTTAGAGCACATCAATCTATAGGTACATGTACCTTAGGCACCGACCTACCGTCAGGAGTGTTTAGGTCGGCAAGATTGACCAGTGGAGGCACTTGAAGCGCCAGTGCCTTTTTGAGTTTCTTCGACAAAAGGGCGGTCGAGACGCAGCAGTATCACTTCAAACTCGTTTAGTTTTGTTTGGAGTTTCTTTACAGCTTGCTCCGCCTCATCCCGGCCAACCTTGCCCAGAGCCATCTTCAACCTATCTGGGGACTGCTGCAAATCCCAGGCCTGGAAAATGGTCAGCGTTGGCGCCAGAGGCAGAGGATCCTCCGAGTCACAGCCTGAATCGTGAACCCTCAGAGTTCGCGGGTCAATATAGCTTTCCAAAACCTCCTGGCACTTTTTCCTCGTCCTCGTCCTGTTCCCTGCCTAGCCAATTCCGGTCGACGCACACACATGCATCCCCAAGGAAAGGCTCAGATCCAACGAAGAGACGACGGACGTGCATGCTCTCAAAGTTGTACATGTCAAGCCCAACCAACTCGCGTTGGAGCTCGACATCTCTCGCGGTGTACATGCCCGCGCAGGCACACCACAGCTTGGTCATCCACTCTTCGGCGCCGGGCACCGCCGTGATGGCGATGGCGGCCTCAAACATGGGCATCCAGCGCTGTCGCCACCGGTTTTCGAACGCCACAGGATCCTTGGCGTATCGGATAAGGTCCTGATAGAGAGCGATGTCAATCCGCAACTGCGTCTCAAAGGGGAGCAGCTCAAGGTGAGCGAGGTGCTGGGCTGTGAGTTGTACCTCCCGGCCGTCCTGCTTCAGGGATTCCCAAAAGGCCACGATGATGGATGCCTTGCAGGGTTTGCAGATCTGAGATGCTTCATTGAGAAGATGCCAGGCCAGTATGAATTCACGGTCTGTATCGGTCAGAGCCGTAATCCGTGCCGGTGGACTCAGGGTAGACGACTCGGAAGAGGCCATGGTCGGTCACGGTGGTTCCCTGAAGTATAAAGGTTGAATTGATGAAGCGACCGATGACCATCCTGAGGCCAACGAGTCACTGGATTGAAGTTTTATAGCACAGTCCGTGTTGGATGTTCTCGTTGAGCAATGTCCTTGTTGCCACAGAGTCCGAACCAGACTATGGCAACTTGAAGTCCTTTGAAATGCGAATAGGCTATGGCCAGTGCAACTGTTCAGTATGCAGACTGCTGAATCATATGGGTATGTTCTATTGTTCTATGAGTAGAGATCATTGCGCGAATGGCTGTCGCAACAACAGAAACAAAGCGCTTGCTGTGCTTACATCCTCGGATGGCCGTAACCGCCATAGCTTTCCTCCCCAGCCGAAGCTCCCAAGGCACTTTCGGCCTTCGAAGAATCCATAATGCCGCCCAACTCAACACCTGCGCCCCTGGCGTAATCCCCCGGACCGGAGCTGCCATCAGGCACATGGAACCGGCGGTCGAACCTCGCAATGGCGAACACGTACACCACGATGACCTCAATGACAAAATTGAAGCAGTAAAACGCCTCCTTGGAGTGGTACCACGCCGGCTGCGTGGGGGGGCGCGGCACAAAGTTGACCGCCGCCCTGAACCCGGCCCCAAGCGTAAGCAGCAGCGACGTGCCCACCAGCAGCGCAACTTTGGTCCCCATCCTGCCCGTGCCAAACTCCTCCAGCTCATGTCCCTTCTTTCCCGGCCTGGCCATCATGATGGGCACGAACCAAGCCACCAGCACCACCGGCACGGGCAGGAACGCCATAACAGTCAAATACACCCCGGCAAAAAGCAGCACCTGCCTCTCCTTTTCCCTTGCCGACATGTCCAGCGTAAAAAGCGAGTGCACGAAGCAGATGACCAGCATGATCAACACCGCGACCACACTCCCAATCAAAAACGTCCACACCCAACCCACCACACCCCCCCACCCAACCCTCGGCAGTCTAGCCCTCAACACCCTCCTCGCCAGAATCAAATTGACAATAAACAACAACAACACCCCAGCCGAAACAAGTACCCCCGAGGCAATAGCCAGCGAAACATTCCCCCGCGTAGCGGCCGTGGCCGACCAGGCGATGCGCAGCGTCAGCGCGACGGCACGGATAACGCAGAAATAGAAGAGCAGCGCCGAGAAGATGAATTTGTGTTTGATTCGTCGGTTGCGCTGGAAGATGGCCATGTGCACGGCCGCGCCGGCTAGAAAGAGGGCGAGGAGCACGCCTGAGACGGCTGCGTCAGGAACCGGGGTGGGGACGCCGCCGACTTGCGCTGTTGCTGGTGGGTACGGAGGGCCGGAGACTGGTGCGGAGACGGCGCCGGTGCCGGGTGGAGTCCCGGCTGGTGGGGTGCTGGTTCCGGGCTAGATATACCGGGTTGGAATGTTAGCTACAGTACCTAAGGTAGGCGCGGTGGTAAGGGTTGAAAGGTTGAACTGGGATAGAGGGACGGGAGGGGGTGAGTTACAGAAGACATGGTGATTGTGACGGGCCGCGTGCTGCGAGGCGGAAGCGTGGCTTGGTGGCTTGCAGCGAGATCAGATCGGGTTTGTTCACGTCTGGCAGCGCGCGGAAGCAGCCTCAGCTGCAGCATGCACCACTGCAGCTATCCGCTTTCAAACTTCCTATCGGCAATACCGTAGCCGTAGCCGTAGCCGTGTGGTCACGTCGTCAAAAACTCGGGCCAGCCCGCTTGAGCTTGAACTGACAGGAAAAAGGCTGCATGGCTGCAGGAGTGAATTAAAACGCGGCCAAAAGAAGGTGGGATGACAGCAACTTTAAGGTTGATCGAGCCGGGCTGTCGGGTGCCTGGCATGAGACGGAGCCGTTGCATCGCACTGAAAAGTGTAATTAATCAAGCCGCTTACATGCAGATTTGCATCAAGTTGAGAACTTGTGGTTCGGGGTCGGAACGGGGGATCGTGGATGGGTGAGGCAGCACGACCGGTGCAAAAGGCCTGGCCGACGAATCCCAGCGCCGTGACTGGACCGGCAGCACTCGAGCGCGAGCGCCGATTGACGAGGAAAGCCAAGACGAGCCAAGACGCGAGGCGCCGATTTTGCCGTTCCGCCAAGACGCGAGGCACCGATTTGCCGTTTGTTTCGACGCCAACGCGCTTAAAGATGATGGTCTAGTTAAGCTTACGTCGTACATTGATATGGATGGGACTTTTGTTGCTTGCCTTTGGGTTGCATCGATGACGATTACTCTTGCCCGCGACTGGCCAGATCGGACTGGACTTTCGCTCTGATCACTTGCATGTAACCACAGCCGATTCGCTCCGTCGCCGTTATTGTGTCATACCTAAGGTAATGTATTTCGAGAACGCACTAGCGAAGCGCTGCCAGAATTAGGCACAACGTACGAAGTATGCACCATCTATCTCAGATCCTCAGACCCTTGAGTTTATTTGTGACCATGACCCCCGTTAGCCCATTCGAGAGTTCAAAATCCACTTGGAACACTTTGGGCTTTCCATCCTCCATTCCCCCATTCCCAAATCCCTTGTTCAGTGTTCCTCCCTCAAACCAACTCAAACCTCATCGTCCCTCCAGGCTCGGGCGTCTTGACCTCGTGATAAATCCGCGGAATCGTAGGAACCCGATGGTCTGGAACCGCAAACAAGTCGTCGTGCATGGGCGGAGGGGACTCGGCTCGGGCCAGGCCCAGGCCCCTGCCGCCCCGTTTCTTTCGCAGGTAGTAGAAGAAGCCCAAGGCCCCGGCGGCAAGCACCACGGTCGTACCAACTCCGACTCCCACGCCAATCGGTACTGCCAACGCATGGTACTCTTGTGATGCGCTTGACGGTGCCGCTGTGGGTGAAGTGGCCGCATCTTGTCCGGCCGTTGTTGCGATGGGCGAGGGATCGGTTGTCTCAGTGGCTGGGGTCGCTGTCGTTTCAATGGCATTGGTATTGGTTGCCGCAATGGACGTGGTAGTTGTCGTCGAAATGGTCGTGGTCTCCGTCTCACTGACTACGCTTTCCGATACGGTTGGAGTGACAGTGACCAGCACGGTCGTAGTGGGAGTGACCACCACTGTCTCCGTCTCCGTCTTGACGGTCGAAGTGACTGCACGCTGACTTTTTGACGTTGACTGCGAAGTTTTAGGCTCTGAGGCAGCAGTAGTTGTTGGAGCTTGATTCGCTGAGGAAGTTTTGCTCTCCTCCCCGGCTGTGTGTTCCTCTGCTGGATTCTTGGGGTTCAAGACGGACTCGGGGTATACGCCTGCAGTGGCATATGGCTTCATTGACCCTGAAACCGCGAGTCAGCACTCGCCCGTGTTGGGAAAGATGGGTTGCGCCAGGGGATAAGTACCGGTCACGATATAATCAGGTGGTGCACAGCCTTCCCGTCTCGCATCATCGTCCTCGCTGGCATCGCCCTCACACTCCCAGCCTAATTTGTCCCCGACGTTTCCGCAATATGCAATTCCCGGCATGGCGCCAAGATTTCGATCGCCAACATTGCAGAACTGCGGGCAGATATCGCTTCGCCAATCTTGATCGGAGCAGGTGCCGCGGTAGTACTTCATCATGTCCTTAGAGACCTGGTCGGCGCAGATCTTGGAGTCAAGGCAGACGGAGCCGGGTTTGCAGCACATATATACCGGCTCGTAGGCGCCTGGCCAACAACTCACGGCATCTTTTGCCACGGTGCCATTCGGGTAGTAACACGTCGGGTTGAACGCCGACAAGGCGAGGCAGAAGAGAAGCGGGAGCAGAAGAAAAGGCTTCGATGCCATGAAGGGGAGAATCGTCATTTCTTCAAGCTGAGGGTCAGGATGGATTTGATCGTAGTGAAGAAGGGATAGAGGGAAGCGTTGGCATGAGGGTTTCTGTGGTTGGCAATGGGGAGGAATTCTGAACCGGAAAACCTCGTTCAAGAAAATATTGTGTGGCCTTCTAAGGAGAGATGAGATGAAAAGGGCAAAACCGCAAAACCGCACTTGCCCCTTCCAAGGCACTTGACTTATTGAGACTCGACTGAGCTGCGCACACTGGGTCTGCTAGAAACATTGAACATGAGCTGCGCACCTCGACGAGAGAAATGCCGTCGAGAGAATCATGAGGGACAATGGCGCAGACCTCACGATCACAAATACGGCTGCAACCTGATAACACCATTCGTGCCACTCTACCCAGCAGTTGTGTCGCCATTGGGAAACCGGGCAACTAACAAGTCGCTGTACACCACATGACGGTATCAAGGCAGTTTATCCAGCACAGGGTCAGCGATTTGTCACATATGGAGGTAAGTTCCAATTGAGTCCTGCGCGTATTACCAAACTCTTATAACCACAATTGGCATCCGTTTCCTCGAGCACTCTATAGAGTATGGAGTGATAAAAGGGGTTTTACGGCGTGGTCCGGTGCCTTGTGGATGATGGTTTCAACTGTAACTTGCATTGCTGATCCAGCCTGGTACAAGGTGTAGAGTTGCCCTCCATAATTTAAGTAGATGAAGATATTGAAGAGATGGGGACGCTGCGAATGTAAATCTTCCAGTAACCAAAGTGCAATTGCTGGTGTACGGGCAGTTGTGACCGGTGATGTTGATAGTGGAGCCCGATTCGGTTAGAGTTCGTCGGAACTTGCCGGCCCTGATTTTTCACCGGACCAATTCAATCACCTCCAACACTCGCCAACCAAAACGTCCATGCTATCCACAAAGCCGACATGAGCCTCAGTATGCCGTCACGGCGGCTGCTCCGGGGCGGTAAGTCGTTCCATCACTGTATTTCTGCTAATTGATCTCACTAACCCTACATCAGCGCCGCCCTCGGCCAACTCGCTCCTTCCCGCGCTGCAGTCCCTGTCCGTCGCCCCGACTTCCCATGGCACCGCGGTTGGCGCCGCCCGTCCGATCCACACCACGCCCCCAAACCAATGGCTCTGGAGCCGCAAGAACAAGAACAAAACCGAGAACTCGCTCGAGGACCAGATCGGCGGTTCCCAAAAATCACGGCAGTCCGCCCTCTCCCGCCTGACCGGCCGAGTCGAAGCCCCGGCAATGTTCCAGGACGACCTCTCCACACCAGATACCACCGCCGCCGGACAGCCCTCTACTCCGGGAAAACCTAAAAAGAAGCCACGCGTGTACACGTTCACGGGCGTGTCGCTCGTCAAGGAGCATCTCGCGCGGGCCGTCGACCCGGACCCGCGCAGCCGGGTGCGGTGGGAGCGGAAAATGGTGATCCGCCAGGTGCAGCACGGGACGAACCCGTTCAGCAAGGAGCCCCGCGCGGCGCGCATCGCCCGCACCGAGCGCCAGATCACGGCCCGCTCGCCGTGGCTCGCGACCAGCACCAAGAAGCTTGTGCATCTGGCCCGCCAGATCCAGGGCAAGACCGTTTCGGACGCGCTGGTGCAGATGAGATATAGTAAGAAGAAGATGGCGCAGGAGGTGAAGTATCAGCTGGAATTGGCGAGGGACTTGGCTGTTGTTGAGAGAGGGATGGGGTTGGGTGAGGCGCTGAGGGCGGAGAAGGTGAAGAATGGGGAGGAGGTTGAGGAGCCGAGGCCGGTGAAGATTCAGGATAAGGATGGGAAGTGGATTACGATTGAAGACCCGACGCGGATGTATGTGGCTGAGGCCTGGGTCAATCGCGGCCCGTGGAGAGGCATCGTGCCGGATTACCGCGCCAGAGGCCGCATCTTTTACAAGCATAAGCCTACGACGAGTGAGTTGCCGTATTTCGGCTGTTTGAGGTGTGGTTGTGACACATGAGCTAAACAAACTCTAGGTATTTCGATCGTCCTCAAGGAGGAAAAGACACGGCTGCGCGAGCACGAGGAGCGCCAGGCCAAGAAGCTTCGCCAGGGGCCCTGGATCCATCTCCCGGACCGTCCCGTCACCGCCCAGCGCCAGTACTACTCTTGGTAGATGTGGATTCTGGCTGGATGCCATGTCGGCCTGGGCATGTTATGTACTGAGAGTATCATCGGCGGACGGCAGCGGAGGGGGCGAACGAACATCACCTCCAAGCCTCATGGCGTGTATCAGTAACAACCGCGCAGCAGGATGAGAAGAGATCCTGCCTACGCTTCTTAGTCTCGTTGCCACCTTGGCGTTATATATGTACAAATAGAAGCATCACTCCAGGCTGCTTATTCGGCAGGCAACTGAGGACAAAACGAATCTCGCAGAACAATCCCCCTCCCCTTCCGGCACCCTACGCCAGCATCCGAACATTGAGAAGGCAGCATACCGCCAAAGCCCGTCAAGGGCCTTTCAAACTAACAGGACAGAACCGGTCCGCAATCCAAGAATGTTGCGCCCTGAATATGCAGGCGTCTGCAAGGGCTGGCAATAGAGCCTTCTCTCCAAATGCTGCAGGCCAATGAGACTGCAGGTGAGCTGGCTGTCAACCTACCCTGCCCATCCCCAACCTGGAAGCATGCCCCCACCAAAGTCGAACTCGAACTTGAACCGAACCGAACGCTTACCACAGCATATTCCCCCTCCCCTGACCTTCCACCCCCTCCCACCCCTCCTCATATTCATCTCAAACCATCTGCCTCGGCTGCACCGCCGTCACACTCACCTCAGGCTGCTGCCTCGGCAACATATCCTCATACCTCCGACTCTTCATCTCCAGCTCCCCATCCCCCCCACCACCACTGCCAATATCCCATTCCGAATTATTATTCTTGTTGCTCGTGTAAGGGTGCTGTTCGGCGCTGGGCATGGGCGCTGAGATCTTGTACCGGTGGTTTGGCATGGCTGGCTTGCCGCCCAGAACGCCCCGTCCTCGGCCCCGGCGGAGGAAGAAACACCCTGCTACCCCGATCAGGGCGAGGATGGCGGCGGTGACACCGACGCCGACGCCGATTTTGGCTGCGTCGCTTAGGCCGGTGGAGGGTGATTCTGATGGTGAGGTTGTTGCGGCGGGTGCGGTGGTGGAAGTGGTGGAGGTGGAGGAGGAGGGTTTGATTGCTGAGCTGAAGGTTGAGGGCGAGGTGGTGGTGGGGGTTGTTGCCGGGGTGGTGGATGTTGAGAGCTGTGGGGGCTGGGTTAGTCTCGTTGTACATGAACATGGCTTTGGGGTGTCAAGGGAGTGCGGACCGTTGAGCCTGAGGTCGAGCTGCTGGTTGTTGAGGAGGTCTCAGAGGATGAAGATGCCGAGGTGGGCGTCTCAGTTGTTGTCGGGGCCGGAGTCGTCGTGGTTAAAGCCTGGGTTGTGGTAGGGACAGCGGTGAAAGCTGGCGCAACCAATGTTAGCGTCCAGTCCAACAGGATTCAGCGGCGGACTCTAGCCCACAGGTCACTCACTTGCACACATGGCAGAAGCCGAGTTGGTGACGGTGGGCGCGTACCCAGGCGGGCATGCTCCCTCGGCGCAATCCCGGATGGCAAAGCCAAAGTCCGGGACACGGCAGAGACAGTTCAAGTCATTCGCCCCGCAGTTGAATGCGCCCGCCTTGTTCAGGGCCTGGTTGTAGCAGTCTACCTGTGTGCTTGTTAGTGGATTTTCTCATGCTAGGAGCGGGCTGATTGAGGCGACGGGCGAGCCCAATGTGTCCCCTCTCAAGTCTTGGGGAAGAGGATTTTGAGACCTACTCCGCAAGGGTCCAGGCTCTCCATCTGGGCGCTGACAACAGCCGCCAGGGAGAGCAGCGCAAAACGCCAGATCCCGAACATGGTGGCAAGGTGAAGTATCTTCTCGAGAGTAACAGATCGAATGTAAACCAATGCCCCTCGTTACAGAAGGGATTGTTGAAGCTGAATAGTCCGTCACCGTAACACTGGAGCGTTCCGCACAGCAATTGAAGAGGTGATTCCGACTGCGCGCGCGATTCGTTATTGATGCGCACTCGAGATCATATCAGATGGTTGCCGGGTGGATATCGGGGCTTGCCAGATGAATCGGGTAAGGAGTGTAGGCGCGGGAAAAGGATTGTCGTGTCGTGGTGGGAAGCAGCGAGAAATGAGCGATCGCTGGTGAGAGAATCGAAGGTTAAGGGGCCGTTCCTGCTGACGGAAAAAAATGAGTGTTGAGGGCTGCAGTTTGTTGACAAAAACCAAGAGCGAGTGAAGACTGCCAACCCGGGGCGAAGAGCAGGACGAAGGAAAGCAAGGCGACTCCGTGAGGAGTTGTGAGGGGGAGGTTGTCTTCCTCGTGAAGCGTGTGGTCGAAGGGACGCTGGAGGACACGGGGGTATCAATCTGGGGAACGCTCATCCCATTTCCTTCAATTCCAGGAGGGGATGGGACTGCAGGGTTACGCTAGCGTACTGTACGTAATCAACGTCACATTGCTTGATGGGATCATGGATGGCACGGATCCCGTTCGATTCGAATTGAGGTGAACCCCTGCCAAGAATTAGCCACACCTCAATTCCGGGGATTGTCAATGTTTGCTCACGAAAATGGGCAATTCTCTGATCTGATCTTTATTGAAACATCAGGACATGACGTCGCTATCCATCGAGGCACGGCGACATTGGATGAGTTCAATTCCATGTCTTTTCAGGAAGGCGCAGATTGCCGGTGTGTTTGCGTGTTCTCGTCGTCTTCGGCTGCATCAACACATCGACGTTAGCGTCGGTCCAGATATAGAAAAGCGGAACGAAAGTGCCGCCAACCTGGAACACCGGGGTATTGGCAGCGTGTGCCGCATTGCCGCTCAGTATATAAAGTATGTATCCCGCTCCTGGATCGGTGCCCTCATCTTCTTACCGGACAATATCGACAAGCAGTGCTTCGTACCCATACAGAATTCTATGCCAGCCAAAGATCTCGGTTGAAGAGCAGCTCGTGACGCTGTGATTATATGTTTCTAATGTAAGTTCAGGGCTCGTGTAACTTACGGTAATGTTACCACTCACGAAGTGGTTGACTTCGTGTTCCTCAAAAATGTGGCGCACTTGGGGATGATACACGCCAATTTACCGACTGACAGGGGTAAACGCAAACCACCAGGCGAAGGCAAGTATGAACCACAGCAAGGAATACACTTTGCAGTGGCATTGAGTCCTTTAGGCAATGTATTTATGTCTAGGAATTTTCAGTCTCCAATCGCAAATTGCTTCAGTTGTTATTTTCGCATTGACGTTCTCGCGTTGTCATTATCACCCCAGTTCACAGCGAGAGCGCTACGAAGTAAGCTAACGAAGACTTGCAGGCCCCGCAGTTAAGTGGTTTCAGGGCTTCAGGGCCAGGGTGCCGGGGTTTATTAAACAGATCAGGGCGTCCGCGCCGTTATTTGCATCATCAAGCGCCAGCAAGCGCGCCGCTAGTGGCTTGAAGGAAGTAATTCCTGCCACGGCAAACTTGGAAAGCAGACGTTAAGGCGGTTATTGCTATCAATCTGGGGTAGTTTTCAGACCGCCAAGCTAGGTTGTGTGTCGTACTTCTATTGTTTAGGTCGTGATGGCCCCGCCTAGAATTGTCTTGATGCTAGACATTGAAGCTATCAGGGGTGGCTTCATTGCTTCGATACTCCATGTCCCGGTTCGAAGGAGGACATACTGTGTGCGGTAACCGCGGTCATACCAATCATCACCAAGCCGCCGACGTTATCATTGAAGAGTTTCCTCGGCTAGAATCAGAATCCAAAAGATAGGTACATTGAATGTCTCTAAGTTGTCTAAGTTGAGTTGAGTTTTATGGACAACTTGTGACCATCTTTGAGAACCTCAGGCTGAATTGCAGTGGAGTGAAACAACACATCATAAACATACGACCTAGTCATTGGTCCTCCTCTGTAGCCACGCCGTGTTAGCTGGAAGGTTGTACAAGCGATTCCACATCTCGTGATATGCTCGTTCGCTCGGCCGCCAGATGTGTCCGGATTTGATCCACCAGAAGAACGCGAAAACCAATACTATGATTGGCCCAAAGCACCCAATGGCGACGGCGGTAACAGTCCAGTACAATGGCTCTTGAAGCCAGTATAGGGGCGCGTAAAGGTAGTTGTGGTAGAACCCGGAGACCCTGGAGTCTAAGTGGCCAAAGGGATAGCTGAACCGTATCATCTGTATGAACCTCCGATCATAGTAGTAATTCCAAACTGGGCCGGTTACCTAGATTTCCAGAACAGTTAGCACACTGGGTATTACTGTGTCCCCCTCGTGAACTGACCTGGAAACACGATTGCAGCAAGTGAGGCCGTCAGTGCCGTCAGTGCCAAAGCAGTGAACACATACGACACCCATAGCGCCACGGCCCGGGGCCGTCTGCAGAACTGAATGACAAATGTCACCGTACTCAAGCATCCATGCATGGGATACACCGGGCCCAGGCGCCCCAGATTGTTGGTCGGCGCTGTAGAAAGCTAGAAGCCACAACGAAAGCAAGAATGACGGCTGTCCTAACCACAGGAAACCAAAGAACCGACTGTATCCGAGGTACCATGTTGTAGGCCTTCACTGAGTGTGCAGTTTTGTGGGGGCACCGTTCAACAGCCTCTTCGGTCGCGGTGCGGAAGTCTAAGGGTCCAATGCTTTCAGCAGTGCATGGGGTAGGTAGGCCACAGTACCGGACCCTCCCGCCTTCCCCCATGAATTGTTGGATCCTGACCGCCGGGGGAATGATCGTCGTGGTGGTCCACCAGCAAATGCTTCGGCCTTCGAAATCCGGGGTCAGAGGCGGGTTATCCGGGACACCGCCAGCCCAGGTCTTGGCCGCTTTCAGGTGTAGAACTGGCGGGTATGAACTAGCTGTCTCCGGTCAATGTCAAATTCCTGGAAAATGTCACAATAAAGGGAGAGGGGGTAAAAGGGGGGGTTGATAAGGATTCACATACGCTGCGACCTTCGTAGGTACTCTTCTAAACGGGTCCCTGATCCATCACGCACCAGCAACTTGAACGGATGTCATGCCACCAGCAACCCCAGGCAAGCATATAAGGATGGTTCCAGGCCCCGGGCTTGCTTGCCAGCCAGAGCTAGGGCGGAGGACGCCTCGAGATTGAGTATTCCAGAAGTGAGGTTGGCCTACTTTCTCAGGCTCCGTGGCCGGGGCGGACGGCTATTTGCGAGCTTTTGTACTCGTATGCGCAAAGAGAGACGAGTCTACCGGCTTGGACCCGTAGGCCATGATGTTGGAAACGAAAGTTACGACAAAACAGAGTAGGCCGAGCGAAGAAACTAGTAGAGCCAAGGTCAGGACGTCTGCAGGGCTCTTGTAGATTGGGAGCTGCGAATGGCTCTGTTCGTCGTCGCCTTCTGGTTGATCATGCGAGAGTCGCGGTAACTTCTGCCGTAGTCGGAAAGACCAATAAGTTATGAGCAATGAAACTAGAAAAACGTAGACAAAAGACCAGGCTACAGTGCTCCGGTACATGGAAAGGTGCCGATATATCCGAGGGCCGCCCTTACGGCTGTCGACTCCGAGATCGAGCCTGAGCTGACTTGGTGGCTCGGAGATGCCTGACAACGAGACACGGTCGGTGTTGAAGGCCTCCCTGATTTGCTCAATGGTCCTCGCTAGTGGAACAATGTAGCCGAAGCCAAGGTCCTCATCTGCGCCAATCAAGTGGCCGTAGACTCTGAAAGTCTCTTTGTCGACAACTATCGACCCGCATTCTCCTTTCTTAAAACCACCCGAGGCTAGCACCAACGTCCAGACTAGACAACAATATCGGCCTTTTGTTGAAGGGATGTAGCCGAGGCCGCTCAGAAGGACACCAGACCGCATGCCATTCTGGCTCGAGATCATGTATACCGGCACCCGGCCATAGCGAACCTCACGTATTTGGGCAATACCTTGTAGCTGGATTGGTTCTGACTTTGGCGAGGGGAAGAATTTATTGCGTGCCATCGTCTTGGCTGCGACTGTGGTAGGCTCGATTAAGCTCCAATCCAGATAGTCGCTTGATGCTGGCAGATTAACCATTGGTTCAGCTTTGCGTCCGTTGGAAGAAGGGGATGATGTAGCCTGGCCGGGGAGTATGTAATCCGACTCGGAGTCGGTGTCCTGTTGTGTATTTCGGCCTTCGCCCCCCCTGCCCGAAGTGAATGAAGAAGGCTTGAAGAGATGCTCGACCGTAAGGAGTCGGTCAACCCCCCCGATGTTCAGAGACAGCCCAACGGTTGCGCTGCGGCCCTGGAAATGCACTACCCCCCCACAGAGCGTCCGCTGGTCGGCTCGAGGCGCCAAGAATACATCTTCGGCGGCCATGCGGGTGAGAGGGCCAGCGTCTCTCGGAAGAATGACTATGCTGAACGCAGGAAAGTCCGCGTCGTTGGGCCAGTAGTTTCTGTTAATTTGGCAGTTCAACCTGCGTCTAGCGTACCTAGTACTGAGCCTTGCCCGGAGAAGCCTTGCATCTTCTGTCTTGCACTTGACAATGATGGTAGGATGCGCTTCGTCCGGAGATACACCAACAATCCGCAAGTCGTAGACTATGTAGTCAGCTTGGTCACAGAGTCTGGGGTGGATTTCAACCTCTTTCTGAAGTTCAATGATGACGAATGCGGCGTGTGCGTGGTATGCCTCCCAGCTCCAACGGGCACTCTCAACCGTCTTTGTATACCAAATCCTCTTTCTTTGGCCCGGGATGGCCACACCGTCGTGCAAGTTGTGGGCGGCTATCCCACTTTCATCATTCTGTGCTGGCCAGCTTTCTGAAGACGTCCGGAGGTTTGACAAGTCCGTTGTTGGCGCTTGCTCGGGAAGCGCAGGACTCCGAGTCTGATCCTTTCCCGACCAGCTGAGATGTTTGGACAAGTCCGAAATTCGGAATACCCCAGCCAGGCGTGATGAGAGGGTTTGGATGAGTCCGGTAGCCATCAAACCCGTGCGAAGGGGCGGCGTGGGTTACTAGTACTGCGCACAAAAATGAAGTATTCCGGCGGACCAACTCGGCCAGCAGAAGATCCAATACGGCTGCTGCCCGTCGTAAATTAGTAGTCCGAGCAGTGTCTAGTGCCTCGGAAGAAGTGAGAGGGATGAATTGTAGCGCGTCGACGAGTTCAATAAAGATGTACATCAATTCCAGTTATCTAGGGCCGGTAAAGTAAGGTAGGGTAGGCACTGGTGGGTAGCTCCAAGGTTGTAACAGCAAGAGTCGAGGTGACGACGACTGCGTTGAGTTTACGGGGTTCCAAACCGGGGTGAGCACAGATTAGTAGAGGCCACTCTCCCACTGTATACCAAGTGGTATGTCCATGTCGGAATTGGTGAACGGTGATACGTCAGGTGCAGTGGTGAGGCTGAGCGCTAAGCGCTTGGAGTTGCCACTGTTTTGTCTAGAGTCTGGCATCATGCATATTATCGGCGAATGGGAGGACGATTATTGTACGCCAAGGCAGATTGCACATTCCATTCCCTCCAGTTGAGGCGCCTAACATGCGCGGGCGCTGATCGGCTTTGAGGTCTTTCGCAGTTGCCTTATATGCTAACTCCATACCTCTTTCCTCAACCGCTGGATGAAGATGGCGTCGTGAACGCAACGAGCAGGCGAGATGCACCAATATGCCGCCAACACCTCAGGAGAGGTGAGATCGCACAGCAGCTTCTTGGAAAGGAAGGTAACTTCTCTGCGTACTTCAAGTTCTACGACGATATCGCGCAGCGGAACAACGATTATCACCTCACGAGCAACACCTCACTTTCCCTGCTGCCAATGAAGAGTGACTGCGTCCTTCTCGCCGCTAGTGTCGTCAAATCGAACGTCTCAACCACGAAGAGGGACATTGAACAGCATTACAAGAACAAGGCCACGGCAAAATACTCCGGTCTCCATTATAGCAGCGTGGCTGTGAGCATGGCTGTCCAGGCTATGTTCATGGTTGATCCGGCGGCGAAAGAGTGGCATTCGGCAGATTTCGCGATTGGAGACTACCGGCCATCATCGTGGCTGCAGAATGAGACCCTGGAGGCATACATTCTGCGTCTCTTCCCAACAAGTCTGCCGAATTCACAAGAACCCGCCATGGACTATCGTGCCTTGAAGGCGCACAAGTTGCAGAAACGCCTAGGGGTGCGTTTCCAACCGACGAACCATCTGGACAAGCATCTGCTGTTCGACGAAAGACGGAACCGACTTTACATCTTTCATCACGTTGCATTCTTGAAGGCTCATCTGAGCAGATACGAGAGCAGCGAAGCCCCTCTAACTACAGGTCCAAGAGAGAGCCTTGAGGGGTGAGTTCTCTAGGTTGGCAAAGAAACCTACTAGGACCCAAGTGTTCTCCGTCAGCTACCCTAAGGTAACTAACACACATCTCAGTGGCACACTTCCACCTCGACTCCTGGTCGAGACACTATACACCCTCCAGGCGGTGATCTTTCCATCCATTGACCCTGATTCGGCTGAAATCCTGGATGAGCTCATCGAGAAGCGGAGTTTCGACCAAGCGTGCGCAGAATATGAGGGTTACAAAGTGTTCCGGAACCCTCCTCAGGGGTTCCGCTTGGTATACTGGGAAAAGCGCATGGCCCATCTACATCGGCTTATGAGCAGTCGTCCGCCTCGAAATAAGCTTGAATGTTGGTTTCATCGGCACAGTAACGACAGAAATGCCCTCTTCATTGCATTGCTGGCTCTCCTTATCTCGATATTAGTCGGGATAGTCAGCATTGGGTGGGGCTGCGTTCAGATCTGGATCGCATGGATGGTTTGGAAGTACCCGACGGCCCCTCAGCAATAGCATCTCCACGATTACAACCCTGATTTGCACAGCGATGGAAGATAGCGTAACCCTTTAGGGCAAGGATATATTGGCGGTATGGAGCTAACTCGCCTGATCTGCATGCTTTCATCCTATGCCACTGCAGTACCCCAATCTCGGGCCTGCCTCACACGCATCGTTACAACCCAATCAAAGCCCAGTGCTCCTCGCACTCACGCGCTGACTCTTGACAGTGCCTACTTCGTGCAGTTCTGCCACTGCAGATAGTGGACCTGGGTAAACCGCAGATCCGTCGAGTCGACCTGCAGCACAACAGTAAGGAAATGCCGTTCAGTTACCACTCCTCAAGTGTACTCAACAAAAATGTCGGATGCTCACAACATGAAGCGACCCGTATCAAGAACCCGAGCAACGCCTCCACCTCACACTAACAGTTCTGGGGCTTCTTACCGTCATCAAGGCCGGCTTAACGGCATCCATGGGCGACAGCCGGACCTCCGAGTTGATGTTGAGCAAGCCCTCAACGCCACATGGCGACCACACAGTACTTTCGACGCTGAACTGGTCCGTCTTGAGGTAGTTGTCGTCGTACGGGCCGCGGATGGTCATGGTCGATGAGATCTAAGAACATCAAACAGTCGAGTGGCGTGGTCAGTCACACAACAGACTGCAGCGCTGTATCTATCATTGTCAACATCCCGCAACTCACCTGCCGGGAATCACCCGAAAAGTAATACGTCGCCTTGCAAGTCCCCGTGTCCCCCGCGGGGATCTGGGCGTAGCCGCGGTAGTCGGCCTTGAAGACCGAGAACTGCCAGCCCTGCGGGTAGCGAAGCTTGACGTTGAGCTGGCAGTTGCGGCGGTAGTTGGACGGCGAGATGCCGCTGCCCGCCTGGGCGACAAACTCGGCGTACAGCAGCGTCAGCGTCGTCAGGTCGGTCGACAGCTGGCCCGAAACGGTCCCCGCCGGGCACCCGGACCCGGCAAACGCCAGCCCGACGATCTCCACCTCGTGCCCTGAGGGACCACCGGGGAGGTTGTCGTCTATGATGACCGGTCGCGGCCTGGGGTGGGCGGAGGTGAGGGTTAAGGGGGTGAGGAGGGGGAGGAGGTTGGAGAGCTTCATCGTAGCAAGTACTAGTAATAGTAGTAGGTTCGTGTGCAGGGCACGCTCAATCAGCGACTCGGAAAGAGGCTCTGCGTCTGACGATTCAAGCAGACTCCCGGTGGGAGTAACAGCACCTCTTTATATGCCATGTTCTACTCTGCATCTTCCATGTGTCTCCTGAGAGCGATCAACCCTGAGCCTTCTATTCTTGTCCAGCCCATCCTGAAGCAGAGGTAAATCGGAATGTCTCCCCGAGTCAATATCGGATTGATGACTCTTGCCACGGGATCCAAGCCATCGTAGCATTGCCTTCAGCCCCTTTTCCTCCTCGGTGCCGTTTCTCCTGACCTTGATGGACTCTAGGAGGATGGCGGTGTGGAATGGCAGGACATTACAATATCACAGCGATATTAAGATCCCAATCCTCTGGATGGCAGCACACTCAACTTAATTCACTTGCATATATTAGGTAGCCTTGAGTATTGCTATTTTGGGATCCTGCATGCCTTGCTGCTGCGAACTGTTAGGTCCTCAGCTGACACGAGAGTGGCGGACAGACGTTACGTTACAGACATTGACTAGTTACCTTTAGTCTGTAGAACCCGCTGCTGTATCTCTTCGAAAGGGCCGAAGTGCCCGCCGCTGCGTTGAGTAACGGTTTGAGTCTCCTCATGCGCGGGTAGATTGCCGAGAGTTCAGGTAATCAAAGCCCGCTTCCTGGTGTCCGCTTCTCCGTTCTATCCAGTCAGAGTTCGATAGATCTCCCTTGATTTCGTGAGTTACCCAGGGCCGGCCACACACGGGGCAGGATGAAAGACACCCGTCGAGATATAAGCGATATAGAATGAATAGGGCCGAGAACCGGGTTACCAGCTAGCGGGCAACAACATCCTTAATTACTTCCCATGTAGGTATCGAGGGGGGAGTGAGGAGGGAGAGGATGTGGGGCTGATCAGAGAGCTTGCGGAACAGAGAGCTGAAGCGGAGGCCACATATAGGCTAATAAAGCAATATAAACAAGCTGCTGATGACATGTGTGGTGCTTACTGTACAAAGCTTATCCAACTGTCATATAACAGAGTTGGGCAACTTCTCGTTTATATGTGGACGGCGAACAAGGTAGACTGTAGCCTCCGAGCACGACGTCTTCAGGGGGGAATGACGGGATCCGGCAGCGAAACTAGTCTCGCGAGTCTCAAAGGAACGAGTACATCCATGATGCATACCGTAATTGTTATCCACTTAGAGGATGTGCAAAATGCTCAAACCGAGCTTCACGTTGTCTAGCCGCCGTTTGCCGGAGGAGTTGGAACCCGTCTCGAGGGCTTGCATGGCTTCCTGAGCTCCTAGACCCTCTGACTGCACCAGCGCACCCTGCAGTCCTGTACAGAATGGCCGGGGGGTGCATTCAAGTCCCTAAAGGCACCTGTTCAGGCTCCACGACTCCAACTTGCGGAAACGGATAATTCAAGCAAGGATCGACGGTAAGGGGATGATGTCTGTTCAAAAGTCGGTATTTGATCTATCATCTAGATCAGCTGAAGTACCTAGTACCCACGGAGACGACTCAGACGAGGTTGAAATTGAACCTTTGCTCGACCGAAGCAGAGCCACTGAGGCCATATAAGCCTACATGTAAAGAGTGGGCAGGCATCCGTTCTCAAGTGGAACAATGCCTTCGGACGGCGAGAAGGAACGAGTTTCGTTGCCATGTTCGTCACAGAATGTGGGGTCGGACCAAAACTTGAGGCCGCCGCGGGCCCGTTGTCTGCTTCGGGCGGTGCCGAGTCTCTTTCTTGTGATACCAGCAGGGTAATTTTCAATCGACAGCTCCCTCATCGTCCAGAAAATGGTCAACTAGGCGGATTTAAAGAATTTGGGCTGTATGTGGATTTCTCTCACGGGAGCCACTTTCCGTTTTGGGAAGGGACCTTGAAGCGCGAAGCGATGCACGCCCCAGGGGCGAGACGTCCAAGTTCCAACATCTGAGGTGAGTTCCTGCTTCCTGGTTGTATGTACATACCGTAAAATCTCGACAAATCCGTCCTCTTCTACTGCGCGTACCCAAGCCAACCGACCAATCCCAGGCAGCCGGCTTGCAACTGGCCTGCAGTGGTTCAAACCTTACAGTTGGGATGCCAAAGAGGACTGAGCCATGAGATACGTCGCCTGGCTTTGGTCCGCGCAGTAGAAGAGGACGGATTTGTCGAGATTTTACGGTACATACACCACGTGATCAGATCCCTGGATTTGCACCTCTACAAGTCGTCCCTTCCTTACGGACTTCAACGTCGCGTTCCTCGAAGCGCGGTCTGACGGACGCTCCTGCTTTCCAATTTCCACGAATCGAGTACGGTATCCGTGAAAAGATATGAATTGCTCGCCCGACGCGGACAGGTCTTTTGGGCCACGAGTAAACCCAAATTGCCGTTCATTCGACTTTACATTGCTTTTCGAGGAAGTGATTTTCGCCTGTCTACCTGCCGGCCTTTTCCTCATGCTCACGCCCTGCCGCCTTGTCAGGCTGCTCAAGAGATCAGCTGCTTTCTCGCTTCGCCCAGGGCTGCTCGCCTGGAAATTGGTGTGTTGCGATCTCTGACGAGTTCTGATGAACCCATCAAACTGACGTTCCAACTGCCTGCTAGGTCACTCTCTGTAGCTTACTTGCCGTGCAACTCGCATTCCTGGCTCTGCGTGTCGCCAACCCAACGACGCATACGCCCGCTTCCATTGCTGCCGAAGTATTGACTTCCTTAGCTACGGCATCAGCACTAGTCTTGGTGTTTCTGGACCATCAACGGGCATCCCGCCCGTCTACCTTGCTTAGTCTCTATTTCTCCACAGCCGTGATTCTCGGTGTTGCCCGGGTCCGCACTCTATGGCTACTTGCAGCCCAGAGCGCGGTCTCGGCGTTGATGGTCACTTCCTTCGTTCTCACCTCCCTGGCCTTGCTCTACGAGTCAGCAGAAAAACTTGACGATCTTATTGCCACCCCAAACCCGGCCAAGGGCCCTTGCGCTCCAGAGGAAGTAAGCGGATTCTGGATAAGGACCTGCTTCACATGGCTCGTTTCCACGTTCCGGCTTGGCTACTCTCGGATCATTTCTGTAAATGATCTGCCTCCTCTGGACAGCAAGCTCCATTCCGCCGCTCTGGGGGATACACTTCGTTCAAAATGGAAGAAACGTGAGAACGCGGATTCCCAACCTGGTTTCATGAGCCAGTCTAACCCTCTGCGCCAGGTAGATACGGGCCCGCCACAAGCTCCTTCGGGCTTGCCTTGAGTGCTACTTTTTTTTCGCTCACGTCGCCCATCATCCCCAGGCTGTGCCTCACCGCCTTCACCTTCTCCCAGCCGCTCCTCATCAACGCTACCGTGACACTTGTGGGACAGTCTGATCCGGACCCCAACTACGGCAGGGGCCTTATCGCTGCCTGGGCTCTTGTCTCTGTAGGCATTGCGGTCAGTGGGTGTCCTCGGCAGATTCGTCTACTGCGCCCTATCTAATTTTCATCCCCAGGTATCTAGCTCAATCTACCATTACCAAAATATCCGATTTACGACCAGATTAAGAGGGGGGCTGATTGCGCTGGTGTATCAGCGGACGTTAGAGACGAGAGAAGCCGAGATGGGAGATGTGACTGCCATTGCGTTGCTTGGCGCGGATGTCGAGCGTATAAAGGGCGGCATGGGTATGCTTCATGAGGTGTGGGCGTCGGTTCTCGACATTGCCATCGCAAGCTGGCTTCTTGGAATGCAGCTGTCGCTGGCCTGCCTTGCTCCTATCGTGCTGGTTCTCGGTGAGTATGTCCGATTTCTTCGCTTGCGGCGAGCTAACCGTGTCGGAATGTTCTTAGTGTTTGTCGGCGCTACCTCAAAGATCTCGTTAATGAGCCGGACCGCGCAAAGCAAGTGGATCGAGAAAGTCCAGGCCCGACTTCGGATCACTGCGGGCATGTTGAGTAACATGAAAGCGGTCAAGATGTCAGGGCTCGCGCAAGCTGCTTGCAGTATCATTCAAGCCTCACGTGCCGACGAGATCAACGTATCGGGCACGTTTAGACGACTGCTCGTTGTCACGCTTTCACTGTGTACGGCCATGAACCTCTGGAAGGCGCCAAGTCTAATCACTAACGTTACCGTCCAGCGCTCACCCCAATCAACCTAGCACCCGTAGTCACCTTCGTCATCTATGTCATCATCTCAGTTTTTTTTTTTGGAAAAGCGAGACGCTATTGCCTGCACAGGCGTTTACATCGGTCGCCTTGGTCTCGTTGCTGACCACCCCCGTCATCGTGTTCATCCAGGTCCTGCCACAGGTCGTACAGTGTCTCGCTTGCTTCGACAGGATTGATGAATACTGCAGTTACGGCCTAGACTCGGATCTTGACACCCAAGGGCAAAGCACCGACGTGGGAGACGTTAAGGAAGAGGCAAATGCCAACCACTTGTCTCTAAAGCGAGCCGGTGATGGCGACAAATTACGGGAGAAGTACACAGCAATCTCCATCTCAGGCGAAAGCTTTGCTTGGGATAAAGGAAATTATCCTACTCTTCTTGACTTGAACGTGGAGTTTCCCGTTGGGACTATATCCGTTGTTGTCGGCCCCGTCGGGAGCGGGAAATCGTCATTCCTGAAGGCCATACTTGGCGAGATGACGCCCACAACTGCAGCATCGCGGAATAACACTTGGAAAACAAGCAGGGCTGGCGGTGTTGCATATTGCTCTCAGGAACCTTGGCTCGAAAACACGTCTATCCGTCAAAACATCGTAGGGGCTCCGGTACTGGACGATAAGTGGTACCAGACCGTTAAGACTATCTGTGGTTTGGATCCCGATATAGCGGAGCTGCCAAAGGGAGATGACACTCGAATGGGGAGCCGGGGCCTCAATCTAAGCCGTGGCCAGAAGCAACGAGTAGTAAGTACAACCTGGATGCCATACTTGGTATCAATCCTCCTTGCCCCTTTACACCAAGGATTGCTGACATGCCTCTTCTCCCGGCAGGCTCTTGCGCGAGCCATCTATTCGAGGCACAAGCTCGTTATTCTTGATGACGTCTTCAGCAGCATGGACGCCCAGACTGCGGACACGGTATCGTCTCTCCTGCTGGGCCCGCAGGGCGTTCTGCGCGACGCTCGCACAACCGTGGTGGTAGTTTCCTACAACCGTACGGAAATCGCATCCCGAACGCTGCGGCTAATCTAATGGTAACAATGTCACAGGTAAAGTTATAGCATTGGCAGATAGGGTAATTGTCTTGAGAAACGGCAAGATTGCGGAAATTACTCGTCCCGCTACTGTTCTGCATGATAGGGACACTGCGGACAAACTACAAATACGTCTTGACTCGCATCATGATACCTCGGAGGATCGGTGTGAAGATGAGGTTGAGCAGAAGCCGCAACCCAGAGAGCTTATGGCTCCCGGTACGACGGACGAGGATCGCGCGACCCCAGCAGATGGGAACCGGAAGAAAGCCGACTTTACGATCTACAAGTACTACCTGACGAATGCAGGTTACGCAGCGATGTTCTGTTATGGAGCTGCCGTCGTCGTGTGGATATTCTGTACCGAGTTTTCTGGTAGGTCGAGCACATGTCGAACGGAGATGGTTCGCAACTAACACACCCCCAGCAATCTGGATCATGTGGTCGTCAGAGGCCAACATCAAGCAGCCCAATCGGGACGTCGGTCTATACATGGGCATCTATGCGATGTTAGGTATTCTGGGCACGGTTGGAGCTGCTTCGGCTGCCTGGTGAGCAACGCATTTCTGACGTGACTCCATGTCTCCACGTACGTTCTGATCCTGATGAGCGCTTCGTGCAAGGTTTGCGTTCACGTCCGTCATAAGCAACACCGCCGCCAATTTCCACTCGCAGCTCCTCCGAGCGAACTTCTCGTAAGTCGAAATGATCTGCCCCCGTCCTCCAAATACATGGCGACGTCGTACTAACGCGATGTCATTTAGGGCACCACTCCGCTTCTTCACTGATACCGACAGCGGCGAGCTTCTTAACAGGTAGGTCCCGGGCTCTGACCCTCGGCTGGTCTTGTCCCTCGAAGGTATGAACTAGCTGACGCTACCACATATTTTAGGTTCAGCCAAGACATGGAGCTCATCGACATGGAACTTCCTGCTACAATGGTCAACAACACGTCAAGTATGTTCGTGTTCCTGCCCCATAACCCGTTGAGAAGCTCGCTGAACTCGGACGAAGCGCTCGTCTCTATCCTGGCCAAGGTGATCGTCCTTGCAGTATTCTCGCAGTATCTCGGGACAGCAATCCCACTCCTTGGAGGCGCTGTGTACCTGCTCCAGAGGTTCTATCTCCAGACATCGCGCCAAGTCCGCCTGTTGGACATCGAAGCTAAGGCTCCTCTGTACACACACTTCAGTGAGACCGTTGCCGGCGCATCCACGATACGCGCTTTCGGATGGCGGGAGCAGCACAGAGAGCGCAACTTTGGACATGTCGACACCTCTCAGCGTCCAATGTATCTCAAGAGCTGCGTCCAAACTTGGCTAGCGTTCGTATTGAACATGATCGTCGCGGCGCTCACCGTGATTCTGGTTGCGGTAGTCGTTACCTGGCACGATAGCTTCAGCGCTGGCAGCATTGGTGTCAGCTTGAACGTGGTGATTGGCTTCAGCGAAACTCTTGCAAGGCTCATAGATAGCTGGACGAAACTGGAATCCAGCGTCGGGGCCGTGAGGAGAGTCAAGCAGTTCGTAATGGAGACGGAGTCGGAAGAGGAGAAAGACAAGAATGGAGATGCGCCCCCTGGCTGGCCACCAGAGGGCGCGGTCAAGTTTGATGGTGTTACTGCCTCTTACAGGTGATTATTCCCCTGTGAAGTTGCCGTGATACTCGTGTTACTGAACAAATGCCAGGGGTGATGATCAGCCAGTCCTTAAGAATGTCTCGCTTTCGATTCTACCCGGTCAACATGTGGCAATCTGTGGCCGCTCGGGTAATGGCAAGACCTCGTTCATCCTAAGCTTACTAAAGATGATAACCGTGGATCATGGCAAGATTTACATCGACAATGTCGACATCTCAGACCTACGAAGCAGCGCCGTTCGTCATCTCATCAACGTGGTCCCGCAGGATCCCTTTTAGATCCCGGGAACTATCCGCACGAATGTGGATCCGTTGCACGTCGCTCCGGATGACACGATTGAAAGAGCACTCAGAAGGGTGGGACTGTGGTCTCTCGTCGAGGCCCAGGGCGGCCTAGACAAGGTGGCAGATGCTGCCGCGTTCTCTAGTGGCCAGAAACAACTCCTCTGTTTTGCTAGGGCCATGGTCAAGCAGTCCAAGATCTTGGTGCTCGACGAGGCCATGAGCAGGTACGGAGTGCGAATTCCTTTTGGGGAACCGAGAAAACTTGCTGACAGCGAGTAGCGTGGATGCCGAGACCGAAACGATCATGCAGGACATTGTTGATACAAAGTTCCGTGGTTGTACGGTGATAGCCGTGATGCACAAGCTGCTACATGTGACGCGATACGACAAGGTGGCATTGATGGAGAACGGAGAGGGCTGCTCGAGTTTGACGACCCCCGGTTGCTGATGGCTAAGGAGACGCGGTTCGCGGAGCTGTACCGGTCGTGTACGACCTGACTGGTATGAAGACCCAACGGTTTGCTTGAGGCTTGGTCATTAAGGGTCCGGCTAGTGCTTGCGAGCTCGAGTAATAGTAGCGACTCGGTCTGGCAAAGCATCCCACGCCGCAGTGCTCTCCTTGGTTGGGGGCCTTAGGGGGAGGAGCAAGGGGCCAAGCTCTAGTGTTCGGATCTCCCAGGAAGACTCGGACAATATCTAAACTCAACAGCAGACCAGTGAGAAGATGACGAGGACGTACATTCCGGCACCGGCGTTGATAAGAGCTGCTTCTGTCAAGACTGACCGAGAAAACAGTGTATCCCAGGCATCAAATGCTTGGCGGCATCACCTACTCGACAAGATGTATCCCGTGTCGAGGACGTCTAAGGGATCTCATCGAGATGGACAGGCCTGAGTTGCAATGATCTGGAATCAAGATGCAGTCAAGATTGCAAGCTGATCTTGCCACCCTAAGTCCAGGCGGCCCCGGCGGCGAACAACCTCTGGAAGGCTTCAGCAGCACGGGGTTCCCCAAGGTGCGAGGTACTCCAACTTGCCTAGGTGAGTACTGATTGCCGAACCTTAAATTACAACGAACAAGCAATGGTGTAAAGATTGACTTGGCGTTGCTAGCTCAGAAACGGCGAGAAAACCGGCAGTTTACATACGCAAAGAGCATCAACCATGGAGCAGAGGCGCCCCGAAGACTTGGGCCGAGAACGGGCGATTCGCAATCGCGGCAAATGCCGCTCACCAGGAGAAAAATCTGCCGCGCCAAGGCTGCATGTTGGCGGCCCCTGAGCTCGGTCCATCTGACTACCGGCACTAGCATCGGCCCATCGGGGTTTCTAACTGGGTAGAACAACGTCAAGTCAGGATGCCATGGTCTTGGACCACAAGGGGCTACCTATGTATGAACAGGGCGAACTATCCTTCTGGTGAGTGGTAATAGCATTCTTGGTGGTTGTGAGTCGATCTGGATGTGCCCGTTGGGTGGAACACGAAGTGGCCAGGAGACGCCAATCAGTGCTTCTAAGCTACCTAACCTGCCTAACCTATAGCGCACTTTACGTACAGTTGCTTGTGCAGGTGTGCGCATGATGCATTTGAGACTTCATTGCTCCGATTGTCTCCAGGTCTTCTACATAAAAATCGACTAACCCACCACGACAGGGCAAAAAGAGAACAACAGCGACTGGATGAGCCGTTCCGCATGCGGCAGAATGTTGATTCACATTAACTCGCGGAATATTTAACCACTGCCTCGGTTGATTGAGCCCAAGAAGAAGGGCTCTCCTCGCGTGCTCATGTCGATCTTCGAGATCGCCACCGGCTTGCGGTACACATTTGGACATCCTCCGGGTCCACCTTTGAAACGGCATTGACCTTGTTTCGAAGACTCTTTTCACTGATTCAAATAGGTTCGAGTTCCACAATCAACATCATCAGTTCCTGGCAACTTTCTTGCCAACTGGAACCTCTCTCAATAGTCGTGCTCTGATACGCCACCTTTTAGCGAATGCCAAGTCGTCCTATGGATTACCTGACACTTACGAGAGTAGAGTTCTCGCTGCCATTGTCGGAGGAGGCAGACACACTCCGGTAATCGATACTCTTGGCTCTGAATTGATTCACTTCACAATCGGCGACCATGATCATGATGGAGTTGCCGGACCGATTCAGGGGCAACGGAGGTGGAGCCGGGTTGGTCGACATACCTAGGCCTCGTAGGTTTACAAAAACTTTGATATCCGCCAGCTGTCTCGTATGCACCGGCAATATCCATTCAGACGTCCAACATCACCATCTTCGGCCATACAAAAAAATTCGCAGTCTGGCGGAGGGTGCATTCTTCAGAACGACCAACGAGTACGGGCTGGAATCATGGTGTTATTCACAGACCGCGGACCAGACGTTGCCGCGGCCGTCATAACAATGGTGAGTTTCAACTTCCTCTTTGATGTTCCAAGTCCATTCTCGCATCTCAAGTGGGTGTTCCTGAACCCCACCACTTCGCTATGCATCGAGATCCACAACGATGCGAAGATACAAGAAAATGGCTTCAATATCAGTCAACTAACATGTTCTTTTCATGCAGTAAGCAACAGTCGATGCCCATCGCTCTCACAGTCCCTGTTTGATATTGGACTCGACTCGTTTCCATTCCGTCGTCAACATATTATCATCCACTCTGCCACTCCTCGACACCTCTTGCGACTCTCCTGCGAAGATACTTGTTCAACATGCTAATCTGAACCACAAGATGCGTCGTGGCATACATCTCCTACGCCCTGCGTGTCTACACCCGACTGCGATACGCGCCATGGGGTCCCGAGGACTGGTTCATGACCGTGGCGCTGCCATGTTTCACCGTGTTGTCAGTGGCATGCATCGCCTGCGCCTTCACGGGTATTGGCGCGCTGAATTCGACATTGTCGCGGCCCGGGAATGAGAAGTATCAGGAGAAGGGGCTTTTTGTGAGTGGCGTTGGATTCAGTTGCTAGCATACATACCTCTTGGTCGAAACGTGGCTGACCATATCTTGGAGCATTAGTGGTTCTTTCTCTTTGAAGTATTTTACTGCGTCAACATCATTCCTGTCAAACTGTCCATCAGTTTGGCGCTCATCCGCATCGCCGAGGTTCGTCTTTGGTCTGCCACCGTACCTTACTTGATCCGGTCCGCCATCTAGGTCAAGTTGCTGACGAAGCTGCTCAACTCTACAGAACCGGAAAGCTTATGTCTACGCCCAGTACGGCGTCATGGCGTTGTTCACCGTCATGAACCTCATTGCGGGTCAGTCCTGCAACCCCTCAAGCTTTCCAGTGACCCGCCCAGCTAACGCGAGTATCTCCCGTTTCTTAGGCTTCTACATCGTCTTCCATTGCAACCCCGTGAGCGCTGCCTGGGACACTTCGGCCCTGAAAAACGGAGGACATTGTAATCCCAATGCTTGGTTGGCAAAGGTATATTGTAAGTTTCCCCCGTAACTACAGAAATGCGCGCGTTTCGTTGCTCATCGCTGACACGTTGGTTAGACGCGACGACAGCGGTCAATATCTTCACGGATTGGGTGACGGCTTTCATGCCGATTCCGCTGCTATGGAACGTTCAGCTGAACCGCAACACCAAGATTTCTGTTGTATGCATCTTGGGGCTGGGCTTCTTTGCCTCTATATCAGCCTGCGTCCGCCTCAAGTACACGGTCAACCTTGAGGCACACGAGAATTATCTCTATGCTCTTGCCGACATTGTGATCTGGGGATACGCTGAGAGTATGTTTTCACCTGTCTGTCTTCACCAATGACACCAGCCGAATGCTAACCATTTCCAGACGGCCTCGGACTGATCGTAGGCTGTGTCATGACCCTGCGCCCGCTCTTCCGGAGGGTCCTGGGGCTAGGCGGCGACACATCCCAGGGCAAGAGCTACGGCATCAGCAGCACCACGGCCAAGGACCGCTTCGGCACGAAACTGCGGGGCAGCCGGAAGGACGGAAAGGACGACGGCGGCTACGAGATGGACCCGCACAACGAACCGGCCTCCAGAGGCTACGCAAATGGCATGACCCTGACGGAGGTTTTGGGCGGGAATAAACTGGACCGTGAAGAAGACGTGTCGAGTTTCGAAACGGAGAGTCAAAAGAAGATCTTGAGAGATGGGAGTGACATGGCAAAGCGCGGGGATGCGCAGCCGCTGCAGGGTATCATGGTGACAACTCATGTCAATTTGACACATGATGAGTCGAGGCATCATGATAAATCCCCGTCGTTTTGATGGACATGGACGTGGGCACGGGCTGCAAGGGGCAAGCTGTGATTCAGTCAAAGTTGACTTCTTATGCGGCTTCTAATATGGCCTCATATAATACCTAATTATTAGTGTCAAATAGAAGGCATTTATAACACACATATGTGTTTGATGTTGAAGACCGCATCATGTTATGTCGTCAATCTAATATGTCAGGGGCATATGTTTTGATACTTTCAAGTCCCCCTGTTGGGTTTCCAGGGCAACCACGGCACCAACTAACTCCACTGCCATCTCTCTCTTGATTCTTTGCTCAAGTTGGTGTGGTATGCATATGCAGGTTTCGATGAGTCACATGCGCTCTTATCTTCATCTCATACAACTTCATCGTCACGCAACAAATTCATCTCACACACAAACAACAACTTGAAGTTCGTGTGATTGTGTCTCGATCACTATCCCCTCCTACCTCAACTTTAGCTGCATACTACCTACATCGAGTAACCTCCTATGTCATGGCATCCGAAAAGTCCTCTATCACAATCAGAGACCTACAAGATGGAGACCTGGAATCCATAGCCGATATCTACAAGCATGCCGTCCTCAACACCACAGCAACCTACGAGCTCGACCCCCCTAGTCCATCCGCCCTAGGCGGCAGGCTCCATGCTATCCGAGAAGCCGGATTCCCCTGCTTTGTTGCCGAGAACTCATCCTCATCCTCATCCGATATGCCCAGGATCTTGGGGTACGCCTATGCCAGTGAATTCCGCCCACGGCCGGGATATCGGTATACCGTGGAGCATTCGATCTATGTGGCATCCAGTGCAAGGGGACACGGAGTAGGGACCCTGTTGATGGATGCTCTCATTAAGGCGTGTGAAGGCCTTGGCTTCCGTCAGATGGTGGCTGTTATCGGGGAGGGCGGTGATACCAGTCCGTCGGTTTTGTTTCATAGGAAGCTGGGGTTTCGGTATGCTGGGACGTTGGAGGGGTCGGGGTATAAGTTTGGGAGGTGGTTGGATACGGTGTTCATGCAGCGCGCAATCAATGGTGGGACGGGGAGTTTGCCGGATTCGACGTGACTGCTGAAGATCAGGTTGTGAGTAGAGTTTGTATGTACATACAGTACCTTACATCTATCCATGATCCGTAGCTGCGTCATGTCAGGGATGAGGGACCCTACCTGTAGGTCGCGAACCACCTGATTCAGTTGTAGTGACAGAGGCCGCCCGCGGACTTAGCTAATCAAAAAATGATCGACCTCCTCTGCAAGCCTTCGGGGCTGGTTGGCCGATCTCTGGTGAATGGAACTTAGATATCCACTGTGCGATTATGCTCGGCATGGAAGTTGAGAGGCAACCCACAACAGTAGAGCCCACGTCTTCGGTTCTGAGGCATGAAAATCAAGCCCAGCACCTAATGTATGTATAGTACTTTAAAGTACAAGGACAATAAAACGATGCCCTCGTATTCGGATCAGCTCCGTCTGCCAGAGAATATTTGTGTAAACAAACATTATGAACACCCTCCAGCCTCTGACGATATCAGCCACTAGCGCCAGGGGTCGATCAGTACTGAGCGGTTTGTAAACTACTGATTTCGTTCACTAGAAGGTACCGGTATAACTATAAGATAATAAGTACAAATTCGTAGTCAGGTTGAAGTTTCCCAGGGTTTCACTCAACACCGACTTACAGATTGACCCCTGAATGTGACGACGTGACATGTCCGGCAACTCTTCTCTCTCTCTCCTTTTGCAAAGCACTCCACTAGAGAGCTGGAATTTTGTCCAGAACTTCACCGCGACGGCTGCATACCTTCAGGAGACGCTGGAGCATCCTAGTGGTGCCGGTTTGACCGTTGCCATTCGCTTTCTTCGCGACTCGCTTCCCCAGGAAATAGTAAACAACTTGAACATTACGAGCTTACCTAAACACGAGCTTGAATCATCGCTGCTATATTTGCTTGTGTCGACCGAGATACCCCAGCAACAGCTTGATCTCGCCACCAAAGCGTGCAGAAACGAACTCTGTCCGCTGCTTCACTGGTCTGGGGAGCCAGACGCAAGCGGCGTTGGTGTAAGTCTCTCCCAAGTCCACCCTTTGTCGTTCCAGAGTCAGTGGAAGCGCTCTCAAAGCTGACATCCGGTCCTGTAGGTCTCGATAGCCGCATACCTCCATGCGGCACTCGCTGTTGTGTGTGCAACCTTGTTTATTTACAACCGTGTCTTACCTAAACGTCGTCGAAGTGAGCATACGGCTGTACGTTACCAAACAGACTGTGTAGAAGCCTGTTTCAGACTCACACTCAACTTTGCGCGGAGTCTGGCCCTTACATTCGTCGCATCCACCTTGATCCTCGTTGCAGTGTCAGGTAATCCACGGCACGGTTATTCGGAGCGCGTTTCGGTATTTGCGGCTTCCATCTTCGTCGTATCCTCCGCGGTGCTAGAGTTTATATTTTGGGAAGTATATCATGTGAGGACGAAGCGCGACATCCTCGGTCCTCTGTTGATTTTTGCGCTCTACATCTCCCTACTGAGTATTAGAACCCCGAATTCGCCATACGACAACAGTCAGGGGGGATGCACAAACACAAACACAAACTCGTTCTACCAGCTCTGCCACAACATCGAGGATGTCGTTCTCATCCAACACAAACTACACAGCATCGTCTCGGTGGCATCAATCACGGGTCTAGTAGCGCTCAGCGCTTGGGTTGTGGAACGACTCCATCCAGAGCTCAAGTTCTACTTGTACCTTTTTGTCTCCCCTGTGGAATGGGAGAGATTAAGGGCAACCCTGAGACTCAGACAAAGCCTTCCGATTGTCGTCATCTTGCTGCTTCTCTCGAATCTGGCAGCCCTCCTCTTCACCTATGTGGCTTACCGCCGCGTCGTCACGGTGGCTTTGGGAACGGAAAATCCGGAGACGGTCTGGACGCTGGGTCAAATCCTTACGCTTGCATCTTGGCTGCCTTTTGTCCTCGACTTTCTGTTACTAGTACCTCTGGGCCGTTGAGGTAAGTCATGCGTCCCCTGAAGCAGATATTGATACAGCGAGGCAGTACCATCTTTTGCCCCTGTGTATCATAACAATACGAGTTACACGCTGACACACAGTTACAGAAGACTGGAGATGTGAAAGTAGGCTAAAGTTGAAAGCTTCTTGGGTGCAAGACGGATCATCAAAGAAGGACAGCGGATGGAGTAGCTGTAGCAAGAGTTTGAAGCAGGATAGATCGGCATGAACCTGCACCACATGCATGTACTCACACTACCTTAGATGTTCAATATTGTTTCTTGGGATCCTACGGCACATATGCCAGGAACTTCTGCACATCATTTACCATAACCTCCAGCTTACGTCAAACCCCTCTATGTCTCTTGGCTTTGCAAAACGGGTAGTTCAGGCGCCGGCAAATGTCTATAACCGATAACCGGCAGCTGGGCGTAAGATGAACGGGCTGAACATTGTCGAGGTTTAGCACAGTTCATTTCGGGATATGGAATACTGCTATAAAACTGCTTCTTGCCCTGGTGTATGACAACGATCAGGCTACTACATGTTAGTCAGTCGTGACGCATCTCTCCCGTCGCCAGGAACCTCATATCCTCACAACCCTTACCTTCACGATCCTGTAATCATCGGACAAGATGCTCGCCATCCCCAACCCACGGTCTATTCTCACCACCTGCCTTCTGCTCCTGACGCTAGGCAGTCAGACCCGCGCCGACGATGCAGACCCCTTCAAACCCGAAAAACCCATCATGCTCCGGCAATCCGGCGGCTTCACAATAGGCGGCAAGATCATACAAGCCCCGTTCAACCCGAACATGACCCTCTCCTGCGACCACGGTTACGTAGAGTACTTCCACCCCTGGCGGCCTCGCAAGACGAGCATAGTCATGTGGCACAGCTCGAGCACACAAACCTTCCAAAACCGCTGGGACGGCGGCGAGGGCTTCAAAGACAAGTTCCTGCGCCGCGACTACCCGGTCTACCTCTGGGACGGCCCCCGGGTGGGGCGCGCCAACTGGGCGTGCAACGTGACCTACTACGTGCCGGACTACCGGGATCAGGGGAACTTTGCGGCGTGGAACTTTGGCCCGTCGTTCAAGAACTGGTGGCCGGGGGTGCAGTTCCCGACTGAGAATGAGTATGCGTGGCAGCAGGCGACGAGTTCGCGCTATGTTGAGTATGATTCGGAGGCGAGTGTGCATCTCGAGACTAATGCCGCGGCTATTGCGGCGGATTCGGGGAAGTTGGGGAAGAGTATTGTCTATTTGGGCAACTCGGCCAGTGGGCTGCGCGCGCAGATGACGGCTGTTAAGAGCAATTCGACGAATATTAAGGGGATTGTTTGTTATGAGGGGTATGGTTACGTCTTTCCGGACACGGCGGGGATTCGGCCGGGGGCGGGGAATAATGCGTTTGGCCCGATCATTGTGCCGGAGGAGGATTGGAAGAAGTTGACAAAGATTCCGATCCAGTTTTTGTGGGGGGATAATCGGGATGAGAGTTTTACCTTTCTTAACCAGTCGAGGCAGGCGGCGGCGTTGATCAACAAGCATGGCGGCAACGCCGAGGTCATACTGCTGGGGAAAGACAAGGGCCTGAAGGGGACTACCCATATCGCCTTTGCGGACATGCACAACGAAAAGGTTGCTGACCTGCTCGAGGACTTTTTGAGAAAGAACAAGCTGAGTCGCTATGAAAGGGATGAGTGAAATCTTTCAGGGGCTCCCGATGAAGGACAATTCCATGTAGTGGGTGGACTACCTAAGGTAGTTTCTTACCCCTATCTGCGGGTTATCAAGATACATGACTCGGATTGCCACTCAGAATAGACCCTAGAGCTCACCAAAGACCCGGATGATACAGTTCATAAGTTTATGTGCTCCGGAGAACACAGCGTGCTGCTGTTCTAGTATCCATATATTCATGCATTGCCCCTGACAGCCCGAGCTAACCTCAGCAACATCACGACAGAAGCCACCTAGCCACGCATAGCTTCCTCGTACACGCTGGTATCCACAAACTGCTCCAACTCCGCCCTCGTAAACGCCTGGCGCCTGTCAGTCCTAGCAAGATACTGATCCTCCCTCTCCAAAAAATCCACCAAATCCTTCCCCAAACTCCCCGGCCCCCAGACATGATCCTCCCACACATTCTTCAACACTGGCACATCCACATTGACCGTCTGCCCGACCATCGAGTAAACCGCCTCCGTAGGCCTCTTGAAAACCTCATACGTCTGATTCAACGCCCGCACAAACTGCACAATCCTCTGCCTGGTCCCCGCATCCCTCAACTTCTCCTGCGTCGAATACAGACTATACACCTCCCGATAAACCGATGCATTCTTAAACACCACCACATCCCCCTCTCCCACCGCCTGAATCCCCAACTCAACCGACGTCTCCCACACCCCAAACGCATCAATCCTCCGCCCACTGAACTGCGCGGGGAAGGTATCCGCCGCGCAGGGGGCCTTCATGCACACATTCCCATTAACAGTGGTATAATCCCCCTGCGCGAGCCCTGCAGTCGCAAGCAGCTGCCGGACAAACACTTCCGCCGAAGTCCCCGCGATAGTCCCGATGCGTTTGCCCCTGAGATCGGCCAGAGTGTTGATCCCGGCGCCTTTGTGCGCCACCAGGCGGTAGGTGACCTCGACGAGGATGCCGATGAGGCGGATGTTTTTGTTGCGGGCGTAGTTTTTGAGACCCTGAGTCTCGGCGTTGGCGGCTAGGTCGATGCTCCGGTCGCTGCTGAGGTTGGGGACGCCACCGTTGGTGATGGTCGCCGTGTCCGAACTGGCGGCTGCAGGGTTGTAGAAGTTGCGCGCTGCGTACACGAGGGGCGTGTGTTCGACCCATTGCTGGCTGCAGGCGATTCGGAGGCTGAGGGTCGGGGTTGGGAGGTGGAGGAGGGGAAGGGCGAGGGTGAGGAGGTGGAGGAGGCCCATTGTGCAAGACTGTGTCTGCTGGTATCACTGGATGGGTACTAGTAGTGTAGGTTGTGATGTGTTGGGCTCTCCGAATCTTCAATCCCCCGGCTCGCTAATGGGCCGCCGTTTTATGCGTGCCTTACTTTGGATCAGCCGGCAGCATCTACCAGTCCAGAGGCAGACCGAGAGCCTCCGTCCTACACGGATCCGGGGAACGGCACGACCCAGTTCAAGCGGGCCCGGGGTATTACGGCAAAGTTCGCCTACAATGCTTGGGACCTATCGGCAGTTTTGCCGAGTACCATTCCGTGATTGTTGATTAAACCCCCTCATTCCTTACCAATAAGCGATATATTGTGTCGGCAGAAGACCGTCCAACACAGGACTGCAGCAGGACTGGCGAAGGGGGCGGGGAAGCTCCCCGGTGTGTGACAGATCATGTATGTACAGTACAATACCGACTCAGGAAGGAAGCTGTCTAGGTACAACTGCTTCGACGTGATCGAGTACGCTCATATATCCGCAGTAGCTTGAACGATAGTGCCATGATACTACTCTAGACAGATGTAGGTAGGTATGTACCTTAGTTGCTAGACAGCCTGAGACTAAAACCAGCCAGTAGTGATTAGTAAGTCCAAGAGAACGAAAATTCGAAAGTGAGATCCCTAGATCTATGACCATTTAGGGGTATGCCCCTGTCTCCACACATCTGTCCCTCTGTGCGTACCAGCCCTGAGCTCCTCCACAGCTCGTGAGACCTCCCGAGCGTATGGGAGCACTTCGCCCTGTTTCAGTATGGTATAAAAACGTATTGATCAAGTTTCCGAGAGACCCCAAGAGTAAGCTACATGTTCTCCTAACCATCATCCACAGAGTTTCCCTATCCGTCAACCACCCAGCTCCCCTACACGTCAACTTCTCAGATCTCCTACACCCGCGTGCCTGCGGTGGGGCGGGTTGCTGTTTCGAGGCGCCGAAAGGGCGTGGTCCCTAGCTTGGGATACCCTAAGCTAATGTACATCAAGTGCCCCCCTCCGAAAAGAATCTGATGAGTTGATGACCTCCTGGTCATTCCTCCTAACGGAGGAACCGGTTGATGCAGGTCCTCAACATCTCCGGAATCCGGGAGCCTGACGGGCGGCACGCGCCGGCTTTCCTGACTGATCCCTTCTGACGGGCGTGTTATCCTCCGACTCGTCACCTGTGCAGCGGCATCTGGCCGAACTAGCAACTGCTCTGTTAACATCAGTGTTGCCACGGCCTCTCCGTAGCTCTCAACCCGCATCTTATCCGCCATTTCCGCGTCGGTCCGGCCTGATATTAGAAGACCTTAACCCGTGTCTCGAGGCGCGGGCACATTGCCAGACGGTTGATGTAAGGCGTGTCCATAAGGCTGCTGACGATGAGTTTTTACCGCGTGATCCCCTCCTTGACAAGATCAAAGCGTTCTCGGAAATTCCGGCACTTTTCGTACCGTCCCACAAGGCGTGCCGGCATCCAGTGTGCGGATCCGTGTAACGGTGGGATCCTTTTTACTTTCAACGCACGCCTTGTGCGACCTTCCCGTCAGTTTTCCTCCCCGCCAACCACGCAAGTCTCCTAACCGTCAACAATCTCCCTTGTCCCGTCCCGTTCACCATCCGCTGTCGCTACAAGGCCTTGTTTTAGCCCTGGGCACGCTTGGGTTTTGTCCCCTTTGTGGTGGCAGCAACGCTCCTGACTGAGAACGGATTATATCCTCAACAGCAGCCCAACACTGTGTTTGAATTTGGCCTTGGCTGCAAAACAAGCCAAGAAACCTATGTTGGTCCCCGAACTCCATGCAGAGCCACAAGGGCGCACCCTGCTGCGCTCGCGGCACTCAAAGTTCGCGTCATTCTTGCGTGCCAAACCGACGGGCTAACTGAGGATGGCCTGGGGCCAGGGCGAGCAGGAATATATTGTCATACTCTAATACACTCTGATTTTCGAGCGGAGTATGGACTGGCAACATTGTTCATTCCTTCCCCTCCAACCCGGCGCCATCTTCGCTGCAGTGCCTTTTCTGCTTGTTCGCTGGCATGGTGCCGCCAGGCTGGCAGGATGAGTGCTTAATTCAGTAGCCGTGTCTGGCGCCGCGGCAGTTGTCACGAACGAGGTCGTCAAACCCCAGGGGGGTCGGTGAGCATTGGATATCATGTCGTATATATAGTGCTGGAGCGTAGTCGGCTCTCACGGCAACTTCAGCAATCCACTCCCCAGTGCCGTCAAGTTGCTCTGGGCCGACGGCAAGGATGGCACGCTTCGTTGGGCTGCCTCTGTTTCAACCCAGGCCTGGAACTTCAAGTTCCCATTCCTTCGACCGGCCCTGGTCCTGCTCGCGACATTGAACGTGACTTGGTCCATCAGCCCAGTCAAATTCTTCTTGGCGCTCGTTGTTGATCAACCCAAACGTGCAACAGAAGACCTTTCCCAAGCCACCAACGCCCATCGTGGTTTGTCGAGTGCCTCCGGCTTCTCCGGTGTCAGCCCCTGAATTGGCTTGTCCTCCCTGCCCTACTCGAGTCGGCCATCAGTGACTCCATGTCGGCGGTCAATTTGCTCGAAGCAAATTGGGCATACAATGGTTGGCTTGTTATTCTCCGTTTCTTCTCGGATTGTCTCTCGTCGGTTGGACCCTCAGCTGTCGCTCCCGGTCTCTGGGCAGATAGGGGCTCGATGGTGGTAATGTCAACAATGTCGACGATGTTGGTGCTCTCGGGAAATGTGTATGGCTCCCACTCTATTCTTCTCCGTACTGGGGCGGCTAGTCTGGTAATCGATGGTATAAATGGCCCTTGAGTGAAAGCGATGGCTGAAGTGGCAGCATCTGCATGAGGGCATGCGCACACTTCTCCTTTGGTGGCCGCGAGTTTCGCCTTCTCCTTGCACGCTACCCTGATCTTGCTCGATCTCAGCTTCGTCTTCAAAGGTGGAAGACCTAGCATCCATAGTCGTCTTTTCGTAGCCGCCCACGTCTCGAAACACCCCCTGTGGATATTCTGCCCGCACGCCGCGCGACATCACACTAGGAGGTGGGTGAAGAGGACAAAAGAAAGGAAACTGAGGTATATAGTGGATCCAGATAGATAGATAGAATGCCCCAACAGAGTCACCGTAGTCAGCGCAGCTCTAGAACGGTGCAAAAGGAGGCTGCCGGGTTCAACCCGAATAGCGTTTGCGACTGCGTTGCTCCCTCATTTGAAGGGTAAGTCGGTCAGGGGATGGTGGCATCTCTGCTTGCGAAGCTGTTGATATTTGACTGGTATTGCTGACGTCGCTTGCCTGCTTTGTCACGAACGGTGAACCATCGATACGTGGAATGTGTTGATGATCTTCATATTCGAGGGCAACTTGCGTGAAAGCCCAGTATGGTACGAACCAGTATGCCAATTCCCTCAAGATGGTAAACTTCCACCAACATCGACGATTGCTTCAAAGCTGAGAGCTCTCGTACAAGCTGTCGCTGGGATTTGTCGTCTTTGGGGAAGATCATGTATCATGTCGTTGGTTTGACAGGGACAACCTCCTAATCACAATCCTGCTCCTCGGCCATACAGCGCTTGCGGCCGTCATTTAGACCGGAGTCCGCTGTTCGCTTCCTCGCAGAGCCGACGAGTCGATCAGCACCCGGCACAGTTCAGGTCTGCCCCGCGGCCTCCCCTTCGGTCAGGTATAGGCAGTATATTATAACGCGGCCCAGCGCATGTCATCAATGTTAGCTATTAGACCCGTGTAGACGTGGCCTTTTGCTGTAGGAGCTCCTCCATTGGTGGTCGCATGCTTGAGTTACTGTTCTTAGTATTCAGCCACAGGGAAGATGCTACAAGAAACCTGGCCGACTGGCTAGGTGAAGGAAGAGAATTGTAGCTGAGGAAAGCCGTTGGATCTGAGAAAGTTGCGGGAAGTATCTGTGAGAAACCTGGCTCTTGACATTAAAATAAACCGGGCGGAGGCTGGCGCTCGCTCAGGGCTAGCCGCCTCAGGAGAGTCCTCCGGCAGAAACATGGATGGGGCTTGGGAGATCTCCCTGTGGGAGATCATAAAATTGTCGGCCCCATCCATGGCCTGGACCTCGACCTGGCCCTGGTTCCTGACTCGGTTACCGTGTGCTTCGAACAGCTGCGGGTCGATAAAGCTTGGGTCCAAGAAATCGTCCCCTGAGGAAGAGCAACCTTCTCGTTAGCCGGAGGGACCAACAGCTTGGGATCTTCTTGGCCGGCAGCACTCGGGCCAGCAGGGTTACCTACCACGAGGTCGAAGGCATTGTCATACTCCCACCTCGTCGCCGGGACCATCATAGATCTCGTAAGAAGGTAGCCAGGCCAGCCCTCTGGCATTCTGATGTTCTCCATCTCGTCGAGGGTTGAAAGACGAGAGGTAAAGCCACATTCCAGCACATTGCGATTTGGACCTTGCTCCAGCTGCTCGAGTCAGACGACAAAAAGCTCATTGGCCTTATTGGCAAGTCGGACGAGCAATGCTAGCGATGTGATTATCGGTCCAAGGTAGTCACTGAACCTACCAGTCGGAGTTGGTGACCCAGTAGTCACAATCGTAGTTGAGCGGAAGGTTCAGATTCCCACATGCAGTTCCGGCAGCATCCATCGAGGTATCCTTTCACCCTGCTGTGTTAGGTCGACGAACGGGGCGCGCATATGGAAGGTATGTATATTGGCCCGGGTCATGTAGGTCTTGCACGTACGACCCCGAGATCGACACGGGCGACATGTGTGAGGTTCTGTATATATTTAGTAGCGAGATATTATCCGACTGTCCTGGGTCCGGTGTGTCTTTGAGGCGCGATAGAGACACATCCTTCTTTCGATGATCACAGGCCGATCGAATAGCGGGTGCGTGGCCACATGGATAATTATAAAGATCTGGTATCGTCTAGCAACGATTTGATGGGGAAGCATGTGTCTCTCGGTCCCGCCGCTGAGATCCAATTGTGCCCATGGGAATTTGGCCTTCAGCTCGTTGTAATCGAAGATGGTATTCACCGGAGACGAGTCGCAATTGCGAGCACCACGTGTACCCGGTTGGGTACGTGCGTTCGGGTTGGGGATGCCTCGACCTGGGGTTGACGGCCACCGCGCAAAACGTCGTGTGGGGGTTTGGTCCCGGCCTCCCGGTGGAAGTGTAGCCCGTTGAGATACGTCCCAACTCAGCGCCATGGGGTGCGGATCGTAGTGAGGCACCGCGGACGCCCCGGACGGCTCGAGACGAGCACGCGCCCGGCCCCCCTTTTTGCATATGTCGCCGCTGCTGGCTTGTGTGACGTTATCGGAGGGGCAAGAACGAAGGCGGGTGCTCTATGGTGACATGACTCGAGTCGGGTGTTGCGCCTTAGTTTGAGCCGGCAGTGCTCGGCAAGGGACTTATTGCCCAGGCTAGGTACGGAGCACAATCTCCTTGCTTCTATTCAGGGTGGCCTTTCTAGTGTCCTCTAACTCTGGATGGGTTGAGTTCAGATGGGGCTTGCCCACAACTAAATTCTGCACATCCCAAGCAGCAAGTTGGGGGGCGGTTTCTAAGTTGGTCAAGCTATAAAGTAAAGTGTTAGTGTAAGTAGGTGATGTGTATCTCCTGGAGAACTTACGCTCTCGCCAGGTTGTGGGTTGTCGTATCTGTCCAGTGCCTGGATAAACACGTGGACAACGTCAATGCAGTCTAAGGGTACCGGTTCACGGAACTTTTGCCCCTTAGAGCACCTATAACACCGCCACTTAGCGCTGGGGTCCTCCGCGCACCTGGGATGGTCCAGGTCCTTCGCCATGGGTGAGAGACATGGACGGCACCTATAGGAGACACTTGTTAGCGCTATTCCATTTCGTTCGGGATGGAGGAGGTGGCTTACAACTGTATGATCAGTACCCAAGCTTCGATTGGAATCGTCTTGAACTGACACAGATAGCTTTCCGCCGTCGGCTGCATCTTGCCCGCCCGCTACGGCTTGGCAGGTAGAGGACAAAATTGGGTATATATAAAGGTGACACTCCACTGTTGAAGGAAGCGACCGAGGTAGGTTGTTGTGTCTCTGATGGAGTTGCCGTTTAAAGGTAGAATGCACCCCGCCAGTTCTCGTAAACTAGCATGATGAACAGCACGCCAGTTTCGCCGTCTGGTGTTGTACGACAAACTGTTCCACTACACCGATGCACGCTGCAAGTGCCATGCCACGGTCGAAGGGTTCTTCACGCCGCTTGTCCATGCCAGGCACCTGTTCGGCTATCCAGTCTGCCATTTCGCTCTCATAGTTATGCAGACGGATTACTCCGTCTTGCCTGCCAGAAAGGGTATTAATCCACTTGTTCAGGTCGTTTGCGACGTCATTCACTGCCGTGTTCAGGTTGGTGAAATAAATTGCCTTGATGGTGTGGACGCAGTGCTTATCGCCAAATATGGCCATCAGGATGGTGAATATCAGGAGATGTGATTTTCCGGTGCCCGCGACTCCGGCGATGAATTGAAGGTTGTTCACCAAGTCGCTCATGTTCAGAGGGACAATCATGTTGCTGATGTCGGAAAAGATGGCCACGCAGCGCGCCAGTGTGCCCAGGGTGAACTTGAGAAGGTCGGTGAGCAGGATAGTGTCGAACCAGAGCTTCTGGCCTTTGAAGACGCGAGACGGAGGAAGAGCCTGAAGCAGATAAAATTCTTGCGGCGAGATGACACTTCATTGTTGGAGGAGAAGCGATCGAGGTACTGTAGGTTGTTTTGGCTGGAGGAAGAGCAATCCTCAACATGTAGCAATTTTGTTGAACTGATGATATATTTAAGATCGTAGTTGGTGGAAGACTACTAGTAGAAAAGGTTGGTATCGACGGCACACCAAATTTGACTCCCGTGGGGATGAGGGCATTATAACCTCCTTCGCTCATTAGTGAGACAGGACCATTCCTAGAGATTGTCTCCTCCTGAAAGGAAACATAACAACTGTTTGTTTATTTGCGGGTAGATAAATATCAAGGGAAAACACACACATGACCCTTATTCCTTTCCATTCCAACTCCGGGCCCGCCATAGTCTCAAACAACCAATCCAACCAGTACAAACATGGCATGTGCATGTGTTTGCCCTTGCTGTCAGCAGCAAGCAATGTAACATCATTTCAGTTTGTTGGGAGCCATCAAAGCATGCATATGTGCGCATCCGCAAACACAACAGATGGAAACCTGCAGCACTTTACCACTCAACCCAGTTAGCTGGATCCTGTCCTTTTCTATCGTCTTCCATGATTGCCCAGCAACAACCTCCCTACCGAAAGCTGACCACCTTCCCAAAGGTATCCGACATGCCCCAAATCCCCTCCCTCAAACAACTCAACTGCACAATCTGTGAGTGATCCACAAACAAATTCACATCCACGCCAAACTCCCTGATATACCAGTTAAACACCTTCGGATCCGCCGCCTCAAACATGACCTTCTCCGCCGGCAACCCCTTCAAAATCGCCTGAATGACATCCGTCCTCCAGGCTTTAACATTCTCCGTAATTCCCTCACTCTCAATCATGATCCGTTCCACACCACACTCCTCAATGAACCGCTTCCCCAAGTTCACAACCTTGGACGGGTCCGAGGTCCCGCCCCCAAGAGCCTCCAGCTCTCCGGCCTCCGTATCACCGCCGGCGCCAAACTGGATGCCGATCTCCGGCTTGGCTTTGAGCCCTTCAGACTGTACCTTGTTGAGGAGACGGACCCAGTCGTCGGGGGGTAGGGAGAGGAAGCCTGAGGATATTTCGATGACGTCGAAGCCAAGCGATTTGCACTTCTTCAGGTAGCGAGTTACGGCCGTGGAGGCGTCGGATTGGGTCAGGACGTGTTCGATCCAGCCGCCCTGGGATGAAGTGTGAGTGAGCGGGTTATGGTATGCTCATGAGCTCAGGCGTAGCAGGGCCTCTGTTCCTGTTTAGGGAGGTGTAAGACGTACCGTTGACACATACACACCATACTCGTGTGCCAGGTCGATCAGCTCTCGCAGCTTGTCTTCGGGGAAGAGGGAAAAGGAGCCGCCGGCAAACTTGAGACCGTCAACGTGATGGCCCATGCTACAGGTGCTTTTAGCCTGAGTCCCCTCTGTCAGGATCAGAAAAGGGGGTAGTACACCTACGTCTCCAGCACATCCTGCAGGTACCGCTTCCCCATGACTGAGTAATATGGACCCCGGATCTCTGTAACGCCGACCTTTCTGGGCTTTGGTGGGCGGCGGTTGTGTCGGATGAAGCCGAATCCATGTTCGTCCTCTAGCATGATCTTTTGGTTGTGTTGGGACGACCCGTGCGCTGCCTTTGATAGCACCGTCGGTGAGCTTGAGATTGGCCTGCAAGTCTGAATGCATGGCTTGCTGAGAGTGCCAGTCAGGGGTGCCAACGCTGGACGCAGCAGGCCAGAAAGCGGTCGAATGGCCATGTTGAAGTCAAGGGGTAGAAGGGGGGATGAACGATATCAAGGGAGCCTTTACTATCTCGGAGACAAATCTGGATATAGAAATGGATGAGAAAATATCGATAGGTCTATTCAGAGGCCTCTTTGTGATTGTGTTGATTCCCGCGGTCGTCATGGGTAGCGTACCCCTTAATGATCGGCATGGTGACAGTTGACGTTGATGTTACGTCATGAACCTCGTACTCACCCTGTATTTCATAGCAGGCAGGTGCAGTCCATTTGATTCGGCGTATCTCGATTGAAGAAACGAACCTGTGCGAATGGAATGTCGTCCACGCGGCATGACTGCAGGAGCCAGTGTTTCTAGGGGTGTGGCTTCCTACCCGGTACACGTAGTCTCCTACGATTGTAGAATTTGTAGTGCCCACTCGCTTGTGTTTAGTTCAGTTCATCCCAACAATGGTTATCCACTCCCAACAAAATGTGAAGTGGTCTCACTAATGATCAGCCAATTTGGAAAGCCTTCAAAATATTTTGACGTGGGCAAACTGTGTGTCTTTCATGTATGCCTAGGCCTGAAGTCTTGAACTCTTGTCTTCGTTACACCTATTTGTGCCGCTTTTCCGTCTCCAAAACTGCAACACTCCACCGTGGCAGGCTGAACTTATACACACCACCCGCCTCAGCCTTCAAAGTCTTCTTCATCTCCTTGACGACGTTGACCCCGGTGAAAGGATCATTGAAGCCATACGGATCCTCGGGGCCTGTCAAGACGGTCAAAGTCGCCTTGGCCCCCTTCTTTTCCTGTCCTTCGAACCGGACCGAGACCGACACAGGTTCTGTCGTGTTGTACACTGCAGCCTTGAAGAGCGACGTCCCCTTATCACTCTCACCAGCAACCCAGTAAAGCGGGTTGATGCCGCCCTTGTTGATCGTGACGGGGAGCGTGTTTTTGAGCGGTTTCTCGCCGAGCAGCTATGGCACATTCAGTCAGTAAACACACACCAGCTGCGATCTAAACAGGAAGAAGTGTTTAAAATACGGCATACCTTCCAGACATACCAGCTGGTCGACCGCGTCGTCAGCTTGGTATCCGCAGCATGCTGAACCAAAGTCATCCCCCACTGCCAACGGTTGAGGTTGCGCAGCAACGGCGCGTAGGTGACGCCAATGACCTTGTCCCCGTTCCGCTCCACTCCAAGGAGGAAGATGCCCTCGGCCACGGAGCCAATCCACCACGGGTTGGATCCCAGTGGGCCATTCCATCCCAGACCACCATTGGGATGCGTCACGGCCGCCTCACCTGCAGCAGTCAATTAGCTCCCGTCATGAACAGCAACCGCATCCTCTTCCTGGAACTCAAAACATACCAACAATAGTCAAGTTATCCCTCGTCAACGGATCCAACCGGTCCCACGAATCCACCATATTATCCGGCGTCAGATACGGATGCCAATCCCCTGCTGCCCCCGCCGGAATAGTCATGTTATCAAACACACTCGGCGACGCAATGATCTGAATATCCGGATACCTCTCCTGAAACGCCTTGTAGAACATCGGAAACCGATAATTCTTATACGCCTCATACGACGCCGGCGCACCCGCAAGCCAATCCTCATTCCCAATCTCCACATACCTGATCCTCCACGGCTTGGGATACCCCAACGCGGCCCGCACAGCGCCCCATTTCGTCCTCTTTGCATCCCCGGTCAGGAACTCGATTTCGTCCAGAGCATACTGCACCGCCTCGGCTGTCTGGTTGGGGTCGTAGAATGCCCCGTCGAGAGACAAGCCTGCCCACACGCCCAGGATGGGTTCGAGCTTGAGGTCGTCGGCCCACTGCATGTACTCGATCAGTCCCATGCCGTTGGTCAGTTGGTAGGACCAGGTGCCGGCCATCCCGGGGCGGTCTTTTAAGGGCCCGAGGGTCAGGTGCCATTTCCAGTAGCTGTCGATGGTGTTGCCCATGAGCATGTTGCCGCCGGGGAAGCGGAGGAATTTCTGGGTGGTTGATGATGGTTAGTGAGGGAGTGGGATGGAAAGAGGGAGGGGAGGTTGGGGGTGGTACGGGTTTCAGCGCGGCAAAGGCCTCGACAAGGTCCGGGCGGAGACCGTTGGGGCGGTTGTTGAAGGTTGGCGGGAAGAGGGAGATCAGGTTGAAGTCGAGGCTGCGATTCTTGGCTTTCTGTCTTTCCGTTAGCTGGAGTCCAAAGTGACATCCTTGGGGAGAGAGTCTACCTCGGCCTTGAAGGTAAGGGCGAAAGTGTTGTTGCTGTTCGGGGCATTCTTCCTCGGCACGAGCGTGAAGTTGTGCTGCGTCCACTCGCCGGCCACGCTCTGCGACTCGACTTCAACCTTGCCAAACACCTCCTTATCTCCCAGCGCAGATTGCAGAGATACAGTAAACTTCCCCTCATACTCCCCCTTAACATAGAACGACCCAGTGTACTTCTGCTTCTTGACGTCAATGCCCCAGTACCCGGAGTTGGCGAGACCGATCATCCCCTTCTCGCCAGACACCTGCACGGAAGTTGGCAGTGCCGCGGACAGCGGTTGAGACAGGTTCTTGAGCGCAAGCTGTGCACCGCCTACGGGGGACCAGCCGTCCAGGTTGCTCGGGAACCGGGGGCTCCCCTGAAAGGCGCGGTTGCTGATGAGCTCGGCGTAGATACCGCCGTCGCCCGAATTGTTGATGTCCTCGTGCATGAGGCCATACATGATGGGAGACGAGACATTGCCGCCTGTGGCCTTGACGACAAGCTCGTTGACGGTGTTGGCAGCCTCGGAAAGGGGCGAGATGGCCAGGGCGGCCACGACCGCCGATTTGACGGATACCATGGCTGGTCAAGTTCTCCTGTGCGGGCGAGGGAAGTTGGGAGTTGGAGGTGAGCAGACAGAAGGAGAACACATTGTCGAACTCGAAGCTACATATACTGTCGTCTTAGCTAGGTATTGTCCCTCATCTTGGGTGTACATAATAGCCTTTCCCATTCTGGCGGACTAATCCGTTCTGCCACGATGATGACGGCTAGAACCATCCATGACCGACCAGTGGAACCGGACCATCCCCCGCATCATCACGCCTGGCCTTGTCGATCCATTGCTGGCCTTCCGGGCAGCCGGGACATCTCGCCTAGCCGTCCCTAGGGCCTGGTTCCCGGAGAGGCAATCTTATGATTGCTGGGAACGTGACCGGTCCCCTGGTGAGGCTGCTTGGCGATGTGCGTGGGCATCAATGTAAGGTGTGAATAAGCACCGCCATGCCTCGGTGTGCGGTTGCACGTATAAGCGCTCCAATGTCACGAAGCGGCTACTACGTATGATGCCTGCTTGTGCAGTCGGTAACCGTCGTCGGCAACCGGTTGTAAACATGTAGGCAGGTAGGGTCGGGTGCCAAGGGTGGCAACCAACGGCTAAATTGAGGGGAGCTGCGGAGGGTAACATCGGCCCGGCTACCATCTTTTTGCCTTGTAGACAGCCGTGGTACGGTTCCACCGTTCCGGGTATTACTGGAGGGATCCCCGTCGACTCTGCACTACCGGTACATCTCCTAGGTAGGACCCGATTTGAGACCTGTCAGAGACTGGAGTTGCTGTGTGAGTCTCTGCCCAGTCAGGGGTCCAGATTCCAGAAAGGGCCAGTCTGCGAGTTGAGTCTAGCCATGGAGGCCCCTATTTTGACTCATATTACTCCGGACTATGGGTACCTGCATCTAAATGGCTGCTGCGACATGGAGGTGCCGGATGTCGAGGTGTATGCATGTGATTGTTTACATTGTTGACATTATTCCGCTCGACTTATATACAGCAGGCTATGAATCCCCGACCTGTCTGCAGAGGAACCGGCCTCGTTCAGATATACAGAACCACACATTAGCCTTCTATCATTTCCAACCCAATATACCCTTTCAACGCCCGAATCGTTTTCACCATGCACCAGCCACGAGTTGCTGCAGTGCAGCCTCGCATACCTAGTCCTGGCGCATCCTGAGATCCAGAGCTGGCAGGACGAATTCACTCCCGCTCGTACCTTGGGAGATAGTAGAGGGCGTCCCGGGAGTCCGTTGCTCAATATCCCCAATGTAGTCCAGGACAAGTCGTGTTATGTCCCGTCTGCCACTGTGTGAGCAACTGCCAACACGCATTCCCCATTTGTGTACCGTACAGTACAGAGTGCTACTTACGTCAACTCCAAGTGCTGCCTCTCTGACCGAAGCCTGCAATAGCTGTCAATGCTCCGAAACATCACACGGCGCGCAGTCTCATACACAGTGACATACTCGGAACAAAGTGTCCTCAACAGGAGAATATCATCCCTGAACATCTTATACCGCCTCTTCAAATCCTTCTCCAACAGCGGCAAGCGGAGGTTTATCGACAGCCAATTTGAAGAATTCCCTTGCTCCAGGGCCGAGAGCGTCAGCAACTTTTGCAACCCGGCCTGGCGCTGCTCGCACATCCGTAGTGCCTCCAAGACAGCCTCCGGGACAGCAGCCGTGGCGGAGATGGTGGACCTCGAGTCCTCCAAGATATGTCCCAAAACGCCAATTTCCCGGCGATGAACGTCAATTACGTCCCTGGCGAACTCGGTGCGACGTCGCCACTCGCGGGACAGGGTAATGAGAGTGAAAACGCACGAGATGATGGCGAGGACTGACGTGGTGAAGCCGACGAGGGTTATCGGTTCGTAGGCCATAGTGTGGATTGTATTGAATGGCGGTTAGACATGTTCACTCGTGACAAGAGCATCTCAGCATGATACCATCGATCTCATGGTATGATGGCGAGTAGGCGAACGGGAGCAGCCGAGATCCTGGAAGCAAATCCATGCTTGCTCGGCCTTCACACGTGGACAAATAGGACCAACGTCGGTGAGACACATACCCCCTGCTGAGGTTTAGGCTCATTGCAGGCGGCGATCTGGACGATCCGAATATGATGGGTGGCTTGCCAAGAACGGCGGGAAGGGCTGTGCATATACCTATCATGGGGGTATTCGTGATTTACTTCCTTTCTGCCAGTATCTGGTGATTGAGATTGGAGTAAACATCAAGGGAGGATTGCCTAAGGTACATGGACAGGTAAGTAGGTAGGTAGATATAGAATCCAGATTCTGGTCGGGCGGTAGACACATGTATGGAACGGAGGCCAAGAAGTCCACTCCTGGGTACTGTACTGTGCATATAAACAGCACCCACCCCTGGGTTTTGCATATAGACATAGTTAAGGCATCGACGGGCTGTAACCGAGTCATAGGACGAGGTAACAGCTTGGAAAACAACCTGAAGGGCGTTTAAGCTACACGGGCAACCGGAGTCATGCATGTACTTCTCCTGCAGTGGTAATAAAGAAAGCTGGGAACTTCAGATAGAAGGCAAATAACGCCGTATCGACATCCTCCAGATACAACGCTAAGGCAATACCATCGGTTCCATTGCGGTCACAGTGACAGAATTCGTCAGGCATTTGGCATCCAGTCCTCCGCCGCCATCTCAGACCCGCTCAGTTCAAACCCCGGCGCGACTGTGGCAGAGACTCAAAGTTAGTAGTCTAACATCACAGGGTAAACAGTAAACAGTAAATGTAAACATACCGGTAGTCCCAACCAAACTCCACCCCCCCTGACTCTCACACCTCGCCCTCTACCACATCCCACTAGGCACAACAACCTGCGGCCGCTGACCCTGAAATACATCCGGCCCTAACACAATCTCCCGAACCGGTGACCCATCGTCACGGGCAAGGAAGAGTGTGAGAGGCGCGCCGGCATAGTAATGCCACACCTCGGCGGCGTCAAGAAGACGGTGCCAGCGGGAGAAACCGTCGGCGCCTTCGAGGAGGTAGTAGATGGCTGTGCTGGCGGAGCGGGTAGTTAGTACTTGCGCCGCCGCTGGGTGTGGTGGTTGTGCTTGTGACGTTGGATGTGTCGCGGAAGGTTTCGAGGTAGTAGCCTTTTTCGATGTTGGGGATGAGGTTGAGCTGGGTGATGACTTCTTGTGCTGTTCGTTGGGTCATGGGGATGAATGAATCGTGATAGGAACTTGAAGTGTTCGTTGGGCGCGAGGACAGGACCTCTCTGTGACCAGTCATTTGGATGAATATCCCACTGATGGGAACGCACAGGAGGACGACGATGGGGTTGATACGCAGCATTTTGTTGAGATAGTTTGCCGCCTGGTAAGAGAATATGGGTGAGGTCTGAGGAAGAGAGTGCCCGAGAAACCGATTGATGTCCTGCTCTGGCACTCAGTTGACTTATAACGGCTGAGCTTGAACGACTTCTGAGTCGACATGGTCACATGCATGCAGTCATCACCTACGGCTACGCTACCCGTGCGTGCTGCGGTGTCAGGTTGGCACACTGCAGCCAATGAACACATCTCAAGGAAATTCTCGTCATCGAAGCCATTACCAGATGAAGTAAGATGTACACATGCACAAGTCTAAGCTCAGCTTTTCATTTTCCTCGACCCTATTACCACTCTCATAGCTCGTCTTTCCCGGCCTTATCAGCCTCTTGTGTGCTTGCTGGCGTTTCCGCCTCTTCCGTCTTCTCCGTCTCCTTGGCCTGTTCTGTCTTTGCACTCTGCTGAACAGTCTCCTCCACATCATCCTCACCCGCATCCTCCCCGGGCTTGAGCTTCAGCACCTGCGCCTTGATGCGGAACTCAATCTCCCTCTCCCCCTTCGATCGCTTGGCAAAGGTCCAGTGGACGGGGTAGGCAACGACTCCTCCATCAACCAGCTTGGCGCTGTACTTGGAAAGGTCCAGAAGGGGCGCTATCAAGCCAACCGTCAGCATGAGAAAACAAACCAAATATAAGAAATAGACCGCGGCACTTACCCTCACACCCGCTCCCCTCCGCCACCCAAAGCGGCAGAATCTCATACAACGCCCCCGGCGCAAACAACACAACCCTCCTCTCATCCCTCGCCCTCCACTCCTCACTGACCGGCGTCTCCGCGGGCACCTTAATGGTATGCAACACCCTCGTCCCGGGCATCGGCCTGTTATAAACAGCAAACAACCCCCTCCCCTCCCCATCCGTCCGTTCCTGCTCCTCAATCCACTCGCGCACCTTGAGCGGCATCTCATCATAATTCATAAACAGAATATTCCGGTCGTAGCCGTGCGGGTCAATGCCGTCCCAGCTGCCGGGGTACTCGCGCGCCGAAAAGACTTCCTTCAGGGCATCGCGGTAGGGGAGGAGTCCGCCGGGCCCTTCCTCGGCTAGGTCGTCGAGTAGGTAGTCGCCGGCTTTGAAGAGGCGTTCGACTTCGCAGGTGGTGTCGAATTTTGAGAGGCGGGGGGATTCGAAGGGGTTGGGCCACTTCCAGTTTTCCATCTTTTCCCGCTTGCCTCGGAGACGGGGAGGGGTTTTGGGGTTGGGTGGGCCGATGGCCGTCGCGAAGCCCGTGAGGAGGGCGGCGGTGAGGAGGGTTTGGAGTTTCATAGTGAAGTTGTGACTACCTAGGTGCGGTGGAACTAAGAGGAGGGTATGAGGATGTGAAAGCTCAACTCAACCACCGTCAGGGGGGTGGAAGAGGAGGAGGAATATGGTGAGTCTGCGTAGAAAGAGCAATGCTGAAGCCATGGTCGCTTGAAGTTGATCTTGTCGACCGATTCTTATTCATGCGGCTTTAATGGTAAGAACTGAAGTGGTGAACTGTCCTCCGGAGTCGTCTTCCGAGTTTCCAGATTTGACAAGGTCCGTCAAAGGCTCGGATGGAGAGTGCGGGGACGGCCCCCGACTTGAAAGTGCGGAGAAGCTACCCCTAACTTAGATGTAACCCATGTGCAGGCTGGTACGTAAAGCAACAAGTTAGTACTGTACAGTTGAACATGTCTATACTCTATAATACTACTGCGGATCTCTATCTTAAGGCTGAATGAGTGAGGGACGAATCCAAGTCCAAGAAACCACCATGTCGACCACACGTGCACTCATCTCAACTCTTACACCCGGCAACAGCCACATCGATTCACAGGATGCTACCCATGACTCTTGACGCCACGCCATTTAAGGAGTACGACCAAGCAGACGGTTGGCAATGTCGCTGACATAGCTATCCGTCGCTCCCAGCCCGTTGCTGAGATTCGAGGCATCAACCGAACCAGAATTGTAGGCACGCAGCGCCTTGTAGATAGTATCCGCATTGTCCGCATTACCAAACTGGATCAGGTTCTGCTTGAAATGGTTCGTCCCAGCCCTAACCATACTGGTGATTTGGTCCTACTCCTTGTCAGCCACCTCACACTGCATCAACACCATCCCAGCTGGCATGATAAAGACAGACCTGCGAGAGACCATGCTGGCCCGGAAACCCGGGACTTCCATCCGCCTGCATCAGCCCGGCCGTGGCATGGCCGTCGCCGTTGTAAGTCGTCTGGACGCCGACGTTGCCGGTGCTCTCCTGCATGATGATGGCAAAGATGACGCGCTCCTCGACGCCAATCTTTGCGCACTCGAGCACCGCGTTCCAGATGCGCCCAATGTCCTCGCCCGTGTCGCCCGTGGCGAACATGGCCGGCTTATTGATGTTGAAGATCTCTTCGAAGGACTTCCACTGGCTCATGGGCGGGAAGTTGGAGGAGGGACCGGAGTAGTAGGTGAAGCCCATTTTGGTGGTTGGGGGCGGCTGTTGGGATACCTAGGTAATCGTTGAGTCGTTGGGGATAAGTGTAATACGGGGCACAACTTGAAGTTCAGGTTCTTGTCGGTGAAGTTGCGAGCTGGCTGATGATGGATGCGGAAAGCAATCTAGACGGTCATGACTGCCGGATTTTATAGATTTTGAGGCTTCAGTACACGCAACACCTTACTACCTCTTAGAGAAGCGAATGGAGGTTCGACTGGAATCCATGGTCACAGACTCACAATACTAATCATTGCCACCACCATGGTTGCTTACTGGTGTCGAGTGCAAATTTGGCATCCTAACCCCGAGATTCCCGTTGTCGCGTCAAGGCTTCACGTCCGTCGTGCTTTAGTAATAGCCCCTGATTCAGCTGCGCTCGTCATGTCACTGGGGCTTGGCTCAGAACCCTCAGATTCGCGGAGGGGCGGGACAGGCAGAGTGTTTGCGATTCCAAAGGCCTCAATTCCGGAACAGGTAAAAAAGGCGAATACATGGGCTGCAAGCTCATAACGGACAGGTGAGCGCTGGAGAGTAGAGTCTCGTGTGACCAGCAAACTCTTACAATTTCACCATACGACGAGACTAGACACCTTATGATTCATGGTACCGCTTGTATGGCCAAGTCTAGACTAGCGATAACAGATTACCATGATTCCATGTTACTACCAGTACTTGTTTACACTGCCCCTTTTCTCTACCTCACTCAGATCTCCCCCCTCCAGTCTAGAACCTAATGCCCCTTACCCTTCCCCTTCCCCTTCCCCTTCCCAGTCCTGCACTCACCCTTGAAAGTCGACCCAATCTCACCCCAGCGCAGTTGGCTGTAAGTGACCTCCGGGTTAGGCTCAATCTGCCTAATAACCCTCGGATCGCCCTCAGTAGCATTGCACGGCCCAGCCTCACCACTATCCAACCACCTCATAAAGCCACCCTCATCCCACCAGATGCTCATCGCCAGCACCATCCCCCGCGTCATAGCCTCACCCATGCCCACCGTCCCACCCAGATCCAGATACCTCTCCGCACCGGTGGCCGCGCAGAACTCATCCGTCAGCGAATCCGTCTTGGGCAGGCCCTCAACGTTAACAGTAAACGACTGAATGACCTTGCCGTCCTGGGCGTACATGCGGTGGATCTTCTCCAGCTTGCCGTTCTTGTCCGCGGGGAACTGGGTGATGACAGAAAAGGGCCGCCGCGTGTCCACCTTGAACGCGTCGCTGTTGCCGTAGTAGTCCGTCACGTTGACCCGGTACGGGTTCCACGCGCACCCGTTCTTGTCACACACGCCGTCAAACTCGCACTCGGCGCCCTCGCACAGGTACAGGCCGGTCTGGTTGCACGTGTGGGGCGCGACGTGCGACGCGCGGGAGTTGGCCTCCCAGATGTCCATCTCGTTGCAGCACGAGCCGCGGCCTTGGATGTTGCCCTGGTGTGCGGGGTCTGTGGTTAGTAATGGTGTCCTTACATCTCCGAAGATCATAGAGGTACTTACGACACCGTTGATGAACGGAGTAACAAAGCACTGAGCATCACAGTACCCCGTGCCATAGTAAGCGCCGCCCGGGTTAAGTTCACTCTGGGCGCCATCGGCCGCCATCTCGGAGAGATACAGCGCGCTGTTCATGCCGCAGGGCAGCTTGGTGGCGTCGACGTCAAACGTGAACTCGTTGCCCGTGAGCTTCATCATCTCGTACTTGCGCTCCGTCTCGTCAAGGAGGTAGACGCGCGGAGACACGGTCCGGCCCTCGAGGAGCTGCTGCAGACGCAGCGAGCTGCCGCTGGTGGTCACGCCGTAGGCGCTGTAGTCGGAGATGCCCTCCATGATGCAGTTCTGGGCGCACGACGCCTCGTCCGGGCACGCCGTGGCATTGGGTTTGTTGCCCCAGTCGCCGCAGTTGTACGAGTTGGTGGCCTGGTGGATGGGGTGCGCGAGCGAGTCCAACACGATGAAGTTGGTCTGGGGCTTGCAGCCATCCTTCTTGCTGCAGCGGTACGTTGTCAGCTTGGGATGCACTTCGGGCGTGTTCCCCGGCTTTTGGCCATTGGCCAGGCCCAAGAGGAGGGAGCTGAAGCCGAGAAGGGCGAGTTTGCCAGCCATGATGTCGGCGTCGACGGTCAACTGAAGTGGTCGTTGGGTCCGGCTCTGAATACCGAGGACTGCAAGGGCACCGACGACGGGAGGTAGCAGAGGCTAGGGAGTCCAATGGCATATATAGGCCTCCTCTGACACCCCATTACCCATCATTCGGGTCGGCATCCCCACCGGGTCCTGTGTTATGCTTCTCCGCACGGCTCATGGTCCCGGACTCCCATTCAACCCCCTGCTAGCCACAGATAGTGTGCCCAAGTTTTCCTTGGAGAAATTGGACATCTGGGTGGTGCCGGTGGCAAGAGAGCTGGCGCCGGCAGTGGGCCCGGGTTTCCGGCGCGGGATCATCTGCAAGGGACGACGCCAAGAGAGATCTCGGCTGGAGTGCATAAACATGACGGTTGGCGGCTCAATAACGTGGTCCGCCAAGACGGCCAAGCATATCTTGCGGACATTGACCAGCCGAGATTCCCAGGTCAGGAATGGACCAGGAAATGCGGGGAGAGATGGTCTTCAAGGATGTCGATTTGGGAACTCCAGTACTCCACAAAGGGATGGACGTCGGGCCGTACTAGTCCTCAGCACTCTCAGCGGCCGGTCAGGCTAGGACTCGGAGCCGGGATCTAGCGATGTTCATATGGGGACAATTTTCTTCTGATTTGTGTCCCGAGAGCAATGCTTCATTTCGGGGACGGCACGCATTTAATGTTGAGTGTAAACAGACGATGTTCTGTCTACATTCTCCAACAGCACCTATTGGTCTTGATAAGGGGTTCCTCGGCGGTTGTGACTATACGCTGTATAGCCTGCGTATAGCTTGTGTGTTATACCCTCCTCTGAACTGCACCTAGATGGATGGGATTGATTTTCGGCATTGAGATCGCTCATGAGTTAGGGAGGCAGTTAAGGTACCGAGGTAGTTATAGTTGACAGAGGTCGAGAGGCACTGCTTTGTCCCTTGTTACCTTCCAATATACTTTCAACATAAACCTCGAAACTGGCATCTGTGGTGCATGTGAGACGATTTGACGTCGTGGAGTCTCGCCAGTCTGTATGAGTAGTACCGCACTTGATCGACTGAGATTTGCAGCGGCGGCAATGGCGTGAACTCCATCTCGTAACGGCGGCTTATGCCACGCTTTTTTCGTAGAGTTGATGTGAGCCAGCACTGTCTCTCATGTGTCTGAGCATCATGGTGGCTCAATCGTCGGATATCTGGCTCGCTTCCACTTCCGAGCCAAGCCGCTCTCCCAGCCTGACCAACGTGTTCTCATAGACACGCGCCACGTCCATGTAGAGGCGCTCCTCGTCTTCATCCCAACCGGCCCTTCCAAGTCTACTGTGCCCCTCTAACCCGCTCTCGGTCTCTTCGGCTGTCTGGTCGCCATCTTCACTGGCCACTTCATCCACATCCGGCTCCTTGTGCATGACATCTACAATCAAGACGCGGGCCTGCTCGACAATACTCTTGCAGCGCACCATGTCTGTGGTCCGCAGTCCGCTCTTCAAGCCGTTCTCGAAACCAGGAAGCGGTTCGTGGCTTTCAATGTCCTCGCCGATTAACAGGCTGGCAAAGCAATGATCGAGCTTGCGTAATACGGAGAAGGTTGCTGTAGGCGAAGGCGGAAACGCTACGACATAGGTGTTGAACTCGCCGGCGATGTTCAGGAGATAGGGAACTTGGAGGCTGGCTGGAGCAAACATTTTAGCAGGCTATCCCCTGGCGTGCCGTGGTCAATGAGTGCGTACGGGTCCCTGACAACCACACAATGTCTATCACGCCTTCCAGGTCTTTGCAAAGCTCCCCCATCGACTTGTAGCCCTCGACCTCGTCAGCTCCGGGCGGTGCCGTGTCTGATCTCTTGGCGAAACGGCGACTGATGTGCATCATGCGCTCCGCGACAAAGTTTCGCACCTTGTCTTCTTTCACAGACCCAGGCCGAAGGGCAGTACGGCGTGGATGGGGCAAGCCAGAGACGGATCTTATTGTTGATGTCGAACTGGGTGCAGGCGATGGCAGCAATGGCATCATGAATCCACCTTCGCCTGCCGCCGTCGAGGAAGTCGGATTTTCAGCCATTTTCGAGTTCGTTGATGCGCATAAAGAGAGGCTGTTCAGGAAGACATTGCATGTTTCGCAACTGGTGAACACTGAAAGGCGACGCCCGGAGATAGTAGAAAAAAGACCACAATGATCCTAGGAACGGGGTTGATTGCATCAAAGGTCCAAGCACAAAATGGCGAACATGGGGTGCCGTTGCGGGGGCGGGGTGCCCAAGCACAAAGACCCACACGCCTGACCCCCTCTCTATACGGTTGTGGCTCGTGCGTCACCATCAGTCTCCAAAAAATCTCGATTGGTTTTGCATCCCAAACCGCGCGATCAACTCTTCGACGAGACTTCAAGCATTTATCCAGGTCCCAACATCATCCTTCACCATGCCTCCCAAGCGTCTTGCCGGCTCCTCGCGGGGCTCCCTGAACCCAATTACCAATGCCTACAATGCGCTCTTTGTCTCCGAGAATGCGCCGATTGTGCGGAGTGTTGTCATGTTCGGCGTAAGTTCACGGCCAGGCAGTTTGCGAATCGAATTTATCAGGTTTGCTAACAGAGCACAGGCTGCCGTGACATTCCTAGCTACTGGGTGGGGCGAATTCATTCTAAGGTCAGCGATCAACCTCCTCCATTGACGACGCACATACTCACTCCTACCAGCCCGGCTTGATCGACCCGACGCGATCTACGATATTGAGCGATCAGAGACATCAGACGATGCATCCAGGGCATTGACGGAGGCCTTGTGCTTTGGACACTACAACAATGTACAATATATGTTAGACGGAATGGTTGCGCCATGTGTGGTTCATCTGGCGACCATGGGAGGCGTTGGCGGCGCAATGATATTCCTCGTTCCTGATCACAGCATTCTTCAGTTTAACCCTCTGCTCGACCGACTTAGAGTGCCGGAAAGCTACAGACTCTGGCTTTTCAACCTAGCCAACAGCGCGCTGCCCTTGATGTTATCCAGCATTGGCCGTTCATCGACCTGATACTTTCCCGCCCTGCTGTGAAGGACGCGGTCCATTTCCAAGCTGCATAGGTCGCGTAGCTCGTCTCCTTCTCGCCTTGCTAATTACCTTCCCTTAAATCGGCGGCTGGTGAACAGCAGTAATGGTCACCTTGGGACAGAGTTGTATTTCACAAAATCCATCATCTCTGTTGTTCAGCGCCAGCTGCATCCGAACAGCCTCCTTGTAACTGATGGCAAAACAAGCATATAACAGCCACTCGTCCCAGCCCTGAGCAAATGGTTTTGGGCCCATAATAACTCACCCACGATCGTCAACACCAAACCAAGCATGAAGAACAGGAAAGACACCAAGAAAGGGAGAAAGCCAACAAGCATGGCTCGGCCCCGCATCCCTGAGAGCGGCACGGACATCTCCCCGCTCTCCTCGCAACGGGGCTCAGTTTCTCCCTCAGCCGAACCTGTCCCTCCAATCTCTCCTCTCCCTCCTATCTCCCCCCTTCCAGACGCCCACTCTCACCGCTTCCAGCAGGAATCTCTCCCGAACCCGCAGCATCAGAAGCAGAAGCACAACAACGAGACTGGAGAAGGCAGCAATGACAACAAGGTAAGCGGGCATAGGGACAAGAAAAAAGGCCTCAAAGTACCGCCTAAAGAGGAGCTGTCGACATGCGCCCGAATGGGCATCTGGCTGATGGGGACGACGCCCGAGAAGTTGGCCAAGGCTGCGCAGCAGCAGAGGGAAAAGCGGAGGAAGGAACGGGAGAAGAGGAAGAAGTCGGCCGAGGAGAGGCAGAAGGACGGGGATAACTCGACTAGGGAGGAGGAGGATGATGGTAATGATGATGATGATGACCACTTGCCATCGGGAGATGAGGAGGACGAGTAATGAGATCCAGCAGAGGCGACAGAGCCAGTGATGGGTGCCTCATCAGATTGACAGGACACAGGTTGACCCCAATAGACACCCTAACACCATAGTACATGTGAACATAGCTTGCCCTGAACAGCCTCTCCAGCCTTTCCATCTCTAGAGCGTAGTTAGTCGACATAATCTCCCACAAATACACCCATCTTGACACAACAACTTTAACAGACCATGCGTAACCCATATCATGACACTGATCCAATGCAACTTTCAACAACCCTTAACGCTCCATAAACGATGAGAAAATAATTCCGCTACTGTCTAGCGCTATGCACTCGCTACCCTAATAAGGCCTCACAAGCCCTAAGAAAAAGCACCTAATAATTGCAAATCCCACCCACATCCTCATCCATCGTCCACTTCCCCGCCAAGCCCGCAACCTCAACCTCCTCCGTCTGGACCTGGACCTGCACGCCAGCTCCCTCGTCTCCCTTACCAGCGAAGAAGTCACCCTGGCCCTCAGTCCTCGGCTGGCGGCTCATGAACCGTCTCGTCCACTGCTCGATCGCGGGTTCACCCGTCTCGTCCCTCGCCTGCTTCAAAAACGACATAAGTGCTGTCCCGCCGGTCCCCTTCAAATTATCCCCGCCCTTCTTGCTAGCAGCATTTGCCGCGCCGCGAGCGTCGTAGGCAATGCCCTGCGGCGGCTGGCTGCGGGACGCCGTGGCGAGATTGACCTTGCGCGCGCGCGTGGCCTCGGGGCTGCGGCTGCGGCTGCGCGCGCGGACCTCCCTGCTGGGCAGCACAATGTACCGCGTCACTATGGCGATGTGCTTGTCGCGCAGGGAGCTGAGCATGAAGAGGCACGCGTCGTACGCGACGCAGAGCGAGCGGTTGGTCTGGTTTTGCTCGACGAAATCCCGGATGTTGGCCACCGCCTGCACGTCGCCGAGGAAGCGGGCGTGGGGGCCTGGCATGTAGCGGCGCATCTCCATGATGAAGTTGTGCTTGGGCGGGGGTGCGCGGCCCTGGCGCTCCGCGTCGTGCTGCTCCCGGTTGGCTTTTTCTCCCGTGGGACGGTGCTCGATGCCTAGGACAATGTCGAAGAATTGGATCAGGCTGCTCTGCGCGTTGCTGCCGCCGGCGTACTGGTGGTACGTCTCTTTTCCGGAGAGGTCCTCGTAGAGTACACCGTTTGGCAGTCCTGCCTCGGCCATGTTCTTGCTTCCAGCCAAAAAGGGGCGGATCCGATGGTAAAAGATCTGGGGGTCGCAATTCTCGTGCATCCGCTGCATGAGGGTGGTGAGGTCATCTAATCGCTCAGCAAATGAATGGAGACAGGCCGTAACAGTCGCAACGTCGTTGTCCCGGGCGGCCGCGATGGCCGTCAGCATCAGCGGCACGATGGGTGCGCCGCGGGCTTCCATGGCTACCGAGACGAGATAGAACCATGATTCGTCGAGGGCACCGGTAAAGGTGCACAGAGTGGCGAGGTTCTCGAGGCTGTCGATGCCTTCGTCCATAAACAGCGGCTTGAAGTTCCACAAGCAGAGCGATGAGTAGGTGGCAACGGGCGGCACCTCGAGGCGCTCACACACCTTCAGCAGCGGGACTGCAATGGGCGGCGGAAGACGGTCACTGGGACTGTCACCGCCCCAAATGTAGCCGTGGGCCATGAAGGTGAGTAGAAGGTAGGCTCTCCGCCATTCTGCGTCATGTTCCAGACCAATGGTAGAGAGCACAGGAAGGCGATCCACAACTCCGCGCAACCGCTTAGTGAGGATCAAGCCCTGCAAGTTGGCGACAACAGCCTCCCACTTGTTATAGTAGGGATCGGGGAGTCTCGTCAACGGCAGGACTTCCGGGAGGAAGCCATGGGTTGGAGAGATTCCATAGTCGGCCAACTTTGGGATTGGAGGAAGCATGACTTGTTTCCTCGTTCGTATGTATTTGTGCGACCAAGTGCGACTCAAGTGCGACTCAATCCGAACAGCGAATTGCAATTGCAGAAGGGGGGTTCAACTTATGCAAGATCTGATGAAGAATTGAGAGAAAATGTCCTGACGCAAGGAGTATACAGAATATAATCTGTAATACTCCTCAGCCTTGCGAGATCTCGGTTGCAATGTGAGCATGGGCAGAAGAGGCAGAGAAATGGAAATGTTTCTGCGAAGAAGTATTGTCCAAGCAGTTTCTACCTGGGACGGAAGGGTTCTCTTTTTGTAATCAAGTCACTCGACTTCAGATGAGAAAATCGTTTCACTGTTCGCCCCTCGGGTTCCCACACAACAAAGTACATAAGCACATACACACAAGCGCACCACTACAGTGCGCCGCTTTCCAGGAATAACACGGGATCTTTAGAACAATATGCATTGGCTTTGACTGAAGGGCGTGGGGTGGGGAATGAGAAAATATCGCAGTCACCAAAAGTCGCTGGTGGCCAGCCCCAAGGGTCCTCCCGTGTCTCTCCGAATGCGGCCGCTGGGTAGAGCAGAAGTGTGCGTCATTCTCGCGGTTCCCGTTTCGATGCGACTCGGTAAAGTACGGCTGTACCGCGTACACACTCAGGAACCTCAGCCATGTCGTGAACATAAGCAGCACAGCGTGAGGAGGTCATGGTAGGATGGACGCACTGGGGAGACTCGTTTGCCTGCAAGTTGCGAACTTGCGACAACGGATTCTTTGCGATCAATTCTGGATCTCAGCGGGGTGATCGGTCGTCGGCCCCGCGTTTAGCCGAGTTCGGCTCAGATGAGCGCCACCTCAGCCACACCAATGTTTTGTGAAGTAGTGGCCCGAGCCTCCTCTTGAAAATCCCAAGGCTCAACGCCCCAACATCCCCCACATTGAGCTTGGCATCTTATCGACCATGTGTAACGTTATCTAACCTCCACGCACCCAACACCTTGGAAACACTCCCGCAACGACTTTCCTGGCAATGGCGCAATAACAACGAATTGCAGCTGCACAGCCAACATGGTGGTTCAACAGCACGTCTTGAACTGGCTGTACAGTGTTCTTACAAGTGTGCGCCGTTCCCAAGTCCCTACTACCTATCACGCACGAGACCATTCATGGCCAAGCTGACCCCTCCCCCGCTCAGGAATATCACGACGTCAACCGGACCTACAACGACGTTGCCCAGGCGTTATCTCAGTACCCATCGCTATCCCCTCGCACTGATGTTCACAGTACGCATTCCGCTGACTGCTCTCTCGAATCACATGCTAACTGCCGTTGGCACAGCCTTTCCGAACGGTGCATCGGCCCTGCTTCTCCTCCTCTCGGGGACGATTCCTGTCCTGTTCCGCGGCACGGCATATCGCTTCCCAATCTCAATATGGGTGCCTCACGCGTATCCCCGCGAAGCCCCGCTGGTCTACGTGACCCCGACGGAGACCATGATGGTGCGACCGGGACAACACGTCGATCCACAAGGTCAGGTCTATCATCCCTACCTTGTTGGGTGGTCGACGTTCTGGGATGTATGAAGAATCTGCTACTTGAAACACCATGGACTGGTGCTGATCAGTATCATAGAAATCTACGATTTTAGACTTCCTCGCAATATTGCAAGACGTCTTTGCCAAGGAGCCGCCAGTTGTCGCCCGCCAGCAGCCACGACCGCCTCCGCCTCAGCAACAGACCCCTACCCCCCCCCCTGTTCCTCCGCTCCCGCCGGACCTTGCCCCACGACCAGCTAGTCAAATCCAAAGCGCACCCCCAGATACTCCCCCGAGGCCGCCACAACCACCTCCCAAGCCCAGGACACGGATCGAGGCTCAGCCGCAGCCGTTCCCGACACCGCCCCAAACCTCCGGCCCTCCTGTCCCTCCGCCGCCGCCGAAAGTCGGCGGTCCCGCCGGTCAGAATGTCACGGAAGGACCAGGAATACCGCACGATCAGCGCCCAAGGCCTGGGCCGTCCCGCTATGAGACCGCTCCTCCGCTCCCGCCCCAGGCTTCACCGGAAGCGCGGCCTCCGTATCCTCCACCTGGTCCTCATCTCGCGCACCACGCTCAGTACCAGGTACCCTCTCCCGCAGCCGGGTCTCCACCCGGCCCGTCACAGGCTGCCTTCCCCGCAGCTGATCCCAGACGGCTATCAACCTACGCTCAACCGCAACCTCCACATCAGTACAATACACCCCCACCGCCAGTCGCAACCTGGCAGCAACCCCCCGTCCCCGTGCCCGTCCAGCCGCAACCCCAACCCAAACCGCCTCCTCCTCCCGACCTGATGGACGACGACCTAACCCTCCCAATCCCCTCCCCATCCACCGCCCCACCACCACCCATCCCACCCAACCCCGAAAAGGACATGCTCCTGCACCAACTCGCGCAGACCCTTTTCTCCATGCGCCAGCGCGCCCGCGCCCAAAACGAAGCCTCCCTAGCCGGCCTGCAAGCCCAACGCGAAGCAATGCTCAACGCAGCAACCAAGCTCCAAGCCGAATCCTCCCAACTAACCCAACTCTCGGCCCTCCTCACCTCCAACACGGCCATTCTGCAAGACAGCCTGCGGCGAGCCGACCGGGTGATTGAGAGCTCGTCCCGGCACCCGGCGCCCGACATTGACGAGCTGCTGGTTGCTCCCACGGTGGTGGGGAACCAGCTGTACGAGCTGGTGGCCGAGGAGCGGGCGCTGGCCGACGCCATATTCGTGCTGGGGCGGGCGGTGGAGCGGGGCCGGATCGCGCCGCAAATGTTTGCCAAGATGACGCGCGGCTTGGCGAGGGAGTGGTACTTGAAGAAGGCGCTCGTGAAGAAGATTGGCGTGGGCATGGGTTTGTCGACTTGACATGGTCGATACATACGAGGAAATGGGCGGTGGTGGTGTGTCGGAAAACGATACAACGGACTTTGCCTACGACGTGTCCGAACCCAGAGGGCCCCCACGCTTGTGTGAGCAAGGGTCGGAGAATAGAAACTTGTCCCTTCCAGTTGATTGCTGTGCTAAATGTGAAGGGTCAGGCGCTCGAGAAGCCTGGAGGCTCGTGTCTAGGCCTGTGATCGCCAATGAAGCACCTAATGCCGTTGCCAGTTCAAGAGCGCGACAACCTAACATGTGGTATTACTAACTCGTCAAAGTCAAACGAAGCAAGGAGCGCAAAGATAGACAATTACGAATAAGCCTAACCTCCGAGAAGCATATGCTAAGTCCTCAGCTGCAAACACTACTACTATACCCGTATACACCGAATGGTAACACCCAGGATGTCAGCTTCGAGTTCAAGTTGTCCCCCCATGACCTGAGATACCAAACCACAACCTGGGTCCTTGCGCTTTCCTCCGGTCAGATTTGACGGCCCGTCCTCTCGCCATCGACACACCCAAACTGCTCAAACATGGCCAAATCCACCACCCTCGCAGGTCGCGGGTGCCGCAGCCGGCAGTTCGGCGTCGCTACCCGCACGATATGATGTACGACGTGGTCCTCCTACTGCTCGCGGTACATGACACCCCCTCGTCCGGGCTCATACCTACCGTAAGCACCAGCCCCGCTGCCGCCCAAGCCAGACGAAGAAGACGAGCTTGTCTTCCTCGCCCGGATCTTCCTTCCAATATCCAACGCCACAGCGGCGGCCCGTCGGCTCCAACTCAAGTGTCTGGCTCGAAGATTGGCGTTGTTCGCGGCGCTGGCGGGGCCAATTCCAGTGTTAGTGGTTGGAACTGCAATAGCCTGGGCGTGGGCTGGGACGGGTGTCAGGACTGGGCCGGCAAGGGAGGGTTTGTTGTCGGGCTCAACTCCTATTTTGCTGCTGCTGAAGGACGTCGAGTAACGGAGGCGGAGACGCCGCGCTTGTGGAGTCAGATCAGCCACGCTCGGCGACATGTATGTCCTTGTTGCCGCCATGTTGCTGCGCGGCTCCCGGCTAGGTGTTTGGTAGATAAAGTCGCGTCGTTCGTGAATGTGGGGAACGCATGCGGTCTTGATGCTGCTAGAGTGGGATGGTGGTGTCGCGATGGCTGGCCCGCTGTTTCCGCGCTCACTGGGCAAAGATGTTTTCGATGGCTGTGTGGTGGGTAATGAAGAGTGTGGTTGATCTGACTGCATAGCACTTGCACGTTTCATCCCTTCCTTCCACCTGGCTCCGAAATATAATTCCTGGTTCGATTGGAGGTGGGTGGCAGCGGTGGCCTGCGGACCAGCCTTTTCCAGGCTGGACAAGCTGCTGCCCTTCAAGATTCTCATCTTGACCTTGTTCTCAGGCTGCTTCGGACTCATGGCCTTCGATTGCGTTACGGAAACCTTGCGAGCTTTACGATCTCCCAGAGATATTTTGCGTAAGATCCGGATTCCACGCTTTAGTTGCTCCTTGGAAAGTTTGTTCGACTTAGCTTCCACCGAGTGACTTGTCGAGGGAGGATCTTCTCCAGACGATTTGGACAAGCCGCTTTCTCCGCTGCCGATGGAGAGGCTAAGTCGCTCGAACCACCCAATCTTTTCCTTCAATGGCGAATCCTTCGGTGCTCTTGTTGTCTTATTCTCTTTAGCCAGTATTGGGGTCTCGATCGTACTGTCTCGGATTCCGTTCCAAAACGAGGATCGCTTGCTTGGTGAATTCCGTTCTTGGTCGATCGAGGTGGAGATGGCCAGCAAGCTACCACGGGATGACGGTCGCAGTGAGGTTCTGGGACTGGGACTGCTAATAGCAGCTGCGTTGGAAATCAAGGCAGGTAGACTGGGCCTTGGTTTGACTAAAGTCGTGCTCCCACGGGTCTTCCAGTGAGGTAGCAGTTCCGGTCCCGCCCCTGAAGCTGTTGAGATTTTCCCTTCGCCAGGAGTCACGACCACTGTTCCACGCGTACGATTCCCCGCCGACTTTTTCCTTTGTGGGCTGCCATCTGGTCTGGCGGCTGTTGCTGCTTGAAGGTTGGACTCTGACCTCTGAGCGCTGCCGGGTTGTCCTGATATGCCGCAGACTGTAGGAACCCCTGATCTTGATCTCAGTGGTAAAGAGCTTGGCGCGTCTCCGTATCCGTTCCACAGAGATCTAATCTCGAAAAGCATCCGCAAATCCGCCACGCTGCGATGTCTTCGCTGAGGGGCATTCGTTCCGGCACATTCGGTGGAAGATTCGAGACACCGGCGTAAGGAATACCGTTCCGTGGGAGTCTCGTGCGGAAAAGCTGGGGTTTCTCTTGCGGGGCTGAAGGCACCATCATCGCCAGCTGACAAAGTTTGACGTCGTTTGACAAATCCGTGGTCTGGGAATGGTTTGTTGTTGTTTACAAGCATCGCTTTAGTCGGATGGATAGTGGTTTGGGCGGTAACGGGAACTGAGAAGGGAGCATTGCATCCCTGTGTCAGCTTGGGTGTTGCAGGAGGAAATTGGCTCTGGGCTACGGGGCAACGCATGGCACTCACCTATTTGCTCATATATCTTCCTCCTCTCTGCGATTGTCGACCGCTCCCGGTACTTGATCTCGAGACCGAGACTGTCCGAATGTCTTGGGAACACCATTCCCTTATCTATCCCAGGGCAGGATTGAGGGCGCTTGGGAGACTCCTAGTCATCCGTTTCGTCCGTCTTGGTGTTCCTTTTGCCTAGACGCCCTTTTGCTTGGCGAGTTGGTGTAAGCCCTGTTTTGGGTAGTCCGGGGTCCGGAGATGCTTCCATTGCTGTCGTGGCCAAGGAGTGGTAGGTAAGGTCAGCACCCGAGGAGGTCATGGCAATTCGGCGACGCTCCTTTTGAAGTTGGGCGCTGTTAGCAAAAGAAGCCTTCGTATCCGTCAGCGATTTGGTTCGAGTAGGTTGCCAGGCACCTCTTGCTTCAGGCTTAGTCCCACCAGACGTCTCAAACTTGGACACCAGACTGGCAAGACGAGGTGCATTTGGTTGATCCATGAGCGCCTGATCTTTCAGAGAAACCAACGCCTGTTCTCGAGATGTTTGTTTGTGGTGGAAAGCTTGCGCTGTTGCTCCGGCCTGGCAGCCATTCACGCAACTCGAGCAATGGCTATGCTTGCAGTTTGAGTCACCACTCGATTGACTCTTGCCCCTCAATCGTAGAGGCGCAGGGTCCGGTTGCGTGACCGAAAAGTCACTCTTATTGTGTTCGCTTGACATGTTTCTGGCGCGAAGCTCGGTTCAACCGTCTGGGAGTCCAACTGTCCAAGGCCGGCGATATCCAGGATGATAGAAGTCCGAATAATGCAAAGTGTAATACCACGAAGATAGAGTGCATGGAATCGAAGTAACAGCTTGACTACCAATGAAGAAAGAATATAGCTTTTCTCACTTCAGTCAGTGAGTGTTGGGGTCAAAGCATGGGGTCACTCTGGCTCAAGGCAAGAGCGACACTGATGGCTCGGCAGATGTGTCAGTCCAGGCAACTGCCAGCTGCGTTCGTTGGAGGCCGACTGGATGGAAGACAACAACTCGGAAGGTGCCCTACCACTTAACAACAGACAGCCACCTCCATCTCTGGGAATCATCGTTGGAAGGTAAGGAGACCGACATATCCGGCATTTGGTAAAATCAGGCAGGGAACCATCCTGCTCGAATCAACTAGACCAGAAACGGATAGATTCTTACTATCTCAATGGATGACCTTTCGCACGATAGCCTACTGCCTTGAATATGGAAAAACCGACCCCAAAGAAACAAGAAACAAGAGAAAAACCAAGCACCACCCAAGTTGACCACCCCCCAAGAACCGGCATATAACCTAACTCATGCAATCAATAACAATGAACGGCTAAAGATTTACCCCCGGTAAGATGCCATCTCCAACTCCCCATCCCAGACCATCTCGATCTCACCCTCAGGAAAGGTCAGCGCCAACTAAGAGCCGAGCCTCTCCTTCTCATCAGCAACACCCACCCTCTCCTCACCTTGCTCGATATCATACCCAACCCTGACTCCACGCTCCAAATCCTCCCGGTCCATCCTAGCCAGCTCCCTGTCGCCCAGTTCCGCGTACTGCGTCCGAGCCTCCCTCTTCTCATTCGACCCATCCGACCTAATATGCGACGTCAGAACCGCTGCGGGCGGACCACGATGCACCTCGACATGACCGTGGGCGTGACCCGCACCGTTACTAGTAGCGTTCGAGCTCTTGTACGCGCTCGCCAAGAGCGGTCTCCTGGCGCTTGCGGCGGTCCCGCTGCTGCGGCTTGAGCCCGAGATGATGTACGGGGAGCAGGAAGAGGAGACGGTGGTGTCGGTGCCGCCGTGGCTGCCGGCCGACGACGGGGAGCCCGTGCCGAACCAGGCCGGGTTAGCAAGACGCTGCGCGATGAGGGTGCCAAGTGGCAGGATGACGATGACGGATGTCTGAGTGAGCGAGGCGGACTCGAACTTGACCCATCTTCTGAATTCGAGGGCGGAGAAGATTACTGGTTCAGTGGGGGGAACAAAGGGTTAGTTACGGTGTTGGGATGAAAGGGGTCAAGGCATAGCTTGGGGAAGGGAGGACATACCTGGGACGAACATCAGGATACCATTGGTGATGACCAGCACGTCCATTGCCTTGAGGCCCTTGAGCGAGGGCAGGATGGTGCGGTTCTGCCACATGTGCATGACGAGTCGGATGTTGAAGAGGAAGCAGAACCAGCAGATGCTGGCGGTGATCAGGCCGACGTAGGTCTGGCGCATCCAGATTGCAAAGGGAAAGTTGGTGCTGTAGAGGATCCACAGCGTCTGGATGACGGTAACGCTAAAGTTGAAAGCGATGGTCGTGAAGACCAGGGCGAGGGAGATGGCCACCGCCGCGGCCTTGTACACTGTCTTCCACAGCTGGAGCATGGACCAGGCCTGCACGAAAAGCGCTGCCTCGATAAGAATGGTAATTGGGATGCTTAGGGCTGTAGTGGTTGCGCTCAGGTCGTAGTCGGTTTTGAGGACGGGTCGAGTATCACCGGTGATTACTGTGTAAAGATTGAGCCAGGAGGAGGTAAAATACAGGGCATTGAGGGTCATCCGGATCGTGTTCAGCGTAAGGGCTGAGATGGAGATGATGGCAGGTAGCCGCTTGAGCCGGACACCGGGCGTCATGCTGAGGACCACGGCGAGCATGATGAAGCTTGCCCCGATCTGTGTTCCATAGAGAATTGATAGGGAGCTGATGTCCGAGTAGATCGCCGAGACGGACGCCGGTGTAAGCGGAATCCCCCTCCTGCCATCGGGACCTAGAATGGAGAAGATCTGGTTGAGGGGGTCGAAGGCGGTGGCGGAACTGTTGGTGGTAGAACTGTTGGTGTTCATCTCGAGAGTCAAGGGTGATGTATGCAATGATAGGGATAACGTTAAACCGCCCCTGAGGTGTCCAGCGTCTCAGGGAATGGCTCTGGCTCTGGGAACGATGGCGGAGGAGCAGACAAGTTCGGATGGAAGCCGACTAAATAGTATCAAGCTCCACTGCCAGCAGGATAAGCTCAGGGGGAAATCTGCAGAGAGACGAGGCAGCAGAATAGCTCAGAATGTGAGATTATACTTGTTGCGTGGTGTTGATAGTCAACCCTAGGTCTTAAAGAACAATCCCAAGTTTAGCTCTAAACCCTCCATTCTCACTTTTGCCCCCTGATGGAGATAATAGTAGTGTCAGAGAATATGTGACACTTGGGCGGACAATGGAATGGGTTGGTTCCAGACCGTGAGGGGGTGCTTGCAATAGTATGTTTGCTTAGTATTGTTCTTCCCGTGTGTTAGTATTGTTGTTGACGCCGGCGCACCATTGGTCTGCCTCTCAATGCTCCGGAAACTGACAGGTCGCCCTCCCTTATATAACTAGAGTCTACGAACTTCCATGCAGTGACAGCAGTATGGGAAAAAATGAGGGGCAGGGAGAAAAGATAAAAGAGAATCGTCAAGGGGAGGGAAGCCATCATGTAAGGTGCTTGCAAGGCCCCCATGCACATCCGTGATAGCTTGCGATAGTTCGGTGCAAGATCCGCCTTCTCACCGAATATTACTTACATTCAGACCTTGGCAAGTGGCTGAACAACATTTGTGTACTGATGCGGACGCTTGCCTTCTTTTTCGGTAAAGCAGTCAGAGTAGGGATGGACTGCCAGGACTGGGCGCAACACAGAGGCTTCTCCTGTTTTGCAGCCTCAGCATTCGCAAACACAGTTGCTTACCTACCTAACCATAATTACCTTGATTAAGTGTTGGCCATGGCACGGCGCATGATAAAAATAACCGTGTTGCTGTCGAAGCTAGTCGCGGTGTCCGTACTCCTGTCGCAGTAGTCTGGTCTCTGACGGATGACGCCAGCGGCATCCTTCCAGCCTTTCCAGCCATCACAAGGCATCCAGGGCCAGTCGGCATACTTCGATGAACAGGAGCAGATCACACCGCCGCTCTGGTTCTAGACTGCAAGCCTCCTGGTGGCTTGGGATGGAGATGGCGAGCGACTCGTAAGATCGCCAGGTGTGACCCACTTTTAGGGCACGGCCGGCGATCAGGCGTGATTCTTGAGGCCTCGGCTTCAATTTTCTGCACCCGGCCACGCGCGTGAAGGGGTCGACATTTATATCATTGGTCAATAACTCAATTCCTCACCCTTCAATGCAGATTTGCTGATAAAGTCAGTCAAATGCGCGCAGGGACGCTTGAGGGGCGGCGGGACAGCAAGGAATCCCAAAAGCAAAACTTAACGGAAATCCGAACGTCACAAGCGAAGGAAGTTAAGGAACGCTGCCCCACAACATCCACATGGCCCGTGCACTGGCCAGGGTTAACTTCGACGACATCGTTCAATCGTTCAATCGTTGAGACGTTGACCCGATATTTTTTGAAGTTTTGCACCTTGGCCACTGTGAATTCTTTGCATTGGCCTCTTTGAAAAATAGTCTAGTTTTTCTCACTTTCTCAATCGCACGCAATATGGCTCTTATCGTAAGGCATCCCCAAGCTCCTTCCCAATCCACACACACCCAGGTCCCACTCTCCCAGGCTCCCAGCTTGAGGGCCCCGATTGTCCGGCACTTGCTCACAAAGCTGAACCCATTGCCTGCCACTTAACAGGCTGTAGGCCAGCTAACATCGACGGCCAGTATGGCCCATAATCTCGCCCAATGTCGGCTCCTCGTCAAGAAAGCAGTCCAGGCAGGCGCAAAGGTTGGCTGCGACTCCAATTGCTTCGCCAATCGAGTGACGCCTGTCCGCTGAGAATCAGCTTGCCAGGCCTTGTTTCTCCCCGAAGCGAGCGACTACATTGCCGGCTCCGGCGCAGACACTGTTCGGCTGGTCAAGCCTGTTGAGGAGAGCGAGTTCGTCCTAGGCCTGCGAGAGGATGCGCGTCGTGAAAGGCTGCCGATCCACGTCGGAGTCCACGAGCCTGGCCTCGATACACATAGGGTAAAGAACACCGTCTTGTGGATCAACGAAGCAGGCGAAATTGCCCATAGATACCAGAAGATCCACCTTTTTGATGTCGACATCGAGGATGGCCCGGTTTTGAAGGAAAGCCAGTGAGCAAGTCCACTATCGCCATGTTGAAAGAAGGGTCTAATCATGCTTCGCGCAGGAATGTGGAGAAGGGAAGTGAGATTGTTCCCCCGTTTGACACACCGCTGGGGAAAGTAGCTTCGACAATATGTTTCGATGTTAGTAGTTCTCCCTTTACTGTTTTGAGCGCAAATGATCTAACAGGGGCCAGCTGCGATTTCCAGAAATCAGCCTTGCTCTAAGGCGTCTCGGCGCAGATATCATCACTTTCCCGTCCGCCTTCACCGTGCCAACCGGGAGAGCACACTGGGAAGTGCTTTTGAGAGCGCGGGCAATCGAGACTCAGTCTTATGTTGTTGCTGCTGCCCAGGTACTGCACTATGTGCTCTCATCACCCTGCTGGCCCAGGTTGCTGACGTTGGCTTAGGTCGGTAAACATAACGAAAAGCGGGTGAGCTACGGCCACAGCATGATAGTCGACCCGTGGGGAAGGATCTTGGCCGAGCTTGGAGACACAAGTGGCGAGCCCGAGATTGCAACGGCCGAAATTAACCACGACCTCTTGCGGAAGGTCAGGAGAGAGATGCCTCTTAATAGACGAACGTAAGGATTGGGATGCCCTGATTGTGTGTGCAAGCTAACATCTACGGATATAGGGATATATATCCCGAGGTCTAGAAGTTTGCTCCGTACTTGTCCGGGTGAACCCACATGAGTGAGCGCGATGATTCAGCACTAGCCCTTGGCCTGAGTGGAGGCAGCATTGCGTTCTTGCAAGAGGCGTAAGTTCATGCCTCACAATTGTCATGCTGTGGATCTGTTTAGTCAATTCCACTTATGTTGATTTTGCTGCTAGCGAAGACTCTGGGGCTTAAATCTCTTAGAATTACTGAATTCCTGCCTTGACGATTAACGACAGATCTCCTTCTAGCCGATGAGTTGTTCATGTTCTGTCATTCATGAATCTGGGCTCACGGATGCTGACTGGATACTCCCATGTTCCAGGAACAATCTACAGTACGTCTTTCGGCATTGAGAATGGAGTGGTCTTGTCAATTCAAGCGCCTATTCCCCAACTGCATGTCTCCAGCTTCTTGCCCCTCATGGCTTCGCTACTTCGGAAGATACCGACCTCTGCCAATCCTATCCGCCGGACCAAGGGACCGGGATAAATTACCGTATATTAGCCCTGTGCAATTGTTCCGGTCCCCCTTCCATCCGCTTTGGTACGGGCCCGGTATTCTCGACACGTACATTTAGATGAGGAACAAAGCGCGCCAGTCACTTGCGCCCAAGCCAGGAAAGCGATGATGCATTTTGCGTAGCCCCTGCTGGGTAATAACATGCTGTTAAAAAGGCACTTCCAGAATTGGAAACATGGAATTGACACATGTGCCGGGTGGAATTGCCGCCGCCATACCGATGTTTCGTCCGAGTCACGATAAGAAGGCACGAGCTGCCCTTGATCTCCTCTATACAATGAACCGTCAGCCCGAGAAGGTCATTCGCAGGAGAACAGTTGGCTACCTCTGGTAGAGATCTAAAAACATGCATATCACAAGCATCCTCACGCCCTTGGCTCTGGCTAGCCTGGCCACGGCCGGACCCGTCCAGGTCGCGGAAAGGCAAGCCCAGAAGCTGAGAATCAGTACGACTCCTTTCTCAAAGAACCGTATCAGTACTCATGCTTCACGTTGCTGACCCGTGACAGTGCCTCTTGGTGACAGCATCACGGAGATCACCTGCTGGCGGGCCTTTGTCTGGGACCAGCTTGCCGAGGCCGGGTACGCGAACCAGGTGCAGTACGTGGGCTCTCAGAACAGCAACCCGCAGAACTGCAGGCCCAACACGGCCAACTGGGACATGCATCACGAGGGCCACTCGGGCTGGCTTGCCATCGACATTGCCAACAACTACCTCACCAACTGGCTCAGGAGCACGCCCGCCGATATTGTCATGTTCATGCTGGGCACCAACGACGTCTTCCGCGGCCGCAGCACAAACGACATCATTGCTGCATACACCAAGATGGTCAACATTATGCGCGCCGCGAACCCAAAGATGAAGATCATTGTGAGTTACTTGGCTTGGCTTATGCCGTCGCAACAACACCCGTTTTGCACATTATGCCAGGAAGCAGTAAACTGATGAGTGTTAGGTCGACCTCGTCATCCCTCTCGGGACGGGAAATAACGCGGCCGTCCAGGCCCTCAACGCGAGAATCCCGGCGTGGGCTCAGGGACTCAACTCCACCGAGTCTCCCATCGTCATCGCCGACTGCTACACGGGCTACAAGACATCGGATTTGCGTGACGGCGTGCATCCGAACCTGTCGGGCGACCGCATCATTGCCTCGCGTGTTGGTCCGCTGCTGCTGGAGTATGTGAGGCAGTCGCTGGGTCAGTGATCAGAAAGTTTCGGTACAGCCGCAGCGGGCAGAGTTGATGCGGCAAACTTCGGAGGGACACAAGATCAGACATTGGATTGTCATGAGACATGAGTTATGTGTGCATGATGATGCGTGTATTGCTACTATTGACCCATCACCAAAAATGCATCTTGGTTTTGTCCAACTGTCTTGAAGTCCTCATTTCTTGGCCCCCGAAGAAGCACCAGATCCAGTGCTGCCCTGCCCCGAACCTGTTCCCTGGGAACCTGAACCGGCCTGGGAAGCGGCATTTCGGTCGCCGGCCGACTCTGCTCGAGCGGCAAAGCCGCTGGCACCCATGTCGCCACCGCTCCTGGCCTGTTATCCTGTCAGAACATGAAACAAGAATACTGGATACCTAGGTAGCGGATATGCTAACTTGAGTCGATTGAATTCGCGACGAATCCGATTTGGTCATCTCATTTTTGTTCGAAGCCATTGTGGACGAGTAACGGGTCCGACTGGACGGTCGATCTTGGGAATATGTATGATGCGAGCGTAGCTGTGTTGCTGTTCAAGCGGTGGTGAATTGAAACCTGAGAAGAAGGCTGTTAGAGAAGAGGAACAAGACGCACAAGACACCGATGCTGATGAAGACACATCTATATACTTGTGGCAGCGGCCCCATGAATGAGTCGGAGTACGGTCTAGAATAGTCAATTTAAGCCAAATGGATCACTGCATCGAGCAAACAAGCAAAGATGACCATTTCGGCAAGCCTATCAAGCCAACCAGAGCCTCTCAGTCCGTTTGCTTTCCGTGAGTATACCCCCTTTTCCCCAGTTGGGCAGCTAGTGGTGGTGATATTGTCCGTTGTTTGTCGGCCCCATACCTAAGGTACCAACTGGTCCCACTGTATCCTAATTGCACACCAATCCTAAGAATAACGTATTGTGGCCGACTAGGAATTTTCTTCCTCATTGTCCAAGTCGCATCACCTGGCACAGGGCCCCTCAAACAATGAGGAAGGCGTTAACCGCGTGACTCTGAAGAAGAACTTGAACAGGATGGCTTCTCAAAGTCGCCTGACGAAGCTACAGCTGAGGAGTACGATGATATGATGGCCCGGCTAAAAGTGAATGAGAATACGACAATACGGCTAGTAGCTTCTATCTCCCGATGCTCCACGTCACAAGCCGGGATTGTTGAGCCACGTGCCTCCTTTTCCATGACAAACCTGCTGGTATCCAGCATCAAGCTACAATTGCTTCATGACAACTTGAACGACACGCAACCGTAGATCCGTTGTGGAATCAAGAGGCTCGGTTGTCCTATAGGCTCTTGGAACCTTGGTAGGTAGTAGAAAGCTGGCTATTGGCAGTGGGCAACCTGGGCAACGCATTAAGGAAGGACCAGGCTCGTTCGTCAGTCCTCAAATGACTCAAAGAAGACGGGATTGATGCTCTGTTTACTCCCTGCTTTGCGTGACACACCCGCCTACAACCCACAAGTCCTGCATACAGGGCTGTGACTTTATGGCCGCCAACCTCTCCTTAAAGAATAGTCCAGGTAGGGTTAGTGTCTTAAGAAGGGGGCAACACTTCAGCGCTCTATAACGCTCCACAAAACCTCGACGTGGCCTACAAAGTCGGCACCGTTGTTTAGTGTAATTATCCAAAAGTTGGGATCCAACTGCTACCGGTACACTATTACAGCCAGTAGATGTTCGAGGCTCGCGAGTTGTCTCGAGAGCAAGGAAGTGGATAGCCTTTTTGCTGTATATCAACGGCAAACCATTCCCATCAGCTTAGTAATCGTTTTCATCCGGTATAGTGTAACGGTTAACATATCGCGTTTTCACCGCGAAGCTCGGGGTTCGATTCCCCGTACCGGAGACTTTTTTTTCCTCGTCTTCCTGTTGACCAAAACCGTGTGTTGTTCCGGTCTCATGTCCAGGGCGTCGGCAGTCCTATTCAGATTTCCCATCGGTTGTAGCTTAGGGGCTGGGGAAATGGATACTGGAACCCTCCCTCCTCCCTTGGGTCCTTTCCCTCCATACCATGGACAGATTCTTCGGTCAACATATGCAGTATTCAAAGCATTCGATCAGCTCATGAAGCATCTCGTGATCCAAGTACTGTACAATAGCCCACATGTATTCTCCCAACAGAAGCTCTGGCCTAGATGCCCCATCATGGTCCACAATGGGCCTCCCCGACTCCCCAAGAACATTCACCAAACATTTCCAAACCTGAACCCTTCCCACTCCCTCTCCATAACCCCCCACTTCCGCACCGAGGCAACAGCCTCATGCACCCGCCTCCACGCCTCAACCACCCCCTCATCCTCAACCTGCTCCACGGCCACGCCCCCTGTCTTTGCAAGTTGAACCCAATCCGCATCCTGATCATGAACCCCCCAAGGCCCTTCATTAGCCCTACACCTCGTCCACTCCCCCTCCCCATCCAGCTTCAAGTTCTCCCCCGGCGAAAATACCACAGGTGGCGGCGGCACCTTGCCCTGCAGGACATACTCCCGGACGATCCGTGCCGTGCACCCGGACACGGCCGACAGGGTGCAATGCCCCTGCGCGAGCTGCTCGACGAGGCCGGCGTTCTTGAACCGCTGCGCCATCTTGACTGCCGCGTGGAGAGGGGTGACTGGGTCGTAGGTGTTGGAGAGGAAGAGGAGGGGGAAGGAGGTTTCGATTTGGGATTGGTTGTTATTATTGGCGGCCGGGGTTGAAGCCTGAGGGGACCAGGGGTAGGCGGATGGTGTTGAGGAGGCGGAGGAGATGGGATGCGGTGTGGATATGTCCCAGCCGTTGCACTTCAACATGAGGTTCATCCTGGACTTTGGTTAGCTTCTGCTTCACCGCAGAGCTTGAGTTTGCGTGGGATTATGACGTGGTCTCCGTTTCGGAGCTAGAAGTACTTACCAGATATCCGCAAACTGCGAAGTTGAAGCCATTTGCTCGTAGGCAGTGGTGATTTCTGGGATAGTGAGGTTAACCTGTGTACAAACTTGGGTGTCAGCAGATATTCAACGAACTACCAAAAGCTAGCGTACCAGCTGCGTCTTGTCACTGCACATAATCGCTCTCTGGGCATCAGACAACATCCCCGTAATGGCCGGGTTTCCGATAATAGAACACATAAGGGTCGCGTCCTGGAAGAGCCCGGCAAGCTCGTCGAATTTGCCCTCATGTACCCAATTCAGGAGCATGGCTAGGATCGGGAATCCCTGAATGGGCGAATAAAGCACACTAAACACAATAGTCTTGACATAGCTCGCCCGAAGGATGACCGGGTAGAAGTGCTCCGGGTGTGTGAATGTAACCGGGCTGGTCTGCAGCCTCTCCATGATCTCGCTGTATCGACGGCCGACATCCTCGGCCTTGTCTCCCTCGCGGTACAGGCTGCACCTCCTGCCAGCGCGGGCGCAGTACAGGAAGAACCGGTCGAGGACCTTGTCCGTGTCGAGTAGACTCTCCTCCCAGACCGGGCTGACGTAGTAGTCAGCATCCACGACGCCGTCTAGGATCATTCTGCCCACGCGGTCCGGGAACATCTTGGCAAAGGTAGCACCCAGGTACGTCCCATACGAAAAGCCCCAATAGACGAGCTTCCCTTTGAGAGAGCTCGGCGGCAGGCCACGGCTCTCAATCCATCGATCCCACGCGTCCACAATGCTGACCATGTCGCGGGCGACGTGTGCCGTGCTGGCATGTCCGAGGATGCTCTCGGCGCCTAACTGGGCGCCCTTGCTTCGGCAGAGGTCGTTGACGGCCCGATGCCCTGCCTCGAGGAACTTGAGAGCGACATTGCTGGAGTTTAACAGGCCATACACAGAGGTCATTTGGTCCCATTCAAGACGGTGCATCAGGCCCGAGGCAGCATCCTCAGGGCAGCCGGTGCAGGCGGGCGGCTTGGCCCAGCAGTCTGCGCGCGGGGTAGTGAACGAGACGCCGCGCGGGTCGAATCCGATGATGGGCTGATCGGGGCCGAGTATCTTCTGGATGGCATCTGCCATAGCAAGCAAGATCATGACGCCCGATCCCCCGGGCCCTCCCGGATTCAGCAGCAAGGGAGACTTGGATGCGGTTTTGGACGTGTTTGGAGTCGCACCAGGGAGAAGGAGAAGGGCGATATGGACTTTAGGATGAGCGCGCGATTGACTAAGGGGGCGATTATAGTCCATGGGAACTGTCAGGCGCGCACACCTGAAGTTGGCTTTGATGAGTCCATAGCAAGGGTGCCATTCGAGCTCCTCGCTGGGCGTGATCTGCGTCACTTTGTCAACCATCAGTTCCCATTAGACTCTCTATCAGGGCAACGCACCGACTCCCATGGATTCATGGGATTATAACTGGAGACACTAGCCCCATTGTCGAGATGGCGAGGCCAGAAATCGAAGAGGCCGAGGTATGGCAGGACGCCCAGCAGATTGACTCCGATAAACAGAGTGAGAAGTTGAAGACAGAGGTTCAGTCGTCCCGGCCTTGGCGGCCCCAAATTGTGATGCCGTTGTGTGGCCCCCACAGGCTCGCCTAAGGTCTTTTCCATGGCCTTGATCGCCTACGAGGGTTGCAGTTTGGGCCTGCAGAAACGCTATCTGATCGAAGATTAGACGGTGCAAGATGTTGGAGGCGTTGAAGGCAAGCGCATCCCCGCAGAAAACATTCAACCAGAGATAAGCAGGCAGCACTGCCGTGCGCAGCTCAATGCTCAAAAGGGGCAAAGCCGGGGACTGTCTTCCCCCGCATGCGCGATGCTGCCACCTCCGGCTGATGGTCCGATCATCGTGTCGTCCGGTGCATATGGTATGATGTCGTGTTAAGACCAGCGGTGTATGACTCCAGGCTTTTAAGAAAGTGAACCGTTTCCCACGATCTAGGTAGGCAACCCAGCTTCAATCTGTCGGCTGACTGACATCAACAAGACATTTATCGCACTACTGTATCGTACCGTCATACAGCACCCCAGGGGATATCACAAGATGCTCGCTTCAATCCAACAGCCGTCCAAAAATCCTGTCAATGTCCGGGACCCAACGCCGCGATAATTAACCCGCCTGGTTCAGCTCAAAAATTTGGTTTCCCTCTGTTGGGGTAGCCAGTCCCGGTTTGCATCCACCGTGAAATCCGTAATAAACTCACCCAAGGCGGCACCACTCACGCCAGTCACGTCCAGTCCGCCGCCGGCGCCTATGTTACTCGCAATCGCGCCTCCATCCGCGCCCAACCCCGGCCCAATAGGCAGCCTTGGCAGATTAAAAAAGTCAAAAACGTCCAGATATTCCAGCTCGTTCGGTTGCGGCGTCCTGGCAGGCGTGACGCTCGTGAATCGGCTCTGCCAGCCTCCCCCGGCATTGCCAGCCCCCCCACCGCCGCCACCGTTCATGCCCCCGGGGACATGCCTCGGCGCACGGCTGATTAGAAAGTCGAGATCAAAAGCGGTGCGGCGCATATCCGCCAGGATCTTGACGCTGTTGGGCGTCTCCCCTCCGCCTTGGCGCTCACTGTCGCGGTGCTCGTCGAGCACACGGCTCAGCAGGGACGAGTAGCGCGCCGCTACAGGCCAGTACTGGCCCATTTGGCGCAGCGTCTCCACGAACGAGCCAATCTGTGGGCTGAGCTTACGCTCGACGGTGCTGCCGTGGACAAGCAACACGCGGGCGGCCACCCACAGCGTAAACGCAAACGGCGGGCCCAGCTTCACCAGCAGTCCGTTGGCCACGACAAAGTCGCACAACGCGGCTATGTTTTCCACCGCATTGTGGCATCGCTGCGAGGCGCTGTAGCTGGGCGTGAAGATGGGCGAGCGCGTGGTCGGGTACGCGGCCGAAGAGTGCAGCCGGATGACGGCCGTATGAAACGTCGCGTGCAGCATGACCCAGCCGCAGTTGAGCGTCTTGGCCGACCCGGGCTGGAAGATCTTGGCCATGTTCCCGTATTCGCTCGGTAACCCGAATTTCCAAGCATGAAGCATGTTGTCCAGCTCCTTGTAGCGCATCTGCCACTTCTCGACATCCGACAGCGCGCTGATGTCGACGGGCTGCTTGAGAAATTTGTGGATCTGGGACAGGATGCCCAGGATCTCAATGTAGTAGCTGAAGGCACCCAGATTCTCGGGTTTGTCAACCTCATGTTCAGACGCGGTCCCGCAATGCCCTCCAAATCCACCATCGCCAGCGCGGAACCAGCGAGTTTCAACTTTTTGGTTCTTCAACCACAGATCGTCCCGACACGGCAATGTACGGTCGATTTCACGATCATCGAGCGCGAATTCGAACGCAGTCGCGATGGTTGCATAGCGGTCGAGCAGGTACACCATCCAAAAGAGCCGTCGCCTCGACTCCTCTTCAATAAAATCGCGCGGCTCCGGGAGGATCATTGCTCGAAGTGTGTAGATGGACGTGTAGTTGGGCGCCACAGAGAAGGAGTACGTTTCCACCGCAAGCCCGAGTTGCACCACGGCTCGCGTGATGAGCGCCATGATATTCCAACCGGGAGGCCCATTGCTGCTGCCGCACAAGTCCAGGGCCAGAATTACGAGCGCTTGTAGAGTCTTGACTGACGAATTCTCCATGCCATGCAAAAGGACTCGCTGCTTTGATACCTCATGGTACCGTCGCCGGCTTTCCTCGGTCAGTCGCGCATCGGTCGAATACCGCAGGGTGGTAGCAACAATAGCGTGCAGTAGCACTTTGTCCGACTCGTCAATCATGGACGGGCCAAACAACGAGTCCAGCGTGGTCTTCCGGTGCAGGATCGGACACCACGTGTTGATGTGCTTGAAATACAGGTCCACCAGCGCGTACAATAAGTCGTACGGGGGTAGTTCTGGCTCCGATGTCAATTGCGTGTTCTGCGGCACCGTGGCCGTCGGCGACTGCAGAGACGCTACCGCAGCGGCACCGGTGCCATAGTACTCTTGTGCAGCGGCACTTGGCATCATGGGCGTTTGTACGGGGTTCCGCGGAGAGATGTTAGCGGCACCTTGGAAGTTCTCGTGCGGCTGACCTGGCGCGGATGGCAGCCCAAAATCAACCGATGTCGACGGCTTCTGAAGAAACAAAGCTGTTTCGGCCTGCGGCGTCCTTGTCGTATCGTGACCCGGTCTGGCGAATATCGACGGTGGCACGGCATCTCGGGGGGTACCATGGTCACTCGGCTGGCTGGCGTTGCTGCCCCTCACACTCGGCGGTGCGTGATAGTGCGTCATGCCGGCCCCGACGACGCCGTGCCCGCTGCCGGGGCTCGTGTTGGAGGTCAAGGATTGTAGAATTTCGGCATGTGTTCGTAGTTTCTCCTCCAATCTGTCCAGGCGCTGCTCCAGCTCGCGCCCGTAGCCAGCGCGCAACCCAGGCTTCTTGCGTTCCTTATACTCGCAGAGCGCATTGTTGCGGCTGCACCACCCGCAGGACGGCTGGCCACGGTCACATTTCACCTGTTTCGGTCAGCGGCGGCCGCCGGCTTGCTTATTTGAGGTTGTCTATCGTTGAGCGATAAGCCAAGGATGGACAAGGACCTACTTTTCGCTGCTTGCATAGCTCGCACCTGGAGATTGCGATTAGTACCCGGGGTGTGGATTTGCGCCGAGCAGCAGACCTGCAGGCAATGGGTACTTACGAGACAGATATCGGCCGCTTGCGCTTGCCGAGGCGAGCAGCGTCGTGCTGATCTTCATCGTTGTCGATATCTTCGGCACTTTGGTGGCCGCCGTCATCGCTGTCTGCGGGGTCGGGCTGCTGTGCGTGGGCGGCGTGCGACGAGGACTGTATTTGATGGCCATTGTAGCGGGGAGCCTGGGCCTGCATCATGGCCGGCGACGTTAGCGCCAAAAAGGCGAGCGAAGCCCGCTCTGTGGCAGCCTGCTTGGTCACCAAGGGTCCAAGGGGGCTAAGGACAAGCGGGACTGCGAAGCGATGTGTGGCAGGTCGGGTGGAGTGCGATGCGATAGCCTGGCCCAGCCCACACAAAGTCCGCAAGTCCGCACAAGTCCGCAAATTCTTGCCCAGGGACCGCACCGAGTGGCCGAGAAGGCCTTGTCTCTCGTTCGGCAATCGGGACTGTCCACCACGTGCAACTGGATGCAACTGCGCTAAACTTGGAGAGCACCCAAAGGCCAGGTTTGTCCAACCGTCAACGGCCGATCGGTACTCTGGACGCAAGTTGCAGGCCGGCAGCCGATGCTCCCTGGAGCGGTTCGGGTTAATGTTGAGTAGAAGAGCGAGCCCGACACGGGCAGTGGAGAGGGTTTCGGTCGTTTTATTGCGGTGCAGCTGCAACCGACTGCCTGCAAACAACGTCTGTGCTTCCTCCCAGCTTTGGAAGGTTGTGGGGAAGCGAGATTGCGGGGAGGGAGGGTCGCACGAGTCAGCTGCCCACCAAAACGATCCACCAAGGGCAAACGTTTTTTTACTTTGCTATTGACAGCTGTTTTCGATTGAAATTCCAGCTCCCGGACTTCAACCTCTACCCGTACCAATGGACGGGAACTTTGGAGAAGCAATGCATGCATAACGCCAAGGTCCTGTATGAAATCTGCTGGTTCCCTAGTCGAAGGGGGTTACTAAGACAGGTAATCGCGAATCTTGGATCTGCCAGTGTCAACTCGATTGCAATCGCCTCGGCACCTGGCAGCGCACTGCGTACCTTTCCTCACTCCTCCCTCCACCGAATCCCCGATCGGTAAGATCCAGCCGAGTCTGGAATCCAAGCACCGTGCATTCGTACTCTCCATTGTGCGGTGCTTTACAGTGTACGGTACAAGGCGCTGCTTGGTCCACGTGCCCAAGAGCATGAAGTGTGCCGGGCACGTCCACCAAACGTTATGGATGACATGCAGCCACAAACAGGGCAATGCAACCCAACGCCTTTGCGCCTGACGCTTTCGCAGCTGCCATTGGGAGACTTGCAAGACCCGGCAACAGCGCATGTTGCGAGCCAGGAACCTGGTCGAGTTTTGGTCTTGCTTTTCTGGCGTAGAAGCTCGGAGTCTTCTTCCATGCGCTGCAGATTGACGGTAAACACCCTGCCCGCTGGCGCGGAGAGAGCCCGAAGACCTTTGAATGTATTTTCCGGGCTCTTATCGCGGCATGAGTAGCGTGGGACACGCCGCGCGGTCGACGGGAGCATGGGGAATGAGAGACTTGCGGGCCGAGCCTGTCGACCATCAGCCTTCCGCCCGTCCAAGGTCCACCCCCGTGAATCTGACATGGCTTAGCGTGATCCTCTAATGCGGGCAATCTGGCGAGACCGGGAGACAAGCGGGGTTGGTAGTTGCGTGCCGGTCTCCAACGATGTGAGCAACCGGATCCACGTCGTGCTGTGACCGCCGCTCGCCAGGACCCAGCAGAAGGTGCGATCGGGACATCACCGACCGACTCTTGGTCTGTCTTCGCTAGGGCCCCACAGGGTCCGGCAAGCAAACCAAAACCGAGAAATATGGACGTCTGTCCCGCATCCATCCATTGGGTCGTCGTCCAACTCCTGTCCCTGCCAAGACCTGGTTTGGGCATTGCCTGGGTGCCGACGCTACATATCTCTCGCCACTAACTCTCGGAGCCGCCTAAAGGTTTCTCGGTCATTGCCCAACTCGACTGCCTCGACTTCTCAGACTCAGCGTCGCAACTTGTCGCCATTATGGCTTCCGTCAAGGCGTTCCCGACCATCCAGAGCGTTAGATCGTTCGTGATCGGCGGTGTTGGCTCAGGTACGAAGACTGGTTCAAGGAGTAAACGGGAGTAGATTGCTGACAGAGGGCAGGTGGCGATTACCACAACGTCCAAGGGGGGCATTGGTGCGGTTGATGACCCCGAATGCACTCACAGCACGCTGACCTTGCATAGGCTGATCGACTCCCCTATCTCAACGCCCTGCTCGCGGTGGGAGAAGTATAGGGCTTCGCGAACTAGCTGGGGGATCAATGTCCTTGGCTCGTTCTTCGTTGAGATCGAGGCCAGTGATGGCACTGTCGGCTTTGCAACCGGCTTCGGCGGTAAGCTACCCATGCAGCGGTTCCCTACCATAACATCACCTAACGTGCAGACCAGGCCCGCCGGCATGCTGGCTCGTCCACCAGCACTTTGAGAGATTCCTCATCGGGGCGGATCCTCGCAATACAAATCATCTCTTCGAGCAAATGTACCGCGCATCCATGTTCTACGGCCGCAAAGGGCTGCCTGTTGCCGTCATCTCCGTTATCGACCTAGCCCTCTGGGACCTTCTCGGCAAGATCCGCGGCGAGCCCGTCTACAAGCTCATCGGCGGCAACACCAAGGACCGCATCGATTTCTACTGCACCGGCCCGAATCCGCCGGCCGCCAAGGCCATGGGCTTCTGGGGTGCCAAGGTGCCGCTCCCATACTGTCCCGAGGAAGGCCATGCGGGCTTGAAGAAGAACGTAGAGTTCCTGCGCCAGCACCGCGAGTCGGTTGGGCCAGACTTCCCGCTGATGGTCGACTGCTACATGTCGCTCAATGTTTCATACACCATCGAGATTGCAAAGGCGTGCGAGGACCTCAACATCAACTGGTGGGAGGAGTGTCTCAGTCCCGACGACACAGACGGCTTCGAGCAGATCAAGCGGGCTCACCCCACCATCAAATTCACCACCGGCGAACACGAGTACTCGCGATACGGATTCAGGAAACTGATCGAAGGTCGCAATCTCGACATCATCCAGCCAGACGTCATGTGGCTTGGGGGCATGACGGAGCTGCTCAAAGTAGCGGCCATGGCCGCCGCCTACGATATCCCGGTGGTACCGCACGCAAGCGGCCCGTATAGCTATCACTTTGTCATCAGCCAGCCAAATACGCCGTTCCAGGAGTACTTGGCCAACTCCCCGGATGGGAAGAGCGTGCTCCCAGTGTTTGGCGACCTGTTCATCGACGAGCCAATTCCCACAAAGGGTTACCTCAATGCTAGTGATCTAGACAAACCTGGATTCGGTCTGACGGTAAATCCAGCGGCGAGAGCGAAGCTTATCCCGAGCACACTCCTCTTGACGCTCCCCACAACCTCACTGCCCCCGCCTACTCCCGAACCGGAGAGGTCAGATACCGAACCGCAGCAAAATGGGACCCACGCCTAGTGGACGGTTGGGAAGAAGGCTGAGTCGTCTACCACGCCTTGAGCCATCGTTGGTACGGGATATGATAACGAGCACGCGCCCTACATAGATAGCAATTTTGTTTCACAGCTGTTGGCTGCAACCGTTTCAGCCGGAGAAACTGACGTCATTTCAGCCCACTTCCGGGCCCCCATCTCCTATTGCACATGTGTTCCTCCAATACTTCGTACTCCTCGAAATCTCTCAGGTGCTGCATCTCGAGGATTATCCAGCAGAAGTCTGCTCATGTCCATCTCTCTGGGCTCGGCAGTTCTCACAGAGTTCTGGCCAGCATTAATCGATCGCCGCGTGCCGATCTTGTGACGAGCTCGCTATAATTCAGGCCGAGATGTGGGGCGCCGGAACCGCACCGGTGGGTCTTTCAATGCAGCATCCCGAACAGTCCAACCCCTGGTCAGCCGCGAGACATATCAGCCTTGACAGCGACCCGGGTTTTGCTGGTGGCCGTACGCAGCGGGTGGCTTGCAGATGAGCCTTACGGGAAGCAGATCAATGCGTGGAATCCAGGTCTCGAGGTACCGAAAGATGCACCGTGACAGAGTACCATTGCCGGCCGTGCGCAGCCGGGGCTCCGCCGCCCGGGTTGATTTATTTACCCCGCGGTCCCCGCCGTATCTCAAGGACCCCTCACTCACAAGAACAGAAAAAAAAGGGGCAGCTTCAACCCTCCATCGCGGTCCAAGCAAATCTAGCGTAGACCAGACAAGGTCCAAATCTCATCTACCTACCTACTTTAGATAGCCAGCTACCTAGCCACCCGCCATGCCAGTTAGCAACCTCCTCGCTGGCAAAACAGCCATCATCACCGGCGGGACCACTGGCATCGGACGGGCCATCGCCCTCGGGTTCCTGGCGCAGGGCTGCAATGTCGCGGTGAACCATCTAGACCTAGAGAAGGACAAACCCCACCTCGTCAGCCTGCTCGCCGAGGCCGCCGCGCTGAAAGACAGCAACCCGTCGGCAGGGTCACTGGCCCATCTACCAGGCGACGTACGCGACCCGGCGACGGGCGCCGCGCTCGTAGCCTTTGCACTGTCATCCTTCCAGACCTCCCGTCTAGACATCTGCGTCTCCAACGCGGGCGTGTGCACTTTTGCCGATTTCCTCTCCCTCTCACCGGACCTGCTGCAGACGACGGTGCGCACCAACCTCGACGGCGCCTTCTACGTCGTGCAGGCCGCCGCCCGGCAGATGGCGCTGCACCAGACCCCGCCGGGAGGCTCCATCATCGCCATCTCGTCCATCTCGGCGCTTGTTGGTGGCGGACTGCAAACCCACTACACCCCGACCAAGGCTGGTGTCTTGTCGCTTATGCAGAGCACTGCTGTTGCGCTGGGAAAGTATGGGATTAGGTGTAATGCCCTGCTGCCGGGGACGGTTAGGACGCAGTTGAATGAGGAGGATTTGAAGGACGAGAGGAAGAGGGAGTATATGCAGGGGAGGATACCGCTCGGGAGGATTGGGGAGACGAGGGATTTGGCGGGGCCTGCGGTGTTTCTGGCTTGTGAGGAGCTGAGTGGGTATGTAACGGGGGCGCAGTTGTTGGTGGATGGGGGGTTGTTTGTTAATTTGCAGTAATGGTCTTCAGCTTGTCAAGGTGGGACCGGGGAAAGGGGGTTGATGAAGAGACGTTGGAGTAGGTATTTAGAGCAGCTTTGGAAAACACGCCTACCACAGTTACCACTTTCTTGTCGATACTGTTAATGATCACTGCTGAGAAGACCGGCAGGGAACGGGGGCCAGGTGCAAGAATCAATTGTACTCTTTTGGCCCTTGATTTGCTGCCTCTACTCCGGTAGCAATACGTCCTAACCTTAAGACAGGTTACCCAACTGCGATAGGTGGGGTCGGAAAGGGGCTGAAAACGGTAACTCTGGCATTAAGAGGCCATTGTAGGTTCAAATCATAGCAACCCTAGAAGTAAGCGGTATGTATGCTCAAGTCCCTACACTACGGCAGTGGGCTTTGTCCGGAACGTCATCGTTCCGCCACCGGGGCGTTGAACGGTTGCCCAAACTTCCAGAAGCAGTTGATCGTCGACTCGTACGTCAATACGCGAGGTATTTTACAGCTCCATTCCTGTTGTGACTGGCAAAACCAAATGCGGCCCCACCAATCTTAACCCTCTCACACACACCTCAGTTACCTACTGTTCGACCCGGCTTAAGAAGTTACACCATGTCGGACCCAAACCCGGCCCCTACTGGGCGTCTTCTCTCCCATTTCGCAAACAGGTGAGTACGTACTATGTGAAGTTCGTCAGATTCCACACAACTCCTATCTTGAACGCCGCTAATGCACAGCGATCACTCACGAAGAGATCGGCAGCAGCAGAGCGCCGGCTGGTCCGAGCTATGGGACGCAGACGAGAGCCAGCTCTGGGATCGCGGGATGCCGTCTCCCGCCTTGATTGATTTCCTCGACTCGGAGGGTGCCTCGCGCCTGACTGGAACGGAGGATGGTCGCCGACCGAAGGCGCTTGTACCGGTAACTCGCACTCCCGAGCCCCTTGCTTGCTCGTACCCCTGACCTCATTAAATTTGGTTTAAGAATTAAGACGCTTAGGGCTGCGGACGGGGATACGACGTGGTCATGCTCGCCCTGCATGGCTTCGACGCCTTTGGTCTTGAAGTCTCTCCAAAGGCCGTCGAGACGGCAAGAGATCACGCCGAAAAGGAGCTCGCGAAACCGAGTGCATACAGCTTTGCTGATCAGGACGATAAGCGCCTGACTGGCGCAGCAAAGGGAATTGTTACTTTTGTGTGCGGCGACTTCTTCCAGAATGACTGGGAAGCCGGGTGCTTCAGTGCCGGCGAACCTCGGGGGTTTGACTTGATTTATGACTACACTGTGAGCTCGCTTGATTCCTTTCGATTTGCACCGTCTTGTTCGAGCCGCTCGGGATCAGCAGTAGCAGTGCTGATCCTTTTCACCAACAGTTCCTATGCGCTCTGCTGCCCGAGATGCGGAAGGACTGGGCACGAAGGATGAAGGAACTTCTTCGGCCCTCGGGTCTTCTTGTGTGCCTAGAGTTTCCGCTATACAAAGACTTGACGGCACCCGGACCGCCGTGGGGCCTGCAGGGCGTACACTGGAATCTTTTGGCAGAGGGTGGCGATGGCATCGTCGATCAACAAACGTCAACGCTTGCTACAACTGGTGGCCAGGGGTCGTTCAAGAGGATTCTTTACATAAAGCCTGAGCGGTCGTATGAGGTCGGTCGGGGAACAGATATGCTGAGTGTATGGACTTTGAAGAGAGAAAGTTGAATACAGGCCATCAAGTATGGCACTGGAGTGAGGTAGTTAGCGTACGTTTGCTCCTGCTGTCTCTTATAATCGTCGTCCGTTAGGCGGCATAGTACCTGCTTCGCGTCAACCTAAGTCATGAGCTACCTAATCTGTCTCAACTTCCAGCTATAGCGTACAGGTATTCTATAACTGAATACTACTTACCTAACTCATAAAGCCGATGGCAAATGTGACAACCTGCCAGGTAAGCTTTAAGTCCGAAACTATTTAAAAGCGTCGATAGCCCATGGGCTCGCTTGCTAGATCCATCCATGATGACACCTATCTGGTAGAGACAAACCAAAACCGCTTACCACACATCAACTTGAACCAAGTTCAAGTTAGAAGCATAGGTACCTACCCAAGAATACCTACCTTACCTACATACACACCCGCACAACTCAGCCTCCCAGAGCACAAAGCGACCGGACCACCTTCGACTAAAACTCGGTTTTCTTGGACCCTCTTTCAGAATCCATCTCCATGCCGAATCGACGGTTATTTTGGCATATCAACTATGTGCTGCTACCAGCAGGTCACGGTCCGGTACGCCTGTGGCCACAGAGCTTAGGTATGTAAGGTTTTTTAACCGGTGCCGTGGCGTAGGCTATGCAAGGCAGGGGAGACTCGGGATGCTACGGCAAACTTTGGGCTGCTTATTCCCGATATGCCGCTTTTCAGCACGAAAATTGCAAGCTGAGTGGTGTGAAGAGTGAGTGATATTCGTGGGTAGTGCACTGCAATTACTAGGTATTATGCCAATCGCTAGGATGTTGTGTCAGTTAGAACTGGCTACTTAGTAGGTACTTATCGAGGGCTAGGTTGGCTGATTTCTGGTCGCTGTTCCGGAGTTTCCTTCATCAAGTCCTTCAAGTTTGACGTGACCTAGTCCTACACTACTAGCACGTAAATTATACCTAATAGTTTGTGCTGAGCACCTCCCGTGCCTACAGGTACGGGCGATCGGAACTCGACTGTCCTGTCCATAGAGTCATTGTGGATTCCATAGATCATTTTCGACTTAAGATGCGATTCTTGATGAATTCGACCACGAGTGAAGTGCGCATGAGGCAAATGCCAACTTGCCAAGGTGCAAACGATGCAATGACAGCAATGCCCAGGGTGTTGTAAATGGTGATATCGTGCATTAACATGACAGTCCTATCAGCAGAATTCAGAAGCAATGGGACCAGGAGAAAAGAATCGACCATCCTGATTCATCAAGTCGCGCTCTTGTAAGTTTGACAACGTTGCGTCAAGGTTTCAGAACAACTGTCGGCTCGTGTTTAGCATTTGGATACGTACTGTTGAGTAGGAAGCAGGAACCCTGCAACACCTGTATTTATTGGGGCACTGGGGCTTGGCTCATTTTCCCTCCTTCAACCCTCCTTCAACCCTCCTTCAACCTCGCCACAGCTACAATCAATACACCCAGCCTTTGGCTGTGCTTTTCAGTACCTTATATTGTTCTGGTACCTGCTGATAGACAGCAGATGCGGGAGACGTCATGGGACAAGGGTCGCTTAGATGCGTGGTGGGGCTAATTAGATGGAGCGCGTTGTGGTTGGTCCGTGCGTACTAACAAATCAAGAACCGGACGCGGTTGCATCGGTGGTGCTTCCCTCGGCGCCTTCTTTGTTGGGCAGCTTCCCCAGCCACACTCCGGCTTCATCTTTCTTGCATTCGTCGTTTCGTTCAGCAATGAGGATGTGAATATTTTGCCATGTTTCATTCGATTCGTGACGACTGGCTCAAGACAACCGATTCGAGCTGTCTTGGTTTTGACAGTGTCCGGGCAGCACCTGGTTAGTTAGTTAACTGCCAGTGGATACTCGAGCGGTGAGGCAGGACAGCAACACGTCAAACAAAAGCGTCTTTGCCTCTACCTACACTGTCAGTCAAACGATAAGGGACTCCACCACCTTGGCCCAAACGGCTGTTGGCGTTCGAGAACACTGACTTTGTGTTCCCGGGTCGAGGTCTGTGGCATCTTAACAATACCTATGTCTGTGCCTCGCCACGGTCTCTTGCCCTTCTTTCGTCAACGATTGCAACACAACCTCGCACCGCGACCATGCGACTGCGACTGCGACTGCTGCCTCTGCCTATACCTACGCCAGCATCCCGATCCTGTTCTTGCCTTGCCCCACAATAGGGATGGCCGACCTCTCGAGTACCGATGCCGGTCCTTCGCAAGATGCCATGGGGCGTAGCGCAGGCACAGCACAGCCCGGAGACCTCCGGTGTTGTTGTGGAAAAGAGGACTGTGCCTTCCTCAAGCATAATTGCTCCATCCTGCTCAGTGTGGAACGCGATGTCCATATGGCTGCGAAGATGGGCCAAGTGAGTATTCCCGCCGTATCCTATATTGCACCCCCAAAGCCTCTGAACAACCTATATGCACTGTTTATTTGATACTCTTTGTCGAACGAGTTGCCTGTCTCGAATACAATGTCCCTTCGATGCAATATCGCCCCATTAAAACGGAGGGTCGAAGCCGAATCACCACGGCCATCGCACTAGTCAAAATCCAAATATTGGTGTCCTTTCGCTGACATCGGCGCTACAGACTCTACTTGCTCGGCACGAAGCCTACATGGCTTCTGCCGAACGCGATCGAGTCGAACTCATGGCCCGCATTGAGCAGCTAGAACATGACAACGCCGAACTCGAGGTGAAGAACCAGTCGATGACTGACGAGAACCATGGTCTTCGCGGAGAGCTCGAGGGTCTCAACGACACCATCAAAGATGCCGAGACCAAGATGGAGTTTCTAGAGGCCACGCTTCGCGATTCGCAGCAGAAGGTCCGGGACCTCGAGATCGCCGCAGAGCGAGCTTTTACTCTCGAGCGACAGGTCGCGATGCTGGAGGAGGAGCAGGTTGTATTGCGGACTTCGATCGTCCGCAGCGAGGAGGAAGCACGCACAGCCATGTACAGGTGGAGACAGGCAGAGAAGGGTCTCACCGACCTGCAGGAGCAACTCGAACGAATCGAGAAAGAAGCTAGAGAAGAGCGTGAACGCCATATCGAAGTGATTAGCCGCATGGAGCGCCAGCGCGCCATGGAGAAAGAACTCAACACTGCTGCCGGAAGACTGAAGGGCGCTGCCGCCGCCAAGTCCATGACTGACAGCAAAGGTAGCGGCAATGTCGTGTCGCATTTTGTGCGTGACCTTCTGCAGGACAATGCCACCTTGCAAGTGGGCATTGCTGAGCTTCGCGAGATGCTGCTGAGTTCCAACGACGAGATTCAGATGCTGAGGGAGCAGCTGATGTATCATCAACCAGCGTCCGGCCATGAGCCTGGTCCTTCCAGTACGCTACAGGCTGAACTTGACAAGAAGGAGCCTCCCACCTCGCCCCAACACCCCCGGGCGCCCAAGGAGGTACACATTCATCACCACTACCATGTCCTTCACAAACAGGAGATGAAGAAACCAAAGAAAAAGAGGCAAAGTCTTACCGCAGGCACCTTCAGTCCCCCACCCTACCTCTCTACGCCATCATCACCCATCACCACTCCTGTCCGTCTGCAGCCCGGCGCTCTCAATCGAGCTGTACTCTCCCCTCCGGCAGACGACCCGCCCACTGGCCCAGGTAACCGCTGGTTCATCACATCGGAAGGCCAATCGGACTTGGTGCCGTCGCCGGTGCCGAGCTCTCCGCAATCTGAGAACCGAAACTCCATATTCGACCGGATCTCGGCACCTTCTCCTTTCTCGCCAACGACGAGCGTGGATCCAACCTCTCCAGGCTGGAGAAACGGTCACGGGAAGAAGGCTTCTGAATTTTCTCTCGGTAGCATCTCGCAAGCGGGCCTGTTTCCGACAGACGCCACCCACCATCGCTCGGCAGGTCCGCCGCCAGGTTACGCTCAGCGACCACATCCCTTGACCCGCTTCATGCTCAACGGCAGGCCCCCGCACCATGATAGCACCTCATACACCACAGACGATGTCCCTACGAATATGTCTAGATATTTTGCTGAGTACACCGATCTCGGGGCTGGCACCGAGGAGGCTGGAGTTGAAGATATCTCGTTGCCAACATCGAACCACTTCGACCCAAACGCAGAGCAACAACCCCGGACTCTCCGCCGTGTGGTGTCACATGAATCCATCATGTCTCTCTCCAACGGGCTGGACATTCACACTCTCAGGGCTCGGCCCAGCCAGCTTACGCTCAAGCCTCTCGGTCTGACCGCAGCGGGCACCAATCTCAGCGCCGTCACCGCCCAACCAACTCTCTCCAGTGGCAGCCTAGAAGGCAAACGAGGCAGCGTCATCCTACGTGACAACTTTGCCCTTTTTGGACAGGGCCTTCCTACCCCCAGAGCACGGGATGCTATACGGACGACGTCGAATCCTGTGCGCGGCAGAGACGGGGAACGCGGCCCCAACACGTCCCGCGCGCCGTCGAAACTGGGAAAGCTTGTCTCGTGGCGGCCGTGGAGCGGTGCGAGCGCTCACCCTTCACCCGATGGCAGACCAGCAGCGACGCCGGTTGTCTCCGCTGCGCCGCTTGCCGTCCCCACCCCAGCTTCGTCCCTGGCGATTCCCGCGCTTTCTCTGACACCGGCAGCTGCATCCGTCTCCTCACAGACTGGTAAATCACCGCAGGGGAGCATGTCGTCGGCGGCAACCAGCAGTACGTCCGTTGCAGCTGCTGCTGCGTCCTCGTACCGTGCGCCTGGCATCAACCAGCCTGGAGTGATACCTGGGTTCCAGGAGTACTGGGCTGCGCATCAGCGGAGAGGCCCGCCGAGTAAGGTGTCGGTTGAGGACCCTGGGCAGGTCCAGCAAGCGTTAAGGGAGGTGCTGGAGGAGGAGCGGTAAGGCCGGTGCGTTATTGCGGGTTCCACGATGCTCTTTTAGATTACCCCCATTTCCTTTTTGTTTTGCATAGCGTTGGGTAGGTTGCGGATCAGTGACTTGGTGGATACCCTCTGGCTGTGGTACATTTTTGGCTTAGATACCTCATTGCATTGGTTGGATTGACGCGACTAGAATGTCTCCTGGACAAGAGATACCTACCAGATTCCCTTGTCAACGGCAAACTTTTTCAAACGTACTGAACTTATAACAATCAGCCATATACCTAGTATAATGACATCAAGTACAAGTCACCGGTTCGGTTCCTGCATTAGGCCGATATCATGTGCATGAAATTATACTAGGCATTAAGCTAAGTTTAGCCTCAAGAATCATATTAATATCTTGCCATCGTCAACTGACAACCAGTCATCCGAACTCCGAACCCGTATCCATGCACTGCCGCTGTGCCACCACATGCAATGCGACTATCCTTTTCTCGAGACCATTCGCTCCAGTCCCAAGCAGGAACTGCGGGGGAAGAGCCTGAGGGGGTCGGCTGCGCATTATAATGTCCAATTAGGCACTGCTGGAAGGCATCGTGTAGGTGCCGCCGATGTTGAGCAGGTAGGCAATGCTGTTGAACTCGACGTCGATCCGCGAGATCTGCCAGTAGCCGGCCTCCTTGGTGGCGGTCAGGATGGTCTCGCCCCGCACGGGCTTCTGGGCCGCGCCAAAGGTCATGCTCCAGATGATGGAGATCTCGTCGCAGTCGATGGGACCTTGGTGGGTCACTTCGATCGGGAGGTTGTCGGGCTGTGTCCCGGGCCATGAATATCAGTACATGTGCGACAGGTGCGGTGGGAAGGGCAGGTGAGGGTGGAAGGGAATGTTTTGGGGGAAGTGGAGTGGTTGGAACATACCGCAACCTGCTGCTTCTTGACAAACGCGGCCTTGCTCGGGAAGGTGACGGTGCCAAGCGGCTTGCCGGCAAGGATGTTGATGCTGTCGGACCAGTCGGTGAAGGACTCGGCGAGGTACTTGGCGTCCTCGTCCTTCCACCCCCGGATCATGCGCACGTAGGCGTCCACCAGCTCCTGCGCGTCCTCCTTGCGCAGGCATTGCCCGTAGCCCCACGGCCCGGGCCAGTGTCGTGCCTCGACGGCGGACGATGAGGTGTCGACGGGCGAGGCGAGGCCAAGGCCGCTCAGGGCTAGGAGAGTGAGGGACTGGAAGAAGCGCATTTTGGGGGCTGCTGGTTGGCTGGATTAGGATTAAAAGGGTTTGTTTAGGTTGAGGGCGGTGGTATTAGGTGACGGATGGATGAACGAGAGGAGGATGAGGAAGAGAAGGGTAAAATTGTATTTTTGCTTGCCGGACCATGGTTCCTTTTATCTCGAGATGATGGTCCAGGGGCAGAGTTCTGGATGCCGGCATTGCTGGGATTTGCCCTGGTTGCCGGATGCGTGGGCGTCGGGCTTCCCCAAGGGATTCGCGGGGCTCACGGGGGCTAAGGGGAAGAGGCTGACCTGGCTGGCGGTGTTATGCCCTGGCAGATTACATGGCATGCAGTACATGTCAATAGTGTCGGTTCCTTCGACCGGTCATCACAAACTCATCTCAGTCTGGGGCCGACGGCTGATCTGATGTCAGCGCCGGGCTAAAAAGCAACTCCTCGGGTTTTCTAACAGTGTATCTGTCGTGGATTGTGCACAACAATGATTGCCCAGTTAGCTGCCTTTATAGAAGTACAGCAACCCAAGATGAGTACCATAACGTTAGGTGTAGGTATGTACTGTATTAGCTACTTGCGTGCTTTGCAATTTGGAAGCTTCTGATTTGCGCCACACCTTTTGAATCTGCAATGTCTGTCTCAAAGCCAAAGCCGAGGGGGGCATGTGTATGTTAACGTAGACTAGGCTCGGTAGGCTCGCCACGGTGAGCAGGATGGAATATCACTGGACTCGTGAGGATGGAAAATTCCAGTTCAGATTAAGGATTGGGCGGCAATGGAAAATGGGCTTGCATATTTCCGAGTCACGTTAGGTCGATCTGCAGAAGCCACAGACGCAGAAGCAAGTTGTCAAGGCCCAGCTGGCTGGTCGTTTATGCAGCACAACAGGACTGCTGCAGATTGCCGTTCTTGGCCAAGTTGGCATTGGAGAGAGCCGCCAAGAATTCACGACGGTCCCGAAGCTCAAAATAGCGCCCGAGCATGCCCTGGTACGTGGGCCGCTTCTTCTCTTTTGGGGCTGACTCGGCTGAGTGTGCACGGTCAGCTGGCAACCTTGCTGTCCCGAATCACAGCATTCATTTGTCGGTGATCCGTCCGAGTTGAAGGTCAAGGATGAAGGAACCAACAATTGCGCTGAACTCCATCCTCGACCTTTTCTGGCGAGGGAGCAAAACAGGCAAGACTCAAGTCTCTCTGGAGACTTGCAGCTCAAAGTGTCTATGTACCTAGGTATGGGAAAGATGTATGTACAGTACATACCATGTAGGTATTGTACTCCGTACGTAAATTTACTACTTTCCTGGTTTGACCAGTCGGATACTGTATTCATAGGAAGGTACGGAAGTACCTGAAGAAGCTTACGCGTGTAGTGCCGGTCAAACGCGTTTGGCCCGTTGATGTCCTACCCGAGAACGCATCAGTAGTTACACTCGCACAAGTGCATGTCTCGGTTGTTGGGGACAGGAAGGTTCTGTCGGCGGCAGTTCCTACCAACTATCCGTACTTCGTACTTTGAGTCGCAGTAATATTAGATGATGCACCTTACATGCACTCAGTGCGTTGTGATGATTTCTTCCAAATATTCGTATCTCGTATCTTAAGAACGAAGGATCTGTAGGAAAAGAAAGCATCTACTTGGGTGGTCAAGCTGTCCGACAAGAGATCCTACTTTTTTGAGCCCGTATTCAATGTTTTGATCCTAGCAATATCTCAGCAAGCTGTCCGTACACTCGCTTACTGTCTGTTCAGCTATGATCTCAACTTCTGTCGATTGAGTCCATGATCTGTCCTTCAAGCAACACAGCGGTAAAGGGTTATTATTAGTTCAAGTTGGCTCGGGTTGCGGGAAAGGCATTGAGGGGTTGTTCTGTACAAGAGATGAAAAGAAAGCTAAAAAAGGTCGCTTGATTAAAGAGTCGAACCTGCTATTCCTATATTCCGATCCTCTTCAACCAACTACTCGCTCACAGCATAGAGTTCAGAATCTAACCTCTTCTTTTAGCAAGGGAAGGGATCTATGAATGAGACAAAAGAAGAACAGGGAAACAAAAGAAGGAAATAAAAAGGCATGGCTGATCCAAGAATCGAACCTGCAAGCCAAAAAAGAGGGTATGAGCCTAGACAGCAGTCTGGGACTGTAACACCCGTCGACCAGAGGCTATCTAGGAATTTTCTCAACCCTGCACTGGAACCACTACACCACAACACCGTTGGAGTCGTAGCAGTTCCTTTTGATTATGTGCATCTGAAAACTTACCTATATACCCGCTTCCACCAACCGCCAGCTTCCCACCCTTGAACTCGAACCCATCCCTCTCACAAATCTCAACAGGACACACACTGTAATGTTACTGAGAAGTGCATACCTCATATTGAAGTACCACGGCCTTAATACAATCAACTACCTACCTTTCCTTCTAGAACCCACCATGTCGCTACCCTAAACATGCCTAACCTTGGATGCTCTGTACTCATCTACCACTGCAGCACACTGAGTCTGTCTTTCATGAGGTAGCCATGTCTAAGTCTGCCACCCTCCACGTCTCCTCAACGGGGTGAACAGTGGAAGCTGTCCGTACTGCATTTACTACTAGTAGTCATTTCAAAGACCACAGTGAGGCAAAGTTAAGTAACGTAGGTAGCACCATCACCATAAAGCAACCATCACAAAAACCAAGAATGTCCAGGGTGACCAGCAAGTCTATTGTCTATATCTCAGCATCAAAATGAGTGTCGGCCAATCTTCACAGGGCGGCTAGTGTTACATTCTTTCAGGTCCATGCTTCCAGGAAATTGTGTGTTGCAAACGAGTGACAAGCCCAGGTCCCATCAAGGAATTGAACCAAGGCAGCAGTAGTATCCAACCCAAACATCCCCATCCTCATTCCTCAACCCCTTCCTCTTACAAGATGTTGAACGCGCTGATGGCGAGTGTGGCGGCGAGCCCGGCAGTCACGTAGAAAGCCATGCTATGGCGGGCCATGGTCTCGCGGGCGCCCGAGGTCTTGGCCTGCTCCTTCTTCTCCTCCTTGGCAGGCTTGAACTTGATGCTGACCTTCTTCTTCTTGGGCTCGGGCTCGGGGCTGCGCTGGGCAACATCGGCAGCCTCGTCCTCCTCGCCCCGGCGGGCAACCTCGTCGTTGTCATCATCAGCGTCCCGGCGGGCGACATCGTCATTGTCATCATCGGCATCGCGGCGGGCGACATCGTTGTTGTCGTCATCGGCATCCCGGCGGACGACATCGTCATTGTCATCATCGTCCCGGCGGGAAACCTTGTCGGAGTCGTCCTCCTCGCGGACAATCTCGTACTCGCCGCGGCGGTCGACCGTCTCGTCCTCATCCTGTCGGGCAGCGATCGCAGCCATAATCTCATCCTCGACATCTCTCTTTTGCTGGCCCCCACCGATGGCACCAAAGATGTCGCCAAAGATAGGAATGTTCTTGAGGATCTTACCAAACTTGAACTTGGCTTCGGGGTCGCGGGCCATGATCTCGTTCAGCTCGTTCACGGCGGACTCGACATCGGATCGCTTCTGCTTACCGCCAAAAATGCGGGAGAGCAGACCACCCAGGATAGGGATGAAGGGCTCTGCCTCGGGGTCGCGGGCAGCAAGCTCGTTCAGGTCGTTCATAGCCGCCTCAATCTCAGATCGCTTGTGGTTCTTGCGGAAAATGGAGGACAACAGGCCGCCAATGAGAGGAAGGAAGGGCTCTGCCTCGGGGTCGCGGGCGATGAGGGCTTTCATGACATCATCGTCGACGTCGCGGGCAATGATAACGTCGTCGTCCTCGTCGCGGGCAGTGATGGCATCCATCACATCGTCGTCGAGGGCGCGGGCGACGATGGCATTCATAACATCATCCTCGACGTCCCTCCCGAAGAGGCCACCGAAAATCTTCTTGAAGATACCGCCGATGTTGAACTTAGCTTCGGGATCGCGGGCCATGATCTCATTCAGGTCGTTCACGGCGGCCTCAACCTCGGATCGCTTCTCGGGATGCCGGGCGACAAGCTCGCTCAGAGCATCCTCGACATCTCTCTTGTTGTTTCCGGCGAGTCCGCCAACGATCTTAGGGATGAACCTGAGAAGAGCGCCGAAGAATGGGTCCCGTTTCATGATCTCGTCAGCATCGTCGACGTCTCGAGCATCGATGGGGAGCGCGTGCATCTCCTCGTCGCCCTCGGCCGCATCACGCTTCTGGGGAGGCGGAGCCAGCCACGGGAGGAGATTCAGGGGCGCCAGAGGATCGACAGAGAATTCGACACCCGGCCGGCCACCCTTGCCCTTGCCGGCAGGCTTGCCGCGCCT